TGCTAAAGAAATGAGTCAAAGTTAAAAATATGTTTGGTGGCTAGTACTGTGGCCAGGACCCTACACTGTGTGCACAATTATTAGGCAAGTTGTATTTTTGAGGATAAATTTTATTTTTGAACAACTGCAGTGCTCTCGGTCAATCCAAAATGTTAATAAACCTCAAACTTTAAAATTTAAGGGAGTAAAAGTGAGATTTTGACTTCCTTAGGAGAATATCTATGTGTGCACAATTATTGGGGGCAGCTGTTAGTGTGCAGAATTATTATGCAACTAAATTAAAAATGAAAAATTTTCCATCTCACTTGTTTATTTTCACTTGTTAAAGTGAGAATGATAAACAAACAACTCAATTTACAAATACAAATTGTTGAAATTGAAAAAAAATCAGTGACCAATATAGCCACCCTTCTTTTCAATAACAGTCATAAGCCTTCCATTCATGGAGTCTTTCAGTTTCTTGATCTGTTGACGATCAACTTTTTGTGTTACAGTAACCAAAGCCTTCCAGACACTGTTCAGAGAGGTCGACTGTCTTCCTTCACTGTAAATTTCCTGTTTAAGAAGGGCTCACAAGTTCTCAACAGGGTTTAGGTCAGGTGAAGAAGGAGGCCACGTCATTATTCTTTTGTTTTTAAGGCCTTTACTGGCGAGCCACATAGTGGAGTACTTCGTTGCATGCAATGGAGCATTGTCCTGCATTAAAATCATGGTTTTCTTGAAAGATGCAGACTTTTGCCTGTACCACTGCTTGAAGAAAGTGTCTTCTCAAAACTGGCATTGGATTTGGGAGTTGATTTTAAGTCCATCTTCAACTCGAAAAGGTCCAGCTAGCTCATCTTTAATAATACCATCCCATACCAGTACCCCGCCTCCACCTTGCTGGTGTCTGATTCAAAGTGGAGCTCTGTGCCCATTACTGATCCAGCCACAGGTCCATCCATCTGGTCCGTCAAGAGTCACTCTCATCCCATCAGTCCATAAAACCTTTGAAAAATCTCTCTTCAGATATTTCTTGGCCCAGTCTTGACGTTTCAACTTGTGTCTTGTTCAGTGGTGGTCAGATTTCAGCCTTCCTTACTTTGGCCATGTCTCTGAGCACTGATCATCTTGTACCTCTGGACACTCCAGGTAGGTTGCAGTTCTGGAATATGACAGCACCGGAGGATAATCGATTCCTGGTACCTTTACGTTTGAGTCTTCTCAAATCTTTGGCAGTTAATTTGCGTCTTTTTTTCTTAACACATTTCTTGCGACACTGTTGACTATTTGCATCAAAATGTTTGCTGTTTCTGTGATCACGCCCAAATATCTAAGCAATTTCAAGAGTGCTGCATCCCTCTGAAAGACTTTTTACATTTTTTGACTTTTCAGAGTCACTTAAATCTCTTTTTTGGCCCATTTTACCTGAGGAAAAGAAGCTGCCTAATAATTATGCACACCTTGATATAGGGTTTTGATCTCCTTAGGCCCCAGCCTCCCTCATTACACTTATACACATTACCTGATATGCTTATATCCAATAAGCATTCAAGTTTATACAGCTTGGAGTTGGAAAATATGCATAAAAATGATGATATGATCAAAATACTCACTTGCCTAATAATTGTGCACACAGTGTATATGTCCTGTTGATGAAGTTAGGTGCTGTTCTGAGCATTATTTGTGGCTATAGAGTGGCGTTTTGGTTGAGGTTTGTTTATGGCTCCTCAGCACGCTGTGTATTACTATCCTGCAGTCGTTACTAAAGTTGGTATAACTAGAGAGGCAAGCGGTCGGCAACATTCATCTCTGGAGAGGGTGTCTAACTCGGTGTTACGATGTGTTTGACCCTAACTTAATTTTACACCGGAATATCCCTTTAAGCAACACTTGTAACATTAGAAAGATCAGCAAGATAAGAGACATGAGTAACCATTAACAAAACCAGTAAGACCAGCAACATAAGTAACATGATGAACAATGGAAACCTGTAACAACATGGCTAAACGCAGCATCATCAGCTACACAAACAATAATAGTAATATTACCAACAACACCAGCAGCAAAAACAGGACCCTAACGAAACGTTTTAACAGTTACTTAAGTACTGTAACACAAACGTAAAGTGTTACATGAATGACAACAGTTACAGCGCCATGTGTCATCGCAGTAAGAGAAAGAGCTAAATTTGGTCTGAAAGTGGATCTTTACAAACCCAAACACAGATACAGGAAACTTCAGTCCTTCTAACAGCAAATTATAAAGCAGTGTGTCAAACATCAGTCATTACTGAGCATGTGCAGATGTTCAGGGGCATCCGACTGCTGCAATTTGAGATGTAACACTCATTACAAAAGGTTACAACCTAAAAACAGACAGACTCACACACTCTCTCTCACACACACACACAAACAAACAAACACAACACACACACACACACACACACACACACACACACACACACACACACACACACACACACACACACACACACTCTCTCTCTCTCAGTAAAGGACCAAAACAGAAAAGTTAAAAGGCAGGGAGTGTGTGTGTGTGTGTGTGTGTGTGTGTGTGTGTGTGGGGGGTTGTATTTTTGATTGTTTGTTTGTTTTCCAAAGAGGTCACGTGATGCACACTTTCCTACAGTACTGCCAGCAAAAGTGACTTCTGAACTCTTGTGCCACAAAAACACAACGGTGTGTGTGTGTGTGTGTGCGCGCGCGCGTGCGTGCGTGTGTGTGTTGGAATGTCAGCTATTCAGTATGCGGCTGCAGGCTGAGCCGTGCCGTGCCAGGACAGGCTGGAAGCAGCAGACAGACAGTCTTGTTTCAGAGTCAAAATCAGTTCAGAGTTGAACTGTTAAAATCGTTTCGAGTCTAACCAAATCCCTTTACACGAACCTCAGCTTTAACCACACTGTCTGCGCGCTGACGGTAACGGTCGTGAGAGTTTGAACACTCGGAACGAGTCAGATATCCGACATGAGATCAAACTGTATCCGCGGAACCGAAGGAGGGACAACCCCGGGTCTAAATCTACTCTCGGTACTGTCTCTCGGGTGTTATTTAAGACAAAAACTCCAAAAATATGTAAAACTAAGACTTTTTAACGGGATCCGGCGCGCGGCTGTCAGACACGCCTGACTCGAACGCGCTTTCCGTCCTGCAGCAGCTGCAGCGACGAACGGCACCATGAGATTCGGGTCAGACTTACCTGAGCTTGGCAGGGTCCAATCGGCCCCGGAGAAACTTCCAGAAAACCCACAGACACCCGCAGACACGAACCTGTTCGATCCGCCACAAGAGCCGCACAACAGGTCCGACAGAGACCCCGCCCCACTCCGCGCGACGCCGGGAGGCTTTTCTGTCGTTCTTCAGAGCCGCTGCATGATCCGGGGCAGCAGGGAATCGAACCAACGACCTGTTAGAGGGGTCCGAAGTTAACGTTAAACCGCCCAGTCACTTACAGGTAAATATCGACCACAGATAGGGTCGGATAATCGACTTTTCACGTTTTTCAAGTAATCTGAATAAAGTTTTTACTTTTGCTGAACTCAGGGAGGTGTTTTTAGAGCCCCCACAGTTTTAACAGTTACTGCCTCAGATTTTATCCGTCTCAAGAATATTTTTGAAAAAGTGAAAATTTTTGATTCTTACCCGAGAGAAAAATTAGGATGTTTTTGGGGATAATTTCTCCAGATATTTAGTGATTACCTCCTGCGGATAGATTTCTTGATCAGTCTTCTTTGTTACCCAGAAAAATAAAATAACATAAAAATGTAATAAATAAAAACACATAGGGGAGACTGGGGTAAGTTGAGCCACCCCATGTTGCTTGTAAACGGTCAAAGAAATTAATCATGTGACCAAATATTTAGGAGATGGGCATCAGTTCATGGAGTCTGTGAAGGTTAGAAGCACATGGGTGAAGGGGTTAGACATTTTTTTCCAATAAAAACATTTTTCACTCTTGAAAGTGAATTTAGTCTGTCACAAGTTTGATTAGAATTGTGTTCAGATCAAAAAAGATCATGTTTAACCATTTAACCCTCTGGAGTCTGGGGTATAATTGGCCGTTTTTAACTACTTTTAATTTTACCCTTCTATTTCCCCTTAAAAACCGTTTATCTGCCTTGCTTTGTAAAAAAAAAAAATTTCAGCACAACCTCACCTGTGTTAATTTTCAGTTATCTTATCATTTTGACATACTGTATTAATGCCCAACACCACAAATTAAGACCAGATAATTCAATTTTTTTTTAAGCTGAAATGTTTATTTCACTTACTACTGAAAACCAAAAAATCAGAATGTCCTTAAAATTTTACATATATATCTATTTATGTCGTTTGATACATTAGATGTTTTTGGAAGCTGATAAACTACAAGAGGACATTTTTATCATTTATTGGACTGTATTCAGGTGTTTTTTTTTTGTAATTTATCACTGTGTCATTTCACTTTAACTTTATTATGTCCCAAAAATGGGCAAATCGGGTTGCAGCAGGCACAGGCATTTAAAACACTGCCATGCATGAACAGTGTATAAGATTAAATGCAGAAACTAAGTGTAATGTGTGGTTTACGTACCAATATGGGATCCCTAGATGAAGCTTGATCTATAATATTAATAATAATAATAGTAATGTACACCACATACTATCAGAAACAGTTATCTCTTCCTGCAGGAATCATTTCGGGCTCTGATAGAGCCTGGGATGAAGGAATTTTTATACCTGTTTTTTGTGGTTGTAGAAACTCACAGCTGATGGCCAGAAGGTAAACAGATTGTATTCTGAGCTGAGAGGATGGTCACTATAAGACCAAATGGACACAGCTTTTTTAAGAACCTGCTTGTTAGAAATATGATTCAAGCTAGTGAACTGCACGCCTGCAATCTTACTTACCACCTTTACAATCCTGTCCAGGGCATTTTTCTCTCTGGTCCACAGGTTGCCGAAGAAGAGACTTTCGTCTCTTCTTCCTGATATTAAAAAGTCTGTATTAAAGTCATGAGACAGTTTTATTTATTGTTGAAATGTTTTTATTGATTTTCCAGCAGCAGCTTCTTTTTTGATTATTGATCAGCTGATTGACATATATTTATATTTTTAACTATTTCAGTTAAACAGCTTCAATAAAAACATTTAATTATAAAAACTATAAAATATTTGAAATGGCACAAATTTAAAGATTGATCACATGATCTCGTTGTGACCACTGGGTCATGTGACTCAGTCTAATTGATTCTGTCTGTGCGTATTTGGGATTCAGCTTAACAGGAAGTTATCATACTTGACTGTGAGCACTCCCTGTTTGTAACCATGGAGACTCCCACTTGTTTCTGCAAGTTTAACAGCTGAGTATGACACCTGTCTGAATTATGCTGACCTGAAGGCGATAGTTTTTCAGAGGATAGAAGGGGACGGTCCCGCCCTCCTTCGCCTCTGATTGGCTAGAAGTGCTGGGCTCTGAATGTTCATGCCTTATGGCTGTGAAACGTCATCGTTTGTCGGGTTAGGAGATTCAGAATTGCTAAAATGTTCTGTTTGATGTACAGAGCTAACAGCCAGCCTTTGGCCTGAGCGTGTGACGACGTTTCACAGCCAATCAGAGGCGAACGGGGCGAGACCTTCCCCTACCACCTGGCTTTTTCCTGGGACTATTTCAATGCTGATATGAGTGTAACTTTAAAACCCACTTTATCCGAGTCAGTTGGAAGTTGAGTATGAGTCAGGTATCTTGTGCACAAAAGATGACTTCTATCTTGTTTGCACGGTGTGGTTATTTTGCATGAGGACATTAGTCCGATGATCGTCCATCATCGTTCATCTATAAAGATCATTTTTCCTTTTCTTAAGATAACTCTGAAGTACGACCTGTGTGCTGTTGATAAAATCTGGTTTCAACAAGATACTGACTTCTGTCCACAAGAAAAGTCATCCTGTTATTACAGAAGACCTGAACTGATTAAAGTTTTCAGGTGGTTATCTTGCAAGCACAAGATACTAATCTTCTGGGATCAGGTCTTGATCCTGTGTGCACAATAGAAGGTATCTTGCACACTCATGATAACTCACTCCTTCCTGGTAAAAACTGTGGTCTCTATTAGGATCTCGTTGGGAACCTCTTCGACTCTGATTGGCTAGAAGTGCTGGGCTCTGATTGGTTCTTCCTAATGGCTGTGAAACATCATCGTATGTCGGGTTAGATCCAGAATTGCGATTCTGGTCTGTTCGATGTACAGAGCCGACAGCCCGAGTTTTGCTTGAGCGTGTGACGACGTTTCACAGCCAATCAGAGGCGAAGGAGGCGGGACTTTTCCCTACCATCCTACAAAAGAAAATATCACGACCTGGAGCTCCACAGGTGAGGACGTGTTCAGGGACAGAGCAGAGTGCTGTTTGCTGCTTCAATACCAATAGGAAGTGATGTCATTGATAAAACTCCTCCAAAATAAAAGTCTGATCATCGAAAATTTAAAAACTGCAATGTGAGGACGCTGGAAATCTGTTGAAATAAACTAAAATATTAAATTATATTAAAATCATTTTTACTGGAGTGATTTTTTAAATCATTGTTCCTATCTGACCGCCTCGGATTTCTACGACTCTCAAATCTTCGTTCCAGGAGGAGCTGAGGTATGGCACGGATGTGGCGTCACCAGGTAAATCACCATGTTACTGGAGTTCGACAGTTAACTGTGTACCAGCTGACTGCATGTTTGTAAACACAGCTCAGTTTGAATAAAGTTATTTTGAATCCAGACGACCTGAACACACAGGGCTGGAATCATATGATAGGTGTGTGTGTCACTCTACCCCCTCCTCCCCCTCTCTCTCCCCCAGCAGCACACACAGCTCGCTCAGCCTCTGCTGCATCTTGGGAATCCCCGACAGTTGGTTCTCCAAGCGCTGCTTCTCCTCCTGCAGGAAACAGGAGACAGGAAACAGGAAAAAGGAGATGTGACGTTCAGCCGGGTTTAAAATTTCACAGGATTACAGCCGACGCCAAAAAAGCCACATGACCACAGGAACAAAGTTCATTGGCTGAAGTTTGGTCTCTTGTTTTGACACACACACACACACACACACACATTCAGTGAGCCCCGATGTGAAGCTGGTTACCATGGTAACAAAAGAAAGTTGTCAGTCAGCCCTCAGCAGTTACTTTAGCGTCTGTGAAAACTGAGAGTGTGTGTGTTTGTGAATCTGTGTGTGTGTGTGTGTGTAGCCAACGAACACATACACAGACCTGCATGTCATGTGCAACCAGACTGCCAGAAGCATTCACAGTTATAGACTTTTATATCAAAGAGGGAAGGAAGGAAGGAGGGAAGGAGGGGAGGAAGGAAGGAAGGAAAGAAAGGAATTGGAAATAAGGTTAGGAAGGATGTAAAGGAAAAAACACAAAAAAGGAAGGAGGGGAAGAAGAAAGGAAGAAGAAAAGAAGTGAAGGAAGAAGTACAGCAAGACATAAAGGAAGGAAGGAAGGAAGGAAGGAAGAGAAAAAGAGAGTGGTAATGAAGGAAAGGAAGTAGAAATAAGGTTAGGAAGAAAAGGAAGGAGGGGAGGAAGAAAGGAAGAAAGGGAGGCAGGAAGAAAGGAAGGAAGAAAGAAAGAAAGAAGGAAGTGAAAAGTACAGAGGTAATGAAGTAAGGAAGTAGAAAAAAGGTCTGGAAGGAAGTAAAAGAAGTAAAAAGGAGGGAGGGGAGGGAGAAAGGAAGTAAGGAAGGAAGGAAGAAAGTAAGGAAGGAAAGGGATCATAAAGGAAAGGAAGTAGAAATAGGGTCAGGAGAAAAGTAAAGGAAGAAGCAAAAAGGAAGAAGGGGAGGAAGAAACAAAGAAAGAAAGAAATAAGTGAAGGAAGAAGTAATGAAACACAGAAAGAAAGGAAGGAAGGAAAAGTAAAGAGGTAATGAAGGAAAGGAAGTAGAAATAAGGTTAGGAAGAAAAGGAAAGGAAGAAGTAAAAAGGAAGGATGGAAGGAAGAAAGGAAGGCAGGGAGAAAAGAAGAAAGAAGGTAAGGAAGGAAGGAAGTGAAAAGTACAGAGGTAAGTAAAAGAAGTAAAAAGGCAGGAGGGGAGGGAGAAAGGAAGTAAGGAAAGGAAGGAAGAAAGGAAGAGAAAAGGAAAGAGGTAAAGAAGGAAAGGAAGTAGAAATAAGGTTAGGAAGAAAAGGAAAGGAAGAAGTAAAAAGGAAGGGGGGAGGAAGAAAGGAAGAAAGAAAGGAAGAAGGAAAGAAAGGAAGGAAGAAGGGGAGGAAGAAAGGAAAGAGGTAATGAAGGAGAGTAAGTAGAAACAAGGTAAGGAAGGAAGCAAAGGAAGGAGTACAAAAAAGGAAGGAGGGGAGGGAGAATGGGAGGCAGTAAGGAAGGAAAGAAAGGAAGACAGAAAGGAAGGAAGGGAGAAGGGGAGGAAGAAAGGAAGGTAGAAAGGCAGAGAGATAGAAGATCCAAGGAAGGGATGAAAGAAAGAAAGGGCAAGAGAAAAAAGTAAAAGAAATAAGAATTTAATGAAGGAAGCCAAGAAGAAAGAAGAAAAGAAAGAAGAAAAGAAAAAAACGACAAAGAAAGGAAGGATCTCTTTTTCTGTTTCTCTCCTGTGAGGTTCATGGAAATCTGCTGACCGGGCGTCTTCTTCAGATTGACTCTATTCTTTTGTTATTATCTCCCATCATGCATCTGAAAGATCAAAGCGTGTTTCCACCTTCCTGCTCACCTGTGATGACATCACAAAAACCACATGATCACAGGACTCACCTGCAGGGAGAGACGAGTGGAAGCGTCGAGAGGCTCGAACCGCCATCCTCCCTCTCCGTCAAACTGCAGCAGGTGGGAGTGGTACTTCCTGTGGGGGGAGGGACCGGGGTGTCAGCAGAGAACAGCCCCTAAACGCAATCACTTTGTGTGTGTGTGTGTGTGTGTGTGTGTGTGTGTGTGTGTGTGTGTGTGTACTGACCACAGCGAGGGTCTGTGTGTGATTGACAGCAAGGCTATCCCAGCATCCTTGGCGGCCTGGAAGATGCTCCCCTCCACATCGATGCTGACGGCGCTCGTGCACTCATCGAGGAGAGCGTAACGAGGACTGGGCGAAAGAGAGAGAGAGAGAGAGAGAGAGAGAGGGGGGGACGAGGTCATACTCTGGTCCTGGTCCCAACAGACTAACAGAGAGATCTGGACCACAGAACATTTCAGAGGATGGTAGGGGAAGGTCCTGCCCTCCTTCGCCTCTGATTGGCTAGAATTGCTGGGCTCTGATTGGTTATTCCTTATTAAGGCTGCAACAACGAATCGATTAAGTCGATTCGTCGTGACGAAAAAATCCGTTGCCAACTAATTCTGTGATCGATTCGTCGGGTCTTTATATATGTCCATGGACACCGGCGTGTAAACATCAGCAGGACGCACAGAAAAGAAACAGCCATGGCCGAGGCAGCAGCTGAGAAAAACATGGACACAACCCAACCCAAATCCTGACCTAAAACATCAGTGGTGTGGGAAAACTTCACCAAGACTGAAAAGGAAGGCGTTCAGTGCAACATTTGCAAAGACCGTTTTGCATGGCTCGGGAGTACATCGATGATGCGTGAGCACAGGGCTCTCGAGTCTCACGCATTCAGTGTGTGACACACGCATTCCCACCCGTTCACACGCCACACATTGTAAGCAAGCCAATCAAATAAAGTATGTCTACTGAACAGCCAATCAAAAAGCAGCATTGCTGTATCCGGGTAGATTTTGATATCTTGCGGTTTGACTACAGAAGAAGACAGACACTCGCCGAAATAGAGCAGGTTTTTATAAGGACGGGATAGACCCGATGATTACAGTAAGTCAGTAACCTACACATGCAGAGACCTCAACACCTCATGGCAGATAAACTCATATGATAAACTAAAGCCCTATGCTATTGCTATTAACAGCTGCATTGATGAATTTAGCCTCTGTACAGCCATTTCCAGCCATTTCCCTCCACAAAAGCAGCATTTCTCATATATTCTTTTTAAAGTTCTGATACTCATGACAGTGTAACGCTGATGTACCAAAGGATTAAGTATCTCCATGTTTGTGAAACCTATACTAAAGTACAATTCATCTAAATGCTCCTCAGTGCTGATTTTAACAACTCTCCTCCACAACAGGTAACTTTACTACTTTATTCTTAAAGTCATTAATGACTTTATTCTCCTAAATAATAACTTTAATCTCAAAGATTTAAAAATGTTTTTTTCTTTCTTAATGTGGCCCTCATACTCCATTGTATTTATTAGATTATTATACTAATAATTATCTTCAATCACTCTTCGACAAAAGCAAAAAAAAAAGTTTCTGTGTTTATCCGATTAATCGATTAGTTATTAAAATAGTCGACAGATTCATCGTTAGTTGCAGCCCTACTCCTTATGGCTGTGAAACGTCATCATCTGTTAGGTTAGGGTTAGGAGATTCAGATTTGTGACAATGTTCTGTAATGTTCTGTTTGATGTACAGAGCCTACAGCCCGCGTTCGGCTTGAGCGTGTGATGACATCATCCTAGGAAAAAAAGTATGGCCCCCCAGGAGACAGGAAGTGAATATTTACCGGTGGTAGAACATGCGAGCCATCCCCATCCTCTGCTTCTCTCCTCCAGACAAAACATCCTTCCAGTCTCGGACCGACTCCCAGCCTGGGGACAAAAACTCTGGATCCTGATCTTTGTTTTTGCTGAAGTCAGCGGATAAGTTCACCAACATGGAGAAACCATCAACACACACTCACCTCCCTCTCTGTCCAGGATGTAGAGCAGGTGCACCGTCCCCAGGATCTCCTCAAGATCTGAGTCTGTGACCCCTCTCTGAACCATCTCCTCCACTGAGTCCGGGTAGATCACCTGGTCCCTGAGGGTCCCCTCAGACATGTAGGGCCTGCAGGGGACGACATCACTGTTACAGAGAGAACCTGGAGCACCTTCTCAGACCAGATCCACCTGAGTCTGATCGAGCTTTACAGATTTTCTTGATGTCAAGTCCAGGTGGATTTTGGATTTGATTTTTTGTTTTCTTTCTGAATTAAAGGTGTTGTAGTCAGGATCTGAGGAAGTGCCAGTTTTTAGGAAAAATCTTGAATGTAAACTCTACCCCTCCCAACCAGTTTTCCCCTCAGCTCCTCCTCTCCCCTCCCTCTCTGCTCCATCAAGCCCCGCCCACAAACAGACGCTCCTGCTCGCTCATATCATGGTGAAAGTCAAAAGCATTGGTGCTACTGTAGATGCCAACAGACTACCTGCAAACACAATGTTTGCAGGACTTCTACAACGAGGATAAAGTGACATAGTCCAGGACCCGAGGGAGGACAGTTTAGCGATGGCGCTACAACACGCTACAGCAGGTCCGTTTGACAAGAAACACTTCTGTTACAGACACTTGTCTTACTTTGTTAAAGCGGTTTACCTGTCCAGCATCAAGGTTACAGGGTCACCAAGATCCCCAAGTGTTCACTGATGTTGACTAAGGATGCACCAATTCAATATTTGGATTGGATATCAGCTCAGATATTGGCAAATTAACTGGATGGGATATCTGATGAATGATGCCGATCCAGTCTTTTTTTTTCTTTTAATTAATATCACACACAGAAACACAGCCATTCTGTTCGCTCTATATTTTATGTCTATCGTTCTGCTCTAAATGTTTACATGCAAGTCTTACTTCTTTTTGCTCTGTGCTAATGTGTAATTTGTTATTTGTTAATAAATAATATGAAGTAAATTTATATCTGTGTTAAATTGTTACCTTTTTTTTAACAAAGCTAATGCCAAGCCTGATGCCTTCACTCACAGGGCAAGGTTCGCAGTTAATTCATTCAACAGTAATATTGGATCGGTATCGGATAACGGCCGATATGCTCAGCCCAGGTATTGATAACAGAATGGATCAGAAAAAATGGATCGGTGCATTTCTAATGCTGACCTGTCTTTTTAGCTCTTGTCTGGTCTACCTCCGTTTTAAGCGCCCGTTATTCCTCCAGAGTCTCCGGTATTTACTTTGTTTTCTTGCTTGTGGTGGCAGTCGTGGCCAAAGGAGGATTCAGACAATTTTTCAAACTTTCTGGTTGGATTCTACTATCCGATATTCTAGCCCTCTAACTTTGTTCGGGCTCGTGAACGTTATTCAAGGACGTGATGCGTGCCTTACAACACGGGGGAGCAGCGTCCGCCTCACAACCAATCAAGTTTGGAGAGGCGGAGAACGGCTTTGTTTGAATGAGCAGGCCGCTCAAACATGTTAAAACGTTGACTACTGCATTTTTCGCACTATAAGGCGCACCAGATTATAAGGCACACCATCAATGAACGCGTCTATTTTCATACATAAGGCGCACCGAATTATAAAGTGCATTAAGCTAAACAAAACAGTCAGATAAGTCCAACTTTACTGAACTCATTCAATAACTCTGCAAGGCTACGGTAGCTGCAGTGCTCCAACAAGCCAAAAGGATTTTAAGTGCGCCTTATAGTGCGAAAAATACGGTACACAGACACAAGAGAACACAGCGATATTGTTATATTCCCAAATATCATCAATAACTAATAAGGATCGACTGATATTAAAAGCGTTTTTGTAAATTCACCCCAAGATAAGATGCTTTTTTACCAGAATCCTGCCTACCCCACCTCTAAATCCTAAAGTTTAAACCAGTCCTTACTGCATTACTTTTACCTTCTATTCTCTGAAAGAAGTGCGCTGATTTATAACCTCTCAGAACAAAGTGTGGAAACGTACCAAATCCTCTGTTACAGGGAAACCTGGACACAAAACAAAGCTGTCTGCGGTGATGTAAAACCTCCTTTAGAGGGCGTAAGGCCAAAACCATAGACTGTGTATACTATGGACAACTTGGCTCCGCCTCCCGCCTGTATACAGATTTGAAGCCCAAAAGCTCTCGGTATTTCCGGGATTTTTCTTCATTTCCTGAGAAAGTAGCGTTGTAGCGCAATAGTGTTGCGCACATTTGGCAGGAGAGTCGCCGAGAGTTGCTGTGATGACGCTCAGCTCAAACAACACACCCCCCCCGGTGAGCTCCGCAATCCCTGAACGCCAACAGGCTTTATCAGGTGTCAATCAAAGAAAACATGAACCCCCAAATAACTTTTAAAAACGGAGCTTCACAGAAAAAAAAGGACTTGAGCACAAACCAGTCTTACTGTAACTACATGTCAACATCACAACCAGGGGGGAGAAACATTTATGTTCTGTGTCATTAATTTATAAAGTTCGTCCACAGCTCCATGAGCTTTGCTGGCGGAGGCGGGATTTATGACCTATACTGCAGCCCGTCACCAGAGGGTGCTGTTCTCAAAGTGGCTTCACCCAGCGAGGAGGCAGACTCTGTCCATTCTATACAGTCTATGGCCAAAACACAACAACAACAAAAACAAACTTCACAACAACACTGTCACAACACTTCATGACAACAACAACAACAACAACAACAACACAAAACAGGAAAACGTGAATCTAACACAGATTTCTTAAAAGACCAAGACTGCAGCCAAAGTTCGACAGGTAATAAAGGTGTAACAAGAGCGTGAGCACCTCTGCGGGATGTAGAACATGTGCTGGGGTTCTGGGCGGTACAGCACTCCTCCATAAACGGGCCACAGTCCACTGAGGATCCTGAACAAAGAACTCTTCCCACAGCCGTTTGGACCAGTGATCAACACGTTCATCCCCTCGTCCACCTGAGACAGACAGACAGACACACACACACACACTTGATTACCACACTCGCCCCCTTCAGATCAACGATAAACCTCAACTGTCATTATTCTTAATGTGTAGTTTCAGAAAAGTCTGATTAGTTATTAAAGATGCGGTTCATAGTTTGGGGATATTCAACACCATCTAGCAGTAAGGCTACGTTCACACTGCAGATTATGATGCACAACTCGGATTTTTTGTTAAATCCGATCTTTTTGTGCAGTCACTCACATTACAACAATGAATGTGGCATCTAATGTGGACGGAATGCGTCTGTGTAGTGACCCGCATGCCCACAACTAGCTGTTCTCCGTTTCCTCGTCCACCATTGCTTTCTGCGCCGGTTTGTGTTGTCGAAGTATGGTGACGTTTGTTGCATATTGATGACGTAAAGGTCGGATGAATGCGACCTGAGTGTCCACACTGCAGTCACATCGGATACATATCAGATTTATATCCACATACAAAAGAGGCCTGGGTCGGATTTGAAAAAAATCTGAATTGCACTGTTCACACTTACAAGAAAAAATCAGATATGTGTCACATATGGTTAAAAAAATTGAAATTGACCAGTACAGTACATTTCCATGACACTCGAGTAAACCGAATTATCACCTTATTCCGATTAAGACTGGACAACTGAAGTGCATATGAACACCTTAGTCCGGCTATAATCGCAGTTTGAGAACTCCAATTAAGACACCCAGATAATTCGATTGGAATTCAGTTTTCTCTACCATGTAACCAGCGTAGTCGGAGTATGATCGGACAATGCATGTGCACATGCACCACGCCCCCATAACCCCAGAGCAAAAAGACCAGAGAAGAAGAGTAGAGTTCATCTCATCAGCAGAAAAAGTAGCGCGTTCATCATGTACGACAAAAATAATGCTGTACACTCCATCTTGTTGCTCTAAAATGCCCAGCAGCAGTTGTAGACACTTCTGACGTCTGGTACGGACCTGCTGTTGTTGTTGTTGACAGTTGTGCGGGGTCAGAAACAGCGTCGCTGTAAAAACCCATATCGCCCCCTAGTTTTGGGGAGGACATGTTCACGTCAATAATTCGATTTTCTCAGCTGCGTATATACGTGGATAAGGAGAGAAGTCTGATTCGGTGAAAAAAGGAATTATTAGCTTAATCCAATTAAACTGTGCATGTAAACGAATGAGGCGATGGTGTCCGTTAAGGACCAAAAGAGATTCATAATTCTGCTGATTGTGACGCCGTGTTCCTTTAATATCACTCTGCTTCAAATTGGACGTCTCTGTATGTTTACTTTCTGTGAGTGTGTGCATGTGTGAGGAAACATGACAGTGTGGACAAACCTGTTTCACTTGCTGCCTCCAACTCTAGAGCTGAACCCCCCCCCCCCAGATCCCAGATGCCAGGAATGAAGACAAACCTAAACGTGTGTGAGTGTGTGTCCAGCCGGTTTGTATCCGAGGCGTGTTAAACTGTCCTCATACATGTGACTTCGGGGTGGCACTGAGAGGGCACTGACCAATCAGAGAGCAGGAGTCAGACCCATGAGGTCAGAGGTAGAGAGTCAGACGACAGCGAAGAATTTCTGTTTCCATCAATGTTCTTCTTCTGTGGTGTTTCCGTCCGTCTGTTTCCTTCCTGTCAGTGTGAGCCCTCTGAATAATTCCCCCATTGTGTTGATGTGTGCATGCATATGTCTGTGCGTGCAGTGTGTCTGTGTGTGTGTAAATGCTAATGAGCTGCAGCTCTGACCTCTGACCCCAGCCTCAGACAGAAAACTGGAGCGGAGAGAAAGAAAAAGAAAAGATAAAAGAGAGCAATGGAAAAAGAGATAATGGAGAGCCGAGGGGTGAGCGCACTGAGCGTGCTCATTAGCACAGTGACTTCATCATCATCAGAATGCCTCAGTGTTCCAGACGCTTGTTTGTCAGCTATGGTTTATGATGAAAAATGAGAAGTCAAGTTCTGAATCATGCAGCAGGACCGGATTAAATATCAGGACCAACACTGACACCATGTGGTCACTGACCCACAATGCACTGCTCTCAGGCTGTGGTCCTTTTACCTGCAACAGTTTTAACCAAAATGAAGCTGTAATCTCTCTTTCCTCACAGGCCACCGTAAGCCGTGGAAACAACGATCTGATCTTGATTATGCAGAGAGAGAGAGAGTCAGAAGACAAGACAGGAACCAAACTGTCATAACTCATTATCATAATCCACTCTTTTCATCCCAGGAGATGCCGTTTCCTTGCACAGGTTACACCAGCTGACTGGAGACAGACCATAGACTGTATATAGAATGGACAGAGTCTGCCTCCTCGCTGGGTGAAGCCACTCCGAGAACAGCACCCTCTGTTGATGGGCTGCAGTATAGGTCATAAATCCCGCCTCCGCCAGCAAAGCTTATGGAGCTGTGGACAAACTTTAGAAATTTATTACACAGAACATACATTTTTCTCCTTTTCGCTTGTGATGTTGACATGTAGTTACTGTAGGACTGGTTTGTGCTCAAGTCCTCTTTTTTCTGTGAAGCTCCGTTTTTAAAAGTTATAAGGGGGTTCATGTTTGCTATGATTGACACCTGATACAGCCTATGGGCGTTCAGGGATTGCGTAGTTCTCCCAGGGGATACGCTGTTTGAGCTGAGCGTCATCACAGCGACTCTCGGTGACTCGGCGGCCGAATGCTCGCATCGCTACTGCGCAGCGCTGGTTTCAGGAAGTGAAGAAAAATCCTGGAAATACCGAGAGCTTTTTGGCTTCAAATCCGTATACAGGCGGTAGGCAGAACCAAGTTGTCCATAGTATACACAGTCTATGAGACAGAGGCAGACACATGAAAACATGTCCCAGAGTGGTGTTTTCTCTGACCATGGCACAGGTGGTCTGGGTTCGACTGTCCTCTATCTGTCATCAGTTTATAATCCATCCAATAACATAATCCAGATTGCACACATTGACCATCTTGATCCACTCTTCAGGGTTACTTGGAACCGTGACAGAGGGGACCCGAAAAATGAGACAGTCCAGGTTGAGGAGTCGGGACAATGAAAATGCAAATGAACACGCTCCGTATCAGGTTCAATAAGCCCCACCCATTTCCCACTATGAAAATTTACCCCCAGTTTTCACTGACTCCGGAATGGCAGCGATATTTACCATCCACCAATTCCTACCGGATCCATTTAAGAGGCGAATTTCGTGGCGGATTACGGACAGTGGTAATCAGGAGAACTCACAAGAGCCCGCAGATTCACGTTCAATCACGCAATAACAAGTAGTCTCTATAAAGACAGACACATAGACATATAAGCAGTAGATTGTGTCCTTCCAGAGGAGGAAATCTACTTCTAGACTTCTAGAATCATCTTCTCCTCATCCATGGTGTCATCGGGGTGAAATGACGTCTAAAAACCTTTCACTTGTTCCTCTCTGCCAGTGTGCATGGTGTGAAATACGATCCTCCTGAAACACAGAGTGTTTTATTTTGAAAAGAAGCCGGATGTTTATTTTGTGTCTGTGCCCGACTTCCTTTCCAGCACATATAATCTGTGCTAAATATATCTGGCATGCTCCGGCGTCCGGAAAAAATAGAACTCTTGCGATCAGCTGAGGAGTCCGGCGATCTGCAGAGGAACGGAAAGAAGCCGGTGGAAATTGACACGTTGACTTGAATGGTTACGATCAGCTACGGATACAGCCTTTTCGTAGCCGTTCAGTATGCGGTGGAAATTGGGGGTTAGACAGCACTTAAACTGGAAGACTTTTAGTGGCAATGTATAAGTGTGTGTGTATGTGTGTGTGTGTGTACCTGAATGTTGAGGGAAGAAACCACTACATCTCCGGTTGGTGTGATGATTGGCAGATTAACACAACGAATCCCCTTCTCCATGCTGATCACATGTCCTGTGTACACACACACACACACACACACACACACACACACACACACACACACACACACACACACACACACACACACACACACACACACACACACACACACACACACACACACACACACACACACACACACACACACACACACACACACACACACACATACACACACACACACACACACACACACACACACACACACACACACACACACACTTATGAGTCCATTAAACCTCCAGTTTAAGCTCCTCCCACTGCAGCAGAAAGGTGCGGTAAGGCAGACTGTGCGCACCTGTTACTTGATTAAAACAGCTGTTTACCTCTGATCTGCAGAGGACCACAGACCCTCTGACCGTGCTGCATCACCTGTCCTTCTCCTCCTCCTCCTCCTCCTCCTCCTCCTCCTCCTCCTGTGAGCTGCTCCTCTGTTTCTGCAGCGCGACGGTAGATCCCCTCCTTCACATCTTCGAAAACATCCAACATCTCAGACACACGAGAGGTGTAACCAGCCAGCTCGGTTACCTGAGGACGGGAGGAAAGGAGGGAAGAAGACGAAAAAAAGAGACAAACCAGAAAATGATGAGGAAACAAAAAAGAGACAAATAGACAAGATAAGGGAAAAGGAGAGAAGGAGACAGTTATGAAAAAGTAGGAAACAGACAAGGAGAGGGAGGAGGAGGAAACGAAGGAAGCAGAAAAGGAGAAAACAAACAAGGGGACTGAAGGAGGTAGGAGAGGAGGAGACAGACAGGAAGAAGGGAGCAAGAGAGGAGGAGACAGACAGGAAGAAGGGAGCAGGTGAGGAGGAGACGGACAGGAAGAAGGAAGCCAGAGAGGAGGAGACAGACAGGAAGAAGGGAGCAGAGGAGGAGGAGACAGACAAGAAGAAGGGAGCAGGAGAGGAGACAACAAGTGAAGTGTTGAATAGGAGGTGAAGAGGAGCAGGAAGTTCACCTCCTTGTAGGAGCTCATGATCCTCTCCACGGCATCAGCAGCAGCATTGAGGAGGTTCCTCGCTGTGGTGAAGGCCTGTGTCCTCTCGCTCACAAGCTCCTCCTCCTTCATCACCAGAGCCGCCTTCTTCACCTCCTCAGAGTCTGGTGACATCAAAGGTCAGAGGTCACACACTGTGCATGCCTGTGTGCGTGAACGAGCAGTTGTGTGTGTGGTGTGTGAGTACCGTATTCGGAGTATCCTGTGGCAGTGATGATGGGAACCGCCACCATGACAAGTCCAGACGCGCTCCACATGTACTTCATCATAAACTGTTCCAACATGATGTACCAGAGACGCTTGAGCAGGATCTGATGGATCTGAGACGACAAGGAGCTGTAGCTCCTCTGCAGCTGAGACATCTCCACCTACGAATCAAACACACCCACAACATCAGGCCCATCTCCATCTACGAATCAAACACACCCACAACATCAGGGACATCTCCGTCTATGAATCAAACACACCCACAACATCAAGGCTGTCTCCACCTACGAATAGAACACACCCACACCACCAGGGCTTTCTCCACCTACGAATCAAACACACCCACAGCATCAGGGACATCTCCGTCTATGAATCAAACACACCCACAACCTTAGGGACATCTCCACCTACGAATCAAACACACCCACAGCATCAGGGACATCTCCACCTACGAATCAAACACACCCACAACATCAGGGACATCTCTACCTACAAATCAAACACACCCACAACATCAGGGCCGTCTTCACCTACAAATCAAACACACCCACAACATAAGGGACATCTCCACCTACGAATAGAACACACCCACAACCTTAGGGACATCTCCACCTATGAATCAAACACACCCACAACATCAAGGCTGTCTCCACCTACAAATCAAACACACCCACAACATAAGGGACATCTCCACCTACGAATAGAACACACCCACAACCTTAGGGACATCTCCACCTATGAATCAAACACACCCACAACATCAAGGCTGTCTCCACCTACGAATAGAACACACCCACACCATCAGGGCTGTCATTTATCAACACCAGAGGAAGTTTCTGGCATTTCTCCACTAAGGGGGAATTTTAGGTGTCAGCGCTCACCTTGTGTCCTCCGTAGAAAGCGATCTCCTCTGAGTTGGCGATGATGCGTGAGTGCATGTACCTCAGGTCTCCTTTCCTCTTCGCCTCCTCTGCCACCAGCTTCCCAAAGCGTGGCGAGCACGAGCGCAGGACTTTGGCGGTAAGCGCCACAACCAGGCCGGCGATGACGGAGGGCCAGGTGGTGTTAGCACCTGCCGAGAGAAGAGGATGGGTGAGGACCATAGACTATATAAAGAATGGGCAGCGTTTGCCTCCTTGCTGGGTCAAGCCACCAAGAGAACAGCACCCTCTGTTGATGGGCTGCAGTATACACTGATTCTGCGAAATGACCGGAAGTAGTACGGCCGCCATTACTGCGGTGTGAGCAAAGCGAACGAGAAGCAGTGCTGTAAGCAGCGACACAAGCAACCCTGCACAACTGTGTCAAGTCAGTCTGGGAGGACGTGTGCCGTCATCGGCTGTTACAACAACAGTAAAAGACTACAGTCGTGGAAAAAGTCGATATGTGAGACGCACATGCCGTTACTGAAAGAAGACTGTCCATGTTGCTAAGAGCTGAGCTAATGTAACATCCATTCAGTTCTTAGTTGTGCGCGATCCCACGCCCCGCATTTAGATCTTGGCAGGCATGCATTTGACGGCGTAACACTGACAGCCCATGAAACAAATATTTAATTCCTACATTATTTTTTAATCACGTAGGCTTGTACATAATGATTAATTGCCTGTTAGCTTGCGAGGGTCGGTACAAATGTAGCCTAGCCAGTGTTTACACACACATTTCCTCCTACTTCAGTATTTCACAATGAAATACTTCATACTTTTCATCGTATTAATTCCCAAATTAATATCGGTATTAATTTAAGATACCTTCATCAGTTACCGGAGGCCACTGTCTGACATCATCAAACCAGGTGACTTTACTCATGCTGTCAATGATGCTCTCAGACACTATTCACTAGCATACGTTTATTTGTTGATAGCATGAGAACTTCATGACGTTGCACACCGCAGCAATGGCACCGCCACAAGATGGCGGTGTACACAAACCGCTCACCCGAATCGGTGTATAGGTCATAAATCCCGCCTCCGTCAGCAAAGCTTATGGAGTTGTGGACAAACTTTAGAAATTTATTGCACAGAACATCAATTTTTCTCCCCCCTGCTTGTGATGTTGACATGTAGTTACAGTAAGACTGGTTTGTGCTCAAGTCCTCTTTTTTCTGTGAAGCTCTGTTTTTGAAAGTTATTAGGGGGTTCATGTTTTCTATGACTGACACCTGATACAGCCTATGGGCGTTCAGGGATTGCGTGGCTCTCCCGGGGGATAAGCTGTTTGAGCCGAGCGTCATCAATTAAATTTAATTCAATTCAGCTTTTTTTATATGGCACTTTTCATACATAAGGAAATGCAATTCAAAGTGCCTCACAGAGGCTAAAAACAACAATGAAGACAAAAACCCAACCCTTCCACCCACACATACACCAATGGACCCACACGCACACAAAGACACACACCCACCCTCACTCACCCCCACATACACACACACACACAACCGCACACAGTGTGAGAATTTACGATAAGAGTTTAAGAGACATGGCCTGACACCGAGACATTACATGAGGAAAAAGGTACCTTTAGGAAACACTGGAGATAAAAATAGAGATAAAAATGGTGAAGAGTCAAACCTGATGGACTAAAATAAGAAAATAATAATATTAAATGAACAAATAAATAAAAGGGGTAAAAGAAGTAAAAACCTGTGACGGTAAATAAAAAAAAAGGCTAAGAACAGAGATAATGGATAGAATGACATAAAATTAACATTAAGAACTTTGATTAAAATTAACATTTGCAATAAGAGAAATCTAAAATGGCAATTAGTAAAAATTCTGGTTAAAAAAGTGAGTCTTGAGCCTCTTTTTAAAAATATCAACAGTCTCTGCAGCCCTGAGGCTCTCCGGCAGGCTGTTCCACAACTAAAAAAACTGTTGTGGAACCAGAAAAACCATAAAAACTGAAAGCCGCCTCCCCGTGTGTTTTTGTTTTGACTTTGGGTAAGGTTAAAAGGCCTGTGCCGGAGGACCTCAGGGTCCACGAGGGTTGATATGGTAAAAGTAGATCAGATAAATAGGAGGCGCCAAGACCATTAATACATCGAAAAACTGATAAAAGAACCTTAAAATCAACCCTGAATCGGATGAGGAGCCAATGCAGCGATGCTAAAACTGGCGTTATGTTCTCTCGCCCTCTGGCCCTTGTCTGCACTCTTGCAGCTGAATTCTGTAAAAGCTGAAGTGTATGTAAGTTATTCTTTGGGAGGCCAGAGAGCAGGGTGTTACAATAATCTAAACGTGAGGAGATAAAAGCATGCATCAGCACCTCCTGCTGGCCTGAGAGAGAAACGGGCGGACTCTGGCTATACTTTCAAGGTGGTAAAAACCTACCTTTGCTATGTTTTTAATGTGTGGAATAAAACTGAGAAAATTACGCCCAGGTTTTTTTATAGATGTTGATACTTTAAAATCACAGCGACTCCAGCCGACTGCGTGCCTGAATGCACGCATCACTACTGTGCAGTGCTAGTTTTAGGAAATGAAGAAAAATACCGGAAATACCGAGAGCTATTTGGCTTCAAATTCGTATATTCGGTAGGCAGAACCAAGTTGTCCATAGTATATACAGTCTATGGTGAGGACACAGGACGACACTGACTCAGATGCTGACTCAGGTGGACACCGTGTACCTTTGGACTGGGCGGTACGCAGCAGGGTGTAGCAGGTGACCACCACGTCCAGGATGGGTTTGGTCAGGTTGGAGTACAGGTGAGCGATGGAGGCTGAAAACATGACAATGTCTTCGGTGAGAGACTGATCAGGATTGGACAGACGGCCGTCCATGTTGCTGACACGATAATACGTCTGTGCAGAGACAAAAAGAGACGCCATGATGACATTTACAACAGGTGTGACGTCTTTAGTCAGTGAATCGGGCGAGGACATGTTCTGGAATCGCCATGTGACATCTGTCTAAACCGCCGTGCTGATGTGTCTGTTACCTGATTGGTGAAGTAAAGCTGGTAGGCATGGTCGACCAATCGGCTCCTAAAGCTGAGGGTCAGCTGACCCTCCAGGAACCGGATGGTGCTGTTGATGAAAGTGGCGGGCACGGCCACAAGGAGCCACTTAGAGAGCTGCATGATGAACGCCTGAGGGTCCTTCTGTACGATACACCTGACGATCACACCTGATCAATAATCAATACACACAGCTGATCATCCGGGTTAAGTTTGAGGATTTTATTTTGTAATAATCTATACTAATAAACACACACACACACACACACACACACACACACACACACACACCATCCAGAGAAGCCACGTAGATGGACAGGAAGGTTCTGGACATCAGGGTTAGGGAGTGGAGGACCAGCAGGCCGATCTCTGGACACAGTAACCGTGGAAACAAGAGCTTCAACAACCGAGACAGTCTGAGGACAAAGTCCCTGTTTACTGCTGGAGACCTGCACACACACACACACACACAGAGAAACATAACAGTTATCAGATGAATGAAAACTATAACACACACACACACACACACACACAGACAGACATAAACACATACTTACCTGCTGAGTCTTTTCTGCTTCTCTGCATTGCTATCGGCACAGCTGGAGGAGGTGCTAACCACGCCCACAGGAAGGTTATTCCCACCCAGTTGTTTACCTGCTGCACTTCTCTGAAAACAAAACAAACACACTCAAAGATCAAATAACTGATTTGATGTGATTGTACTGTTGTACACACCTGTGCACCTGTGCTGGGTCTCACTGTGACTGATTTTGTGTGTTTAAAATATAGATGTGTGATAGTTAGATGTTTGTTTTAATCAGAGTAAATACAGATCCTGTGTAATTGAAGTACTTTTACTTTTATTTGTACTTCTGGAATACTTATCAAAGTGTCTCACCTGTAACCTCTTCCAGACGTACGGTGTCAGTTTTTTAACCGCATAGGCGGCAAGCAGGATGGCCGTCAGCTTCCTGAGTCTGGAGCTACGCCTGAGCTGCGTGGGGAGCTTCTGATAGGTCAGCTGCATGCTGACGGACAGGTGACAAGCAACCAACCAGGGGACGGTAACAGCAGCGGGTCATAGGAGGAGTCCACTGAGGACTGCAGCCTCGTCGTCATGGAGAAGACATGTTGACCTGTGATATGTGAGGGTCTACCTGTTGGGGGGGAGACACACCTGCTCAGGTAAATGATGATGTCCCAGGTGGTAATTAGGCGGGTGCATTTATGAATTAAAAGAAAACACTTGACCCTAAAAAAAATTCTAACAAAGGTTTCTCAGTTGTTTTTTAATAGTATCAGATATCCTTAACAACAAACTAAAAGTTTACCAAAGTTTGACCACTAGAAAGGTGTCATTTTCAAGATGGCGTCCATGATGGGTAGGAAGCCCGGGGAGACACCCCAGGTAAATAGGGTAAAATTTTCAACTAACAGATATCACCATGAAACTTCCCAAGTTAATAACTTACATTAATGGCCTGGGGGACAAATGACCTCCTCAATCTGTCAGTGCGGGACGACACTGATAACAGCCTGTCACTGAAGGAGCTCCTCTGCATGGAGATGGTGCTGTGCAGAGGGTGATGGGGGTTGTCCTGGGTGGAAAGGAACCTGGCAAGAGTTCTCTGTTCTGCCACAGATGTCAGGGAGACCAGTTCTGCACCAACTATGGAACCCGCGCTCCTTAACAGTCTGTCCAGCCGCAAGGAATCCCTCTTCTTGATGCTTCCTCCCCAGCACACCACAGCATAGAAGAGAGCACTGGCTATGACTGTCTGATAGAACATCTGTAGCAGTTCGTTGCAGATGTTAAAGGAACAGACCTTCCTTAGGAAATACAGTCGGCTCTGCCCCTTCCTGTACAGGATGTCTGAGTTTGGGGACCAGTCCAGCCTCTCATTCAGATGCAGTCCCAGGTATGGTGGAGGCCTGTGACCATCGGGCCTGGGCCTCCTGAAGTCGACCACCACCTCCTTGGTTTTGGAGGCACTGATGTGCAGGTAGTTGGACTTACACCAGGTGACAAATTCATGGATAAGGTTCCTGTACTCTTCCACCTGACCATCCCTAACACACGCCACAATCGCAGTGTCATCTGAGAACTTCTGGATGTGGCACAACTCTGTGTTGTACTTGAATGTACACTACAGGCCAAAAGTTTGGAAGCAAGATCAGATTTGTACAAAAACAGATCATAGTTTCATATTTATTAATTTGCAACACAATAAACATGATTATTGTGTAAAGAGTAACTTATCAGAAGACATTTTGACTATAATTATGAGGTATTTGAGTTATTGTTGCTTAGACTTTGCTTTCTTTAAAGTAACCTCCTCTGGCTTTAACAACAGCTTGGCATATACCAGGCATTCGTTCCACAAGTTTTTTAGGGTATGTTTCAGGGATTGCATTCCAAGCTTTCTTAAATTCATTAAAAAGAGACTGCTGATTCATGGGACGCGTTTTTCTGACCAATCGATCCAATTCATCCCGCACAAGCTCAACTGGAGAAAGGTCTGGAGACTGAGGGGGCCAAACCATCTTTTGAAGAACACTTTCCTCTTCTTTTTTTGTCTAGGTAATCCTGACAGAGCTTGGCAGAGAAACAAAATTATGAGCCACAAGTCTGAGTCCAGATGGAACAGCATGGTGCTGGAGGATGGAGTGGTACTGTTCCTTCTTCATGATACCTTTCACTTCAAACAAATCTCCTACTCCATCAACCACAAAACATCCCCATACCATGGAACTACCACCTCCATGCTGAATTGTGGGTGTAACACATGGTGCTATCAGATGTTCACCAGTTTGTCTGTGGACATAGACTCTGCGTTTTGAACCTAACAGTGCAAACTTGTTTCTAGTCATGAGTCCAGTTTTTGTGAACCTTTGCCCACTCATATCTCTTTTTCTTGTTCTGTGGACGAAATAGTGTTTTTTTTTTTGCAGATACACAACCCTTCAGACCAGCCTTTCTCAAACATCATTTCACGGTTGTCAGAGATATGTGTTTCGACCTTGTCATATAGAATTCCTCCCTTATTTTTGGTGCTGTCATTTGCCAATCTCTTTAAAGGTCCTTCCACACCAGCGAATTTGCGGAGAGAAGCGAAAAAGCAAGACGAAAATGCGAAAATATTCGCCGGTCCGAAAAATTGCTTTCGCCTAAACACACCAGGCGCGAAGCGAATATGCGTATAAATTTTGCAAAGCGAACTAATAAATATATATTGTCTTTGGCGCGAGTTCTTTCGTGCCACGGAGGAAAAGAGAACAAAGAAATTGAGTCAACAACATCCTCAAGCGATGATGAGCTCGTTGTGATGCTTTTGACAAAAAAATGAAGACAGAAGGATAAACAAAGGAGTGTTTGGGTACATCCCATATTGACTTTGAGGAAGGAGATGGGTGAGTTCCACACCACCATCCAGCTGAAGTTCTACCCCCCAAAATTCCGCCAGTATTTTAGAATGTCCCTTGGGCAATTTAATGACCTCCTCCAGCAGCTGACCACACGGCTGGAGAAGCTTGGATTGGTTTTTGATTGATTGAGAAGCTTTTGATTGGCCAGAGGTCTAGCAGGTCCAGATATTCGCCTGCGAATCTCCGAAAAATTTGACACAAGAGCGAAAAAATAAAAGACACTTTTTGCCCCGCGGAAAAATCGCCGCCGGTGTGGAAGCTTGCATTGACTTTATGCTGTTTTAAAAAAAGGCGAATAATTCGCCTGGCAAATTCGCGCCTGGTGTGTAAGGACCTTTACTGGTGACAATGCTATGTTTATCCTCTGCTTTTGTAGTAACTCTCTTTCAACCAGGTCTTTTTCTATCATCATAACTTCCAGGTTCCTCTAGTCTCTTCAGAGTGTAGTGGACTCCTTTGTTAAACACCTTTAGGTGTTTTGCAATTTCTCTTTCTGTGTATCCTTCTTTCCTCAATGTACAAATCTGTACTTTTGTTTCTTTACTCAGTTTCTTCTTTCTAGCCATTTTTGCAGTAGTTTGAACGCAGTTGAGATTTATTAGGATTTTTGTCTGCAGACTCTCAAAAGCCAAAAAGTTTAAGTGAATAATCCGATTGTGATTTGTTTTTTGCTTTTGCACTGAAGTTGTGACTCAAATGTTTTCAACCCTAAAACTAAGCCCTTATTATCTTTTTCTGACATATATTTAGCAATGGTCTGTTAACATCAATGTTTATCTAAAGGTAAATGGAGTAAAATGGTGCATTTCCATGAAAGCAACATCTGATCATGGAGTAAATACATCCCAAAATACATAAAACTCATGCTGGATTTTAAAACAAAGCATTGTGAACAAAAACTTGGAAGTTACTCCCAACTGTTCGGCCTGTAATGGCCTTGCTTCCAAACTTTTGGCCTGTAGTGTATTTGTATTACAAGTTTTGTCAAATGTTATGTTTGAATATGTAAATGGGGTAATATCTAATTAAATATGCACTAATTTACAAACATTTACAAAACCAAAATCTGATAATGGATAAAGCTCCTTTTAAAATTCTTGTTTTATTTCATTGACATACTACAGTGAGAAGGGGGGAGGAGGGAACTTTGGATATATCTTTTTATCACTCTGTAAATGAGAAAAAACTCTCACCACCCCTAAAAATTCCAATGTGACACTGTCTGTGGGTCACTAATTGTACTTGTAATCACTTATCTATCATACAAATATGCTAATTAAAATATTAGATGGTCAAAACATGAATCAGGAGCCAGTATTCCTGGTCTAGAATGAATACAAAGGGGTAACGGTCATTTTAAGGACCTGAAAAAAACACATGGAGATATTTGAATGTTTAGTGGTGGTGAGAGTATTTTCTCATTTACAGAGAGATAAAAAGAGATACCCAAAGTCCCCTCTTCACCCCTTCTGACTCTAGTATGTCAACAAAATAAAACAAGAATTTTGAAAGGGGCTTTATCCATTGATCAGTTTTCAGCTCTGGAAATGTTTGTAAATAAGTGCATATTAAATTAGATATTACATCATTTACATATTCAAACATAACATTTGACAAAAATTATAATACAAAAAATATTTGTCTTAATGTAAGTTATAAGGATAAGTTATTTACCTGGGGTGTCTCCCCGCGCTCCCTACCATCATGGACGCCATCTTGAAAAGGACACCTTTCTAGTGGTCAAACTTTGGTAAACCTTTAGTTTGTTTTTAAGGACATCTAATACTATAAAAAACAGCTGAGAAACCTTTTGTTAGAATTTTTTTTAGGGTTACGTCATATTTGCACCTGAGTAAAAGATTCATCAGGATCTTGTTGGGACAATTTTACTCGATAAACTGTGTCACATCAAAAACACAAAGTTTCTCCTCCAATCAGACGTCTGCTCAAACACCTGATATCTGATCAGTTCTGATTAAGGTTGTTGATCGGTCAACAGAGCTGCAGCAGGAGCAGATTAAATTATTAAGGGCTCAGAGTGCCCCCTGCTGGACAAAATGGTGAACTTATTCAAACACTGGGCCAAGGTCAGAGAGGTAAAGTTTTCACATTTCAACAGATTAAAGTCTGTGAACAAACAGCTGATTTACTGATCGGTGGTTTCTTTGTTTGATGATTCAGATTATAAGTGCGTCTCTGAACAGATTTCCTCTGTCTTCACTTATCAAAGAAAATTGTCTGTCTGAAGAGTTGCACAAATAAAAATCAGCCACAGTCCTGGGGTGTGTTCATGACCTCCTGTTTGTTCCTCATCTGGTCTCTGCAGGATCCTGATCACGTGTTTCACTGAGTCAACACCACATGTTGATCACTGAGACCCTCAGAGACCACTGTGAACTGAAAAAACACCTGATCCAGACCAGTTAGAGTTTTAAACAAAGCTAATGTTCACTAAAAAGGTAATCAACATTAAAAATCTAAGATTTGATTATATTTCCATGCAGCAAAATTTATGTGTGCGTTTCCAAGAGAGGTGAAAAGATCGAAATGAACCAGAATTCAGAATTAAAGTTTGAGACAAACTGAGCAGGATAGCAGACAAAGGAGGCAGGTTTAGTCCTTCTTTAAACCGGATAACAAGCTTGAAAAACAGGGAGGGTCGCAGGACAGTTTCACTAATAGACACAGAGCGTCCTGTAACCATGGCAACTGAGACAGAGAGAGAGAGAGAGAGAGAGAGAGAGAGAGAGAGAGAGAGAGAGAGAGAGAGGGACAATGATGCTGCTGCAGCTGATCACCTCTTACTGAATTAGACATGACGACTACACTTACAGCTTTATTATCGCAAGATTACTTAAGTACGACTTTGTACTTGAGAGGATTTTATTTAAAAATCTCTTTTTTTAGGTCCCTTTACCCCGTAGTATGTAAGAAAAATTAGTGGTGTTTAGCATTACTTAACTAATGTCAGCTTGAGTTTCGAAAACAATGAAAAACTCAGTATCTGAGAACTGAGATAAACTATAATTATTTAGAAAAAAAGAGGAAGAGTTTTAGAATCTTGCCACTAGATGTCGCTAAACATCCTGATTCTGCATACTGCACTTTTAAAACAACTGGCTGGATTGAAACTGTTAACATAAATACAGGAAATTAAAAGTACCGTCACATGTCACGCTTCGTTCAAGTCACCTCGGAAGTCAGATGTCGGAACTGAAAATGACGTTACACCTGAGTTCCGAGCCTTTCAGTTACCAAGTCGGAAAAAAGCTAAATCGGAGATGAAACAAGATGGTTACGTCTACTAAAGTTATTTTAGGACTTGCCACATGTTCGGACAATGCAAGCACCAAAATAACTTTCATAGATGTAGCCATCTTGTTTCCACCTCAGATTTTGCTTTTTTTCGTTTTTTGGGGGGCCTTGGCGTCTCTAACTATCTTTAACACACAACAACTTTTTTGCTGCAGTCAAGTCACCTCGGAAGTCAGATGTTAGAGCTGAAAATGATGTCATACCAAAGTTCCCAGCCTTTCAGTTATCAAGTCTTATGTTCAGACAAGGCAAGTGCTACAATAACTTTCATAGATGTAGGCAATAAAGTAAAATTGGAGGAGGGAACAAGAAGGCTACAGCTACGAAAGTTATTTAAGTGCTTGCCTTGTCTGAATATAAAATACATTTAATAAAAGTGCATTTCGTAGATGTAGCCATCTTGTTTCAGGCCTCTGATTTTGCTTTTTTCCAACTTGGTAACTGAAGCACTGGTAACTGGGGTGTGACGTCATTTTCAGCCCCGCCATCTGACTTCCGAGGTAACTCGAACGCAGCCTTAGCCTGTAAATTACTTGAAAGTCTTACTGTGGAAACTTACAGTTTATAACCCCCCCCCTTCATTTAAAAAAAACTGAGTCGGTGCCTCAGGTGGGCCCCCTGTTCGGAAAGTCTTGGCGCGCCCCTGTTAAGTGACCCTTTCTAGACTTCACTGTCCTGGGGTCACCTGTCTGACCTTTGAACTCTCGGCTCACGCACCTGTTGAACCCCTCACCTTCCCTCTAATCACGAAAACAGCCCCCGGCGAAATGATCCGGTCGTCGGTGGTGGGCTCAGCCCTGACACGGTACAGACCCGGTGAGGACCGGTGACCGTTAGATTGTCAGTTAGCCTGCAGGCTAACTGCTCAGCTAACGGTCCCGTTATTCACGGTGCTCCGGATAAATCAAGAGCTGCTTTAAAAACCTACGGATAACAGTCTCTGGTACCCCTCTTACTGAACCCACATCGAACCGGACCAACACTTAAACCCGTTTTTTTAAACTCCTGCGGCTAATAGAGTTGTGCTAACTCAAGCTAACTGCTAACAGACCAGGAACTTTGTTGTTCCTCTGATGTGGACATGAAAAGAGGTCAAAGTTTACCGCTTCAGTCCCGCAACAGACCGCGAAACACATCAAACACACACATCCCACATCTCCTCTGCATAAATATTAACTTTGTGTGCCGTATTTTACCCGGTTTGTGGAGTTTAATGCCCCAAAGAGAAGAAGAAAGTTTAGCATCTGTTTACCTGAGAGGACGGGCCGCGTCCGTATACCGTTAACATGTCCCTCCTACTCTCTCACTCCCTTCTCACACGTCCTACCTCTTCCTCCCCTGCCCTTAGTTGAATATGTAGGGGAGAGTGGGGTAAGTTGATCCACCCCATGTTTCTTGTAAATGGTAAAAGAAATTGATCATGTGACCAACTATATAGGAGATGAGCATCAATTCATGGAGTCTGTGAAAGTTCGAAGCACATGGGTGAGGGAGGGCTGGGGGGGGGGGGTCAACTTAACTTACCCTGCTCCTATGGTCAACTTACCTCATACACGGGGTATTTGCAAATCCTTTTCAACCTATATTCAGTTGAATACACTACAAAGACAAGATATTTAATGTTCAAACTCATAAACTTTATTTTTTGTTTTGCAAATAATTAACTCAGAATTTCATGGCAGCAACACGTGACAAAGAAGTTGGGACAAGGGCATGTTTACCACTGTGTTACATCACCTTTCCTTTTAACAACACTCAATAAACGCTTGGGAACTGAGGAGACTAATTGTTGAAGCTTTGAAGGTGGAATTCTTTCCCATTCTTGCTTGATGTTCAGCTTCATTTGTTCAACAGTCCGGGGTCTCCGTTGTCGTATTTTACGCTTTATAATGCTCCACACATTTTCAATGGGAGACAGGTCTAGACTGCAGGCAGGCCAGTCGAGTACCCGCACTCTTTTACTATGAAGCTACGCTGTTGTAACACATGCAGAGTGTGGCTTGGCATTGTCTTGCTGAAATAAGCAGGGACGTCCATGAAAAAGACGTTGCTTGGATGGCAGCATATGTTGCTCCAAAACCTGTATGTACCTTTCAGCATTAATGTTGCCTTCACAGATGTGTAAGTTACCCATGCCTTGGCCACTGATGCACCCCCATACCATCACAGATGCTGGCTTTTGAACTTTGCATCGATAACAGTCCGGATGGTTCTTTTCCTCTTTGGCCCCGGAGGACACAACGTCCACAATTTCCAAAAACAATTTGAAATGTGGACTCGTCAGACCACAGAACACTTTTCCACTTTGCATCTTAGATTGCAGTCCATCTTAGATGAGCTCAGGCCCAGAGAAGCCGGAGTGTTTCTGGATGTTGTTGATAAATGGTTTTCACTTTGCATAGTAGAGTTTTAACGTGCACTTACAGATGTAGCGACGAACTGTATTTACTGACAGTGTTTTTTCTGAAGTGTTCCTGAACCCATGTGGTGATATCCTTTACACATTGATGTCGGTTTTCGACACAGTGCCGCCTGAGGGATCGAAGGTCACGGGGATTCAATGTTGGTTCCGCCTACGTGCAGTGATTTCTCCAGATTCTCTGGACCTTTTGATGATATTATGAACCTCCCTCCACCCTTGCTTGTGAATGACTGAGAATTTTTGGGGAAGCTGCTTTTATACCCAGTCATGGCACCCACCTGTTCCCAATTTGCCTGCTCACCTGTGGGATGTTCCAAATAGCTGTTTAATGAACATTCCTCAAATTTCTTAGTATTTTTTGCCACCCTTCCCAACTTCTTTGGCACGTGTTGCAGCCATAAAATTCTGAGTCTGAGTTTGAACATTAAATATCTTGTCTTTGTAGTGTATTCAATTGAATATAGGCTGAAAATGATTTGCAAATCATTGTATTCTGATTTTATTTGTTTATCACGATTTCCCAACTTCAATGGAATTGGGTTTTGTAAATGCAGATACACTACTTAGAGACAAAACTATTATTAACTTGATGGAGTGATTGAAATATGAAAAATGGATCATCTTACCCTACCCAGTATAGACTCAGCGGTTTGACCGTAGCTTTATTGTGACGACAGGAGTCTGTCATCAAATTGGCCTATGACACTAACACTCCGATTATTAACAGGCAGATTAGAAGGAACCAGTGAGGAGAAACTTTTATTTAAAAACAGATTCTTTACAGTCTGTTTATTTATACGAAGCGTTCTCAGCTCATCAAACAGCAGAAACTTCAGAGTGAAAAAAGTACAAATGAGCAAAGAGTCCAAAAAGATAGAAAATGATGTATACAGCTTCAAATTTCAAAATATACAGAAACACAGTCGTACAAAGTGCACCTGAACGCATCACCGCGGGAATACCTGTGGTGTCACTGACAGACACAGCTGGACAACAGCTGGTCCTGGACCTGAAGAGGGACGCAGACCAAACGCTGGTCCATCAGAGTACTGGTACTCTGAGTGCAGCAGTGAGGACTCAGCAGGTTTCAGACTTGATCAAAGTAAAAATCAAAGTACTCCTCATCAGGGTGAAGTACTCCATCAAACTGTGATGCAGTGAGACAAACGGACATAAATTAAACTCAATCAAACATCAACAAAACACTCCGTTAAACACTGAAAACTTTGTACAGGGTTTGGTTGGCTGGTGTGGTTTCTGTGTGTGTCCCCGTCCCTGAATATTTTACTGCGCTGAGTACTAACACTGAATCACTGCAGAGTATCCTGATACTGCAGTATCCAGGCTGTATTTACACTGTGTGTGTGTGTGTGTGTGTGTGTGTGTGTGTGTGTGTGTGTGTGTGTGTGTGTGTGTGTGTGTGTGTGTGTGTGTGTGTGTGTGTGTGTGTGTGTGTGAGGGTATTCTGCTTTGGTGTGAGTCAGTTCAGTCATGTTTGCAGTCGGATGGTGGAGAGGAGGTGCATGCTGGGACTCCTTCTGCTTCCCTGGAGCTGCGGTCACATGACTGCATGTAGCAGCCAATCAGAAACAACAAGAGGTTATCTTACACCATACAAGCCCGCTTTCATTAGAGCTTAAATGAAGTCTGAAAGGATGATAAATTGATAATTTGGGGGTTTTGAAATCAATCTAATTAGTGTAAAGACAAGATGTTAGGAATTAAAAAAGTTGTGTTGTTTTATAAAAAATGTCTGCTCAGTTGAAATTTGAGGCCAGCAACATGTTTAAGAAAGTCTATGCCTGTTTTGTTGTTCCTCTGAAAGAACTTTGAAGAAAAATGTTGCTGAAATCAATTCGAAAATGAGCAGATATTTAAACTTTTTTAAACATTTGATTATTTGTCTTTTTAGGTGTGTTAAAGGTGGGTTAGGCAGGATTCCATTAAAGAAGCATCTTTTTTGTTGTGTATTTACAAAAAGCTTTTAATACCAGTCAATAGTTACTAGTTATTGATGATATTTGGGAATATAATGATATCTCTGTGTTCTCTTATGCCTGTGTCGTCAACATTTTAACATTTTTGAGCGGTCCGCTCTTTCTGACTGTAAACAAAGCTGTTCTCCACCTCCCCGACCTGATTGGTTGTGAGGCAGAGGCTGCACCCCTGTGTCATTCGAGGGCCCAAACAAAGTTAGCGTGCTACAATATCGGACAGTAGGAACCAACCAGAAAGTTCGGAAAATCGTCTGAATCCTCCTTTGGTCACGACACACGCAAGAAAACAAAGTAAATACCGGAGACTCTGGAGGAATAACAGGCGCTTAAAACGGAGGTAGACCGGACAAGAGCTAAAAAGCCGGGTCAACAAAAAACGATGGGGGACGCTGTAGGGGCCATAATCCTGGGTTCAGTTACTTCTGTCTGGTTGCCACTGGTTTCGCTGGGTTTGGGTCACGTGGGCAGTGTGTTTGAAAGTTGTCAAGTTATATAGGGGGCGGTCTCACCTACACTGGGGTGGAGAGGTGAGCCTAGGTAGCCGTAATTTTTGTTGACTGCGCTTCATGTTCTTTTGTTTGCAATGACGCACGTCAGTAAATGTACACATACGACATTGGATGTGCGCATGTAATCAATGGTGATTGTAGAAGCGTTTTTCTGTTATTAAAGCTCTGAAAAACTTTGATGAAGTGTGTGCTTCTTTGGAACAGCAGCAGCGTGTCGCACGAATATACAGGACCGAGTCTCTGCCTCAAGCGAGTTTTTTTAAAGGTACTAGGAAAGCCACAATAGACGCCTTCAGATCTTGGTGACCCTGTAACCTTTCTGCTGGACAGGTAAACCGCTTTAACAAAGTAAGACAAGTGTCTGTAACAGAAGTGTTTCTTGTCAAACGGACCTGCTGTAGCGTGTTGTAGCGCCATCGCTAAACTGTCCTCCCTCGGGTCCTGAACTATGTCACTTTATCCTAGTTGTAGAAGTCCTGCAAACATTGTGTTTGCTGGTAGTCTGTTGGCATCTACAGTAGCACCAATGCTTTTGACTTTCACCTTGACTGGGCCCCATTTGTAATGATCTGAAGTATTTATCTGCATTATATCTGAATTTAATTGGAACGATACGAGCGAGCAGGAGCGTCTGTTTGTGGGCGGGGCTTGCTGGAGCAGAGAGGGAGGGGAGAGGAGGAGCTGAGGGGAAAACTGGTTGGGAGGGGGGGTAGAGTTTACATTCAAGATTTCTCCCTAAAAACTGGAACTTCCTCAGATCCTGACTAACACACCATTATTCAGACTAAGCTCATAATTAGTTTTTTTCGCCGAGAAAATGTTATCATTGATGTGAACGTGTCCTCCCAAAACTAGGTCTTTTCAGCAGCTCTGTTTCCGACCCCATACAACCATCAGCAGGTCAGATCCTGCCTCCTCCACCTTTAATGATGTGCAGACATTTCTCACAGCATCTCTGGTGGGATTGGTGGTTGTACTTGGATCTTATCATCAATAATCTGTCATTCAGTGAGGGAGATGGACGGGGCTTGGTTCCAGATTTCTGAGAGTCATCTCTGAGTCATGTGACCGTGGCACCCTGTAGGCAGAGCCTGGAGGTCAGGCTGACAGGTTTTGGTTCAGAGGATGGACGGATCACTTTTACTGATCGTTATAATGATCAATCACATTAATAAATAATCATGAGTCCATCCAGAAGTGATCACATTACTTTAAAAAGTTACATTTCATTCATCTTTACATGTTTATAAAAAGTGTTGACAAAATTTCACTGAACAAAAGTCAATCATCAATAATTCGTCAATAAACACGGTGACATCATCATCTGATTGTCGTCACTCTAAAAGCTTCACAGACTCCCTTATCCTCTTATTGCTCTCACTCTGGCTCTGGATCTGACCTGGTCCTGCAGAGACCACAGACCATATATAAGAAGAGTCTCCAGGTCAATGCATTCTGTCAAATGTCCAGCAGGGGGCGACTACACCGGCTTTAATAGACTCCTTCAGGATGAGGACACACAGAAGAGTCAGTTGATCATTTTCACAGCTGGAGTATTCGAATATTTCAGTCGTGCTGAAGCTGTTCGTTAAAATCACAGAGCTACCAAGCGTCACGCTTTGAGTGTGACAGTCACGCAATTTGACCCATTTGCCACACGCCACACTTGACATTTCTCATGCTTTTTTCCCCCCATTCAACACTCTGTATTTATTTTTTTTCATGATAATAAACTTGGCTTGCCGTAGTTCGAGTAACTTTGATTGACTGACCGAGGTAATCAATCCCAGACCAATCCATCAGTCCTTTGTGTCTAATGCTGCGTTCGACACAGTTACCTCGGAAGTCAGATGTCGGAGCTGAAAATGACGTCACACCTGAGTTCCCAGCATTTCAGCTACCAAGTCGGAAAAAAGCAAAATCAGAGGCCTGAAACAAGATGGTTTCGTCTATGAAAGTTATTTAAGTGCTTGCCTTATATTCCGACAAGACTAGCGCTAAAATAACTTTCTTAGATATAGCCATCTTGTTTCCATCTCCATTTTGCTTTTTTCCGACTTGATAACTTAAACACTGAGTTTTTTTGGGGTCTTGGCGTCTCTAACTTTCTTTTACACACAACAGCGCTGACATTTTAGCTGTGTTTGAGTTACCTCGGAAGTCAAATGTCAGAGCTGAACATAACATCACATTTGAGGTTCCCGGTGTTTTAGTTACCAATTTGGAAAAAAGCTAAATCTGAGGCCTGAAACAAGATGGCTACATCTACAAAGGTTACTTTAGCGTTTGCCTTATATTCAGACAAGCATTAAAATAGCTTTCGTAGACGTAGTCATCTTGTTTCTGTCTCTGATTTTGCCTTTTTCCGACTCTGTAACTGAAATGCAGAGGGTTTTTTTGGGTCTTGCCGTCTCTAACTTTCTTTCACACACAACAGCGCTAAAATTTTTGCCTACGAGTTACTTCAGAAGTCAGATGTTGGACCTGAAAATGACGTCACACCCGAGTTACAAGCGTTTTAGTTACCAAGTCAGAAAAAAGTGAAAACGGAGGCCTTAAACAAGACGGTTACATCTACGAAGGATACTTTAGCGCTTGCCTTATATTCAGACAAGGGCTAAAATAACTCTCATAGACGTAGCCATCTTGATTTCATCTCAGATTTTGTTTTTTTTTCTGACTTGGTATCGGAAACGCTGAACTTTTTTGGGTCTTGGCGTCTCTAACTATCTTTCACACACAACAGCACTGACATTTAAAACCCACTCAAAGTAATGGAATATCGACAAATTAATGTAATTTGTCAAAATTCTTGTTACAATTTTTAGCTCTAATTTCTGGTTAATTAAGCTTAGCATTAGGGAGAGTAGCATGGCAGTGAGGACATTAGTTCTAAGGTATAAATCGGCATTAAAAAAGGCAAAAAAAGTTTTCGCTGCGCGGCTGAACACATCGTAAAGCTAAAGTCTCACTCTTGTCATTGTTGTAAACTTGGCAGCCCTGAAATCCGTTTGTTGGTGTCGGCTCAGTACCGTTCGGTTTAAACTCGTCTTTACAGGGACACCTGGCTGTTAACAAACACCACTCAATGGTTTCTAATTTGCCAATTTGTATTCAGCATTAGTAACAGCTCACGTTTCATGTGGCTACATGCGGCATTTATGGCACCATCTTTGGGACCGACCTGGAACCAGAGCTCAACCAGTACTCTGCTGTGGGGGCACGAGTGGCACTTTGTAAAGACGACCTTGAATTTGTGGTTATGTTGGTTCCCCTAACGTTAAATTTAAACGATGATCCAGCGAGTGTCAAAATTATAGCTCCGAGTTGAACCTCCTAGCCAACTGTAAATGTGTTCTGGCCCGTTAACGTCCCTCTGATCGAGACTCCTGCGCTGAGTTTGACCGGCACTGATAGTTTCAAGGTTAGCATACATCTCTGTAAAATCCTCCTAAAATACTAACCGCCTTAGTGGATGAAGGGGACGAAGAATAAGAGCTTTTCTGTGATTGGCTATTTGGAGGGTAAACATCAGATCTGGGACGCATTATTTTTTTTGAAGGATGGTAGGGGAAAGTCCCGCCTCCTTCGCCTCTGATTGGCTGTGAAACGTCGTCACATGCTCAAGCCAAACACGGACTGTCAGCTCTGTATATCAAACAGAACATTACAGAACATTATCGCACTTCTGAATCTCCTAACCTGACGGACGATGACGTTTCACAGCTTATTCGGAGCCCAGCACTTCTAGCCAATCAGAGGCGAAGGAGGGCGGGACCTTGATTGGACGTTAGGATGAACCTCACTCTGAGCCAAATGATAGCGCCTCCGTCCTAAAGATGGCAGCCACAACAAACAAGTCACATGACTGAAACCCAATGACAACACAGAGTGATTAGAAAGTATCGCCACCTGCTGGTCTGACATGTCTTTGACAGAGGGAAAAAGTCGAACTTTGACGTTCTCTCTCATCAGATTTTGGTTCCTTTGACTAAGTTTTTATCCCTCTGACAGTTTTCTCTCTGAGACCTCCTGATGCTGAGACAGACATGCCCTGTGTCCCAGGTGTCTGTGGTGTCCCAGGTGTCTCCAGGTGTCCCAGGTGTCTCTCTGCAGGGCACGATTAAGCTCACGGTTCTCTAAAGAAGAACTGTCCGTCTGCTGTTGTCGGTTAATATCTCCATAAAGTGAAGGTGCTGACTGTTAGTGCAGAGGTTACCTGTAGAGTCTCACCTGAGGATCAGTCAGCTCACCCGATCAGTTTCCACTCTGTCCGATCTGCTGGTCTGAGAATGAGCTGGTGATGTAAGCTGGTGATCATGTGACCTCCGAGTGCAACAGCTTCATCGTCGTCATCGTTACTGTATGAAACATTCATATAAAAGCTGGTTTTGGCCTGATTGTCCGAGCAACAGTCAGATTAGAGACGCACGCGTCGTCATGGAAACCATAAAAACAGACAACAGTTAAAAAATCGTTCTTTAAAGGAACAGTTTGAGACCCGGAGGAGACCGTTAAACTGACTACCCGTCATCCTGTCCGTCAAGGTTAGGGGTACGACAGAGTGACATCACAGTGGGCGGAGCTTTAGGTGAAGTTTCAGGAGCAGCTGCTGACGCTGAGCTCGGCTTTACCGAAGAACCAGCACACAGTCCACTCAGGAGTCCATCCCAGGAGCCGGCCTGGGACTGGTCAGCATGTCTGTCTGTCAGTGTCCTGATTGGTCCATGAGTCAGACCAGAGTTCCTGGAGATGGCTGGTCCAGGGTCAGGTCTCTGAGTGGAACCCCCTGTTTCTGGGTCGGGAAGGAGTCTTGGTAAATCGAGCCGTCCACAGACCTGAGAGAGAGAGAGAGAGAGAGAGAGGGTGAGGGCGAGGGTGAGGTGTAGCAGCAGTGGGCGTGTACCTGTGCAGGTGAGCGAATCCTACCTGCCATGTAACGGGTGTCCGTGGAAGGTGGCCGAGTGTGGCAGTGTCTTCTTGTGGTGACTTGTCTCCGTCTGATAGGTCGACTGCTGGATGGAACCATGAGTTCTGCGTCTGCCTGGCATAGCCCCGCCCACTCCTCCTAACTGACCTTTGACCCCACCGTTCACTTTGGCGTTGACCCCTGTGTTGACATTTCCGTTCACTTGGTTTTGATTTGATGAGCCAATCGTGTTCCTCAGGTACCATTCCCTGAGACCTGCCAATCAAACACATAAAACTACAATTAAACTATGACTAAATGACTGACTAAACTATGACTTAGTGACTGATTAAACTACAACTTAATAACTGTCTAAACTCAGACTTGATGACTGATAAAATAACTTAATGAATGATTAAACTACGACTCAAACTTCGACTTAATGACTGAATGAAAAACTACTTAATGACTGATTCAACTATGTTTTAAACTACAACTTAATTATTAAACTACAACTTAATAATTGATTAAACTACAAATAAATGACTAAAACCACGGCTAAATAAATGATTAAAATTATGACTTAATGACTGATTAAACTACCACTAAGTGACTGATAAAACAACAACTTAATGACAGATTAAACTACATATTAAACTATGACTTAGTGATTGATAAAACTACGACTACATAACCAATATAACAACAACTTAATGACTGATTAAATTACCGCTGACTGACAAATAAAAGTACAACTTAATGACTGATAAAACGAAGTATTAAACTAGGACTTAGTGATTGATAAAACTACGACTACATAACCGATAAAACAACAACTTAATGACTAATTAAACTATCACTAATTGACGAATAAAACTACAACTTCATGACTGATTAAACAACGTATTAAACTAAAACTTAATGAATGATTAAACTACAATTTGATGACTGATTAAACAAAGACTTAATGACTGATTAAATGACCTATCAGAACTACAACTTGATCACTGATTAAACTACGTATTAAACTACAACTTAATGACTGATTAAACTACAACTTAATTACTAATTTAACTATGACCAAATGACTTATTTAAGCACGGCTAAATAAACGATAAAACTAAAAGTAAATGACTAATTAAACTACCACTAAACGACTGATAAAACTACGTCTGAATGACTGATTAAACTACCACTAACTTACTGATAACACCACAACTTAATGACTGATTAAACTATGTTTTAAACTACAACTTAATGAATGATTAAACTACGCTAAATGTATGATTAAACAAAGACTTAATGACTGATTAAACCATGTATTAAACTACAACTTAATGACTGATTAAACTACGACTTAATGACTGATTAAAACGTCTTCTTAATAACAAATTAACCTACAACTAAATGACTAATTAAACTACTGATCAAACTAATACTTAGTGACTGATTAAACTAGAACTAAATGACTGATAAAACTACAACTAAATGAATGATTGAACTACTGATTAAACTACCAATTAATTACTGTTAAAACTAAGACTAAATGACTGATAAAACTACAACTTAATGACTGATTAAACTACCAATTAATGACTACTTAAACAACAATGAAATGACTGATAAACTACGTATTAGACTTCAACCTAATAAATAATAAAACTATGGCTTAATGACTGATTAAACTATGACTTAATAACTGATCAAACTACGACTTTATGACTGACTAAACTACTGATTAAACACGGACTTAATGACTGATTAAAAAACGACTTCATAACTGACTTAACTATGACTTAATGACTGATTGAACAACAAATTAAACTACGATTTAATGACTGATGAAACTACGGATTAAATGACGATTTAATGACTGATTAAACTCAGACTTAATGATTGATAATACTACAACTACATGACTGATTAAACTACTAATTAAACTACTACTTAATGACTGATTAAACTCTTGATTAAACTATGGAGGGTATTATCAATTAAACAAAAAAAAACAATAAAATGTACAAATTAACAGATCTCAAGAATATCAAACTACAGATAAAACTACAGATTAAATTACAGATTAACAGCACACTTAATAACAGATAAAACTACAGTTATTTTTAGTGTCAATAACATGTAAGAGTTTAAACTTTAAACATACAGAACTTCAGATTAAGATGGAAGATTATGGTTCAGATTAAACCATGGGTTAGAGTGAGGAGTGATAGAGACTGTTAAACTTTAGACAAAAATACATTTTAAATCATGTTTGAGCTCTAGATTTAATTACAGATTAACTCAGATTAGGATACAGATAGTTAATCGGAACCTCTTCGCTGTGCTTCGTATCGCTCTGGGTGTCTGTGCTTGGGTCCTTTCTCCTGCTGATCGTATCATAAAAAAGATGTTACTCAGAGCGCAGAAAATGAAAGTTCTCCACACTCCCTATCTTTAAGATTCCTCAGAGTGGAGTCCTGCAGTGTGCCCAGCAGGTGGCGCCCCCTCCTCTCTGTCTGTGTTAAACCAGCTGCAGGCAGAGGGAGTGTTTCTGCTGCAGTGACCCAGATTCATCTCCTCATCATTAAACATTCATCATCTGCTCTTTCTTAAGATTTAAAACCTGCTCAGCTTCAGCTCAGGCTCAGAGACCAACCAGTGCCACATCACAGATTTCAATTAGTGTTAATTAAAGTGATACCATGGCAACAGGGCCAAAGCTCCAACCCGCAGGCATGCAGGGAGATGCAAATCGAACACATCCTGTAGTTCTATAGTGAGCTGTAGTTTCTTAAAGGTAGACTGTAGTTTATTCCAGAAAACTGCACTTTGTTTTTATGGTGGACCATGGTCAAAAGGTGGACTGTAGTTTAGTGGTGAACCTGAACTCAGGTGGAGCGTAGTTTAAAATTTGGTCGTAGTTTTTATGACGGTGGATGAAGGTTTTAAGATGGACTGTAGAGGTAATACGGAGCGCCATAGTCTATAAGGTGGAACAAAGTTTCCAATCATTACGGTTTTAAGGTGGACTAATGGTGCGTTCGAGTTTCCTAGGAAGTCAGAAGTCCAAGCTGAAAATAACGTCATGCCCGAGTTCCCAGCGTTTCAGTTACTGAGTCAGGGAAAAGCAAATTCGGAGGCCTCAAACAAGAAGGCTACATCTACGAAAGTTATTTTAGCACTTGCCTTGTCCGAATATAATGCAAGCGCTAAAATAAATTTCGTAGATGTAGCCATCTTGTTTTATATGAAAGAGTATTAGGGCCACATTAAGGAAAATAATTAAGACTTCGTAATTACTTGCAAAAATAAAGTCGTAATAAAATAATTTCTTATGAGAATAAAGTCGTAATAAAATCATTTCTTACGAGAATTTAGTCAAAATAAAATCTTTACTGATGAAAATAATGTCGGTATAAATTCAATACTTACGAGAATAAAGTTGTAATAAAATCATTTCTTTTAAGATGAAAGTCCTAATAAGATAATTACTTACAAGAATAAAGTCTTCATAAAATAATTACAAGACTAAAGTTGTTATTAAATCATTACTTACAAGAATAAAGTCGTAATAAGATCATTACTTTCGAGAATAAAGTCGTAAAAGTAAATTTCGTCTTAAAGCTGCTTTTGTGGAGGAGGAAATGTCAGAACTGGTCAACTGCAGAGTTATCCGAGGATTCATCAGTGGGTTATTCAGAGAGCTTTTCTGGTTTCTCAAGAAATAATCCAACTGATGATCGACATTTGAGATTCAGAGGGAGTCGAGCTCTGATGAGCACCTCGTCTGTCTCTGATGCTGGCAACAACAACCTCCACCTGCAGAGGCACCACCACCTTATGGCATATAGAATCATACAATCAACTAAAGTCATATGAAACTATCATTATAAACGGCTGCATTGAGGGATTTAGCCTCTGCACAGCCATTTCCAGACATTTCCCCCTCCTCAAAAACAGCGATTCCCTACAAGTCCCCCTGGTTCATTCTGCATTTCTTACATATGTCCTGATACTTAAGACGATGTGATGCTGAAACGCCAAAGGAATTAGTATCTCCTTGTTTGTGAAACCTAGCTACTGAAGTTCAACTCATCGAAATGCTCCACAGCACTCATTTAAACAACTAACAACAGGTTAGAAAAGCTATTAGCTTTGACTTAAGTAATGATTTTAATACAACTTTATTCTTGCAAGTAACGACTTTAATCCCAAAGTCTTAATTTGTTTCTTTCTTAATGTGGCGCTAATACCCTGTCGTAGTTTAAGTCCTTAAATTTTTCTTTTTTCTGACTTGGTAACTAAAAACTGAGAACTTGGGTGTGACGTCATTTTCAGCTCGGACTTCTGACTTCTGAGGAAAATCAAACGCACCATAAGGTCCAGAGAGAGAGGGAGGAGTGACTGGGCGTTTGACCACAGAGCAAACCCAAAGTGGACTACAGATCCACGATGGACCAGATTAGATGACTTTTGGTCTTGTGATGTAATAGGAAGCCGGTGACTTTTACCCTCCAGGGCGAGGGCCTTGTGGAGGCTCCTGGTGGCGTCCTCTAGCTGGGCGTCCTGACTCGGGGGTAGGTGTGGGGGGCGGGGGGGCAGCAGGTGGGGGTGGGGGTCTGGCTGGATGGTGGACAGGGGGGGGGGTTTGGCATCAGTCTGGTCCTGCTGCACCGGGAGGAAGGGTCCGCAGGACTTGGTGCGGGTCACTTTGACTCGCCGCTGATCGCCCTGGTGACCACGGTAGGTGGGCGGGGCTCCAGAGGGCTGCTGGGAGGAGTAACCATTGAAGAGCAGCTGCTGGTGCGATGTGATTGGTTTTCGGCTGTTGGGCTGGGACTGCTGTCTCTGCAGCTGCTGCTGTTTCCCCCAAACGTAGTCTAGCAAAACCTCGCTGTACCCGCCCCCAACTCTGACTCCTCCTCTTCCTCGCCCCACCCCTCCTCCCTCAGTGACGCCGTTATTAGTCCTGGTCCTGCTCCGTCCGTCGGTCAGGGTCTCGGAGCTCCTAAATACACCACCTGTGCTTGTTCCTCTGGACCCCTGCTGACCATTTACCCAAAATCCTCCTTGCTGTGAACCCCCCTCCTCCTCAGGGGGGGCGATGTGGTCCAGCAGGCCGTCGGAGCTGTTGCTAAGGCGAGCGGCGTTCATCCTGACCCCGCCCTCTCCTGCTGGATCAGAGGGGGCGGAGGAGGAGGAGGAGTCTTGAGAACGAGGGGGAGGGTGGGGAGGGTGGGAGGGGGGCATGGGAAGGGGCTTGTGGGTCTGAAGAGTCTCTGGAAGTTCAACCCTAAAGAGGAGAGACACGTGAGGACAGGTGAGCAGAGAGACAGGTGAGCAGAGAGACAGGTGAGGACAGGTGAGCAGAGAGACAGGTGAGAATCAGTTCTGAAAGCTAACTCTGTGTGTTATTGATCAATTTATTGATTGTTGTTTTGCTGGTTGGTTGAACTTGTTGGTCTGTTGATTGATAAGTTAGTTGGTTATCTCCTTGGTTGGTTTGCCAGGTTGTTTATTGATTGGTTAATTTGTTGGTTGGTTATTTGGTTAGTCATAAAGTTGATAAATAAGTTAATTTGTTGGTTTGTTGGTCAGTTAGTCAATGAAGTTGTTCATTGAGTGGTTGGTGAACAGTTTTGTATATTCCTTAGTTGTTTGGTTAGGTAACTTGTTAGTTTGTTAGACTGGTCAGGTTATCTGTTGGTTGTTGTGTTGATGTTTTATAGACTGGTTTTTGGTTAATTTATCAGTTTGACCAATTGGTTCATGGTCTGTTGGTTAATGGTTGGTTTGGTTAGAAGGTCTGTGAATTAGTTAGCTGATTGGTTATTGGTTTAATGATTAGTTTATTTTTATTGGTTAGTTTGTTAGATGGTTAGCTGAGCTTGTTGTGTTGGTTCGTTAATTGGTAAATCGATTATTGGTTATTATTTGGTTTGTACAGTTTCATGGCTTGCAGACTGGTTGTTTTATTTATTAGTTTAATGATTTGTTGTTTTGCTGATTGGTTAAACTTGTTGGTTTGTTGATTAATAAGTTAGTTGGTGATCTCCTTGGTTGGTTTGCCAGGTTGTTTATTAATTGGTTGGTTGGTTTGTTGGTTGATTACTTAGTAATAAAGTTGATTGATAAGTTAATTTGTGGGTTTGTTGGTCGGTTAGTAAGTGAGATTGTTCATTGATTGGTTGGTGAACTGGTTAGTTGTTTGGTTAGTTAGCTTGTTAGTTTGTTACACTGGTCAGATTATCTGTTGGTTGTTGTGTTGATGTTTTGTAGACTGGTTTTATTGGTTAATTTATCAGTTTGACTTCTAATTGGTTGATTGGTTCATGGTGTTTGTTTAATTGGTTGGTTTGATAGCTGACTTGGTTGTTGGTTTATAGGTTGATCCAGTTTTTGGCTGCTTGATGAATTTCTTTGATGGTTGGTTGGGAACTTAGCGTCGTTGGATAGTTTTTGGATTAATTAGTTAGTTAGTTGATTAGTTACTTAGTTAGTGGGTTAGTTGACTAATTAAGTGGGCTGTTGGCTGATTTCTTTGATAGTTTTGATGGTTTGTTGATTTGTTATTCATAGGTTAAGTTAGTTAATTGGTTGGTTAACTACAAAACCCAATTCCAATGAAGTTGGAAAGATGTGTAAATCGTAAATAAAAACGGAATACAATGATTTGCAAATCCTTTTCAACCAATATTCAATAGAATATACTACAAAGACAAAATACTTAATGTTCAACTGATAAACTTTATTGTTTTTTTGCAAATAATCATTACCATTAGAATTTGATGGCAGCAACATGTGACAAAGAAGTTGGGAAAGGTGGCAAAAAATACTAAGAAATTTGAGGAATGCTCATCAAACAGCTATTTGGAACATCCCACAGGTGAGCAGGCGAATTGGGAACAGGTGGGTGCCATGACTGGGTATAAAAGCAGCTTCCCCAAAAATTCTCAGTCATTCAGAACCAAGGATGGGGCGAGGTTCATCACTTTGTGAACAACTGCGTGAGCAAATAGTCGAACAGTTTAAGAACAACGTTTCTCAAAGTACAATTGCAATTGGTCATAATATCATCAAAAGGTTCAGAGAATCTGGAGAAATCACTGCACGTAGGCGGAACCAACATTGAATCCCTGTGACCTTCGATCCCTCAGGCGGCACTGTGTGGAAAACCGACATCAATGTGTAAAGAATATCACCACATGGGCTCAGGAACACTTCAGAAAACCACTGTCAGTAAATACAGTTCGTCGCTACATCTGTAAGTGCACGTTAAAACTCTACTATGCAAAATGAAAGTCATTCATCAACAACATCCAGAAACGCTGCCGGCTTCTCTGGGCCTGAGCTCATCTAAGATGGACTGATGCAAAGTAGAAAAGTGTTCTGTGGTCTGACGAGTCCACATTTCAAACTGTTTTTGGAAATAGTGGATGTCGTGTCCTCCGGGCCAAAGAGGAAAAGAACCATCCGGACTGTTATCGATGCAAAGTTCAAAAGCCAGCATCTGTGATGGTATGGGGGTGCATCAGTGGCCAAGGCATGGGTAACTTACACATCTGTGAAGGCAACATTAATGCTGAAAGGTACATACAGGTTTTGGAGCAACATATGCTGCCATCCAAGCAACGTCTTTTTCATGGATGCCCCTGCTTATTTCAGCAAGACAATGCCAAGCCACATTCTGCACGTGTTACAACAGCGTGGCTTTGTAGTAAAAGAGTGCGGGTACTCAACTGGCCTGCCTGCAGTCCAGACCTGTCTCCCATTGAAAATGTGTGGCGCATTCTGAAGTGTAAAATACGACAATAGAGACCCTGGACTGTTGAACAACTGAAGCTGTACATCAAGCAAGAATGGGAAAGAATTCCACCTTCAAAGCTTCAACAGTTAGTCTCCTCAGTTCCCAAACATTTATTGAGTGTTGTTAAAAGAAAAGTGGTAAACATGCCCCTGTCCCACCTACTTTGGCACGTGTTGCAGCCATGAAATTCTGAGTTAATTATTATTTGAAAAAAAAATAAAGTTTATGAGTTTGAACATTAAATATGTTGTCTTTGTAGTGTATTCAATTGAATATAGGTTGAAAAGGATTTGCAAATCATTGTATTCTGTTTTTATTTACGTTTATCACAATTTCCCAACTTCAATGGAACTGGGTTTTGTAGTTAATTCAGTGGTTTGAGGATGAATTAACAGTGTGTGTGTGTGTGTGTGTGTGTGTGTGTGTGTGTGTGTGTGTGTGTGTGTGTGTGTGTGTGTGTGTGCGTGTGTGTTTACCTGTTGAGCACTGAGTTCCTCCTGGTCTTGTTTTGGTAGAAAACTTCCACGGGAGAACCAGAGGTGACCAGCAGGGGGCGACATTGAGACACGCTGTCATCTGAATACAGAACAGTGACATCATCATAATTAGAGCTGATTGATTCCAGAGACAGCCAATCAGCTTTTAGAGCTGTCAGAGGTGATTTGGGGGAAAAAAGAAACTTTTTTTATTTATTATTTTCATTTTTTATCACTTAAAGGAAAAATTTTATCCTGTGAAAGTGACAAATTAAAAAAACAGATTTACTTCCTATTTTCTTCATAATGATCTTATATTTTTTATCTAATAAGGGCAGGGTTAAAAAAATCATTAAACAAGGAAGAATACCAGAAATTACAGTATTGAATTTATCAAAATAAGAGCAGGGATAAGTGATTTATGCATGAAAATATGTTCTCTTCCTACCAAAATAAAAGCAGGGCAATCAGTTTATCAAAATAAGATTACAATAAAAAAAGAAAGAAAGAAAGAAAGAAAAGAGTAGAGTAATCTCAAAATAAGCGCAGGGTCAAGCTTCCAATCCATAAAAACAAAATCAGGGAAAAGTTTTGAATAAAATAAAATAAAGGAGAAATGATGAGTTCATTTCAAAGACAGCCAAGTCACCTGACGACTGATCGAAGTTTTACAAAGTTTACTTTAAAAAATGTGAATTAAAGCAGATGTGTGTGTGTGTGTGTGCATGTGCGCGTGTGTAGGGGGGCTTTACCATTGTCGTGTCCTGTAGAGTCTGACGTAGAGCTGCTTTCTGACCGCACTGTGTCATCTACACACACACACACACACACACACACACACACACACACACACACACACACACACAATCTTTTTCAGAATAACAGCAGGAAGGAGCAGATTTCCTCATCTTGCTAAAACAATGGCTTCACATCGACTGCTAACTTTGTGTGTGTGTGTGTGTGTGTGTGTGTGTGTTACCTGTGTGGCAGCCTCGGTGTACAGTCCTCTTGCCGTGGTGTGTGTGTGTCTGTGTGTGAGTGTTGTGTTCAGAGTCAGTGTGTTTCCTCAAAGCTCCACTGAACAAAGTTTTCTTCGGCTTTGAGCGCTGACACTCTTCCTCCTGGAAAACACAGACGAAAACACACAATCACACATACACACATACACACACACACACACATACACACACACACACACACACACACACACACACACACACACACACACACACACACACACACACACAGAAAGGGATCATGAATGTTTCATGTTTTTCCTTTGGTTCAATCAGGACCTTTTTTTAATAGAAATGTATTATTATCTTGCAGTTGAATGTGTTTGCGTTTGTTTAGAACAAATTCTTGAGTTAGGCTGCAGAGGAGTGAGACCTCTCGTTTCCTTCCTATCTTTGCTGACAGTGATACAGGTGAAAGCATAGACTGTGTATACTATGGACAACTTGGTTCAGCCTACCGCCTGTATATGGATTTGAAGCCAAATAGCTCTCGGTATTTCCGGGATTTTTCTTCATTTCCTGAAACCAGCGCTGCGCAGTAGCGATGCGGGCATTCGGGCGCACAGTCGCAGAGAGTCACTGTGATGACGCTCGGCTCAAACAGCGCATCCTCCGGGTGAGCTACGCAATCCCTGAACGCCCATAGGCTGTATCAGGTTATTTACCGTGGTCCACCATCCGGCACAAAATCAATCTCACCAATGGATCTGGTAGGAATTAGCAGATGGCGAAAATTGATACCGTTCCGGACACGGTGAAAATTGGGGGTAAGAATCAGCTGATGCGGGATGGGCGGAGCTTGACTTCCTGTTCCCCCTTAACTAACAAAAAATGTGCACGTGATCTCACCTCTGCTCGGCACTTCCTATTTGCTTGGCGAGATGCCCCTCCTCTCCGGCGTACACATGGGGGTTTCTCCCCCTCCTCCAGGGGGAAGTCACTGGGCACCGAACCTGTCAGCTCCTGACCAATGACAACACAGAAAACACACCTCAGGTAATGGCTGCATGAACTTTCCTCAGAGCTGGTCTGTGGTTGGATGATCCTCGCTTGAGGGAGGAGCCCAGTTATGATGTCACTCACAGCCTCCTGCAGACAGATCCGTCTCAGCTCAGCCAATCGTGTGCTTAGCAGTGCCTGCAGGCTCCGCCTCCGCTCCTGCAGCTCTGCCATTTGCTCCCTCTGCTTCCTGTCAGGACAGGTGAGAGGGTCTGCACACACACACACACACACACACACACACACACACACACACACACACACTGTGAGCTAACCAAACCAACAGTAAATTTTCAAGACGATAAAACATGCTCTTTTATTTCAGACATGCCCAACATGACAACAGTTACTAAGGGAGGGCGGGGCTTATGAGGGCTTTATTCTAATCATTTCTTACCAGGTGCTGAGATGAGTTGACCTTTGACCTCCATGGCTTGTGTTTCCCATGTGACCCCGCCTCCTCCTTCCTCACTGCTGGACTCCTGATCGTCCCCCCACACGCACTCTCTCACCTGCGGACACACTCAGGTGTTTAAGGTCATCGTGGTTAACCTCAGAACAGCTCCACCTCTGATGGAGATTATTAATCCAAGTGTCATGGGCTACTTCCAAGCAGTATAAACACTCCCCAATAAACTCTCAGACGCAGTTGATTCACCTCTTCAAGTTTACTGAGGAATCTTGTGAAACTGAAATGATACAGTAACATATAAAACAATGAGTTACAGCTTACACACAAACAAGCAGTAGAGCTAAGCTACATTAGCTTTAGCCGATATAATCACAAACGAGCTAGAATGCCCCTAGCAACGAAAAACATGAAGCTAACTTCGTGTAGCATTAACGATTAGCGCCATAGCCGATTTAACAACTTAATTACACTTAAACAACCTTCATCTTAATACAACAACGTATGAACACTTACAGACGTTGCATGGACTAGAGGGATGAAAACGGAGGAAAGGAGAGGAGCTTAGAACTGAACAGCTGACGGACCTCGCAAATCTGCACTCAATAACTTCGGTTTCTCAGTGACTCGCCGGCTACGTGTTGCCATGGCAACGCGATGTAAACAACTCACACTAGAGCACAAAAACACTTCAGAAAGACGCATTCAAGCAGCACAACACACATTCAAGCAACATTACACCAAGTGTGTGTCATCGTCCCGCTTCCACAGTCTGTGTCACAGTAATCCTGTGCCCAGGCTCGGAGGCTTTCAGCTCATAATCTATCTTTGGATCAATATTCAGATTAATTCTTTTTTTTCTAAACAAATGATCTGAATATTTATTTAATCCTGAAACATTCAGATTATTTATAGAGACATCACAAAGTCTGAACTGCTCAGATCTTTCACAAGAAGCAACAATATCAGCCCCATCAGGACACTGAGGGGACAGTCTTCCTTAATCGCTGTAGCTACAGACAGCTATGGTTACCATAGCAACAGAGAGCATGGCGACGGCTAAATCTGATCAATAAATCAAAATATGACAGGATATAAACTGTTTAAAGTCCTGATCCCTCTGCAGTTAGAAAAGAGATTGAAAGAAAATCTCTTTCTCTCACACACACACACTTTTATTTTATCCTCAAACCACTGAATTGACTCGTTAACCAACCAACTAACTAAACAGCACAGTACTCAACAAATTCATCCTCAAAATTTATCTGATAAACGTCAAATAAACAAACTATTAAAGAAATCAGCCAACAGCCCAATTAATTAGTCAACCAACCCACTAACTAACTAACTAAATAATCAACTAACTAACCACTTAATCCACAAACTGCCAAACATACAAATAAAACAACTACCTAACAACGTTAAACTCCCAACCAACCATCAAAGAAATTCATCAAGCAGCCAAAAACTAGATCAACCTATAAACCAACTAACAACCAAGTCAATTATCAAACCAACCAATTAACCTACAAACCAACCAATAAGAAGTCAAACTGGTAAGTTAACCCATAAACCAGTCTCAAAAAACATCAACACAACAACCAGATAACCTGACAGGTCTAACAAACTAACAAGTTAACTAACCAAACAACTAATGAATATACAAAACTGTTCACCAACCAATCAATGAACAACCTCACTGACTAACCGACCAACAAACCCACAAATTAACTTATCAATCAACTTTATTACTAACTAAGTAATCAACCAACAAACCAACCAATCAATAAACAACTGGACAAACCAACCAAGAAGATTACCAACTAACTTATCAATCAACAAACCAACAAGTTTAACCAACCAGCAAAACAACCAATCAATAATCAACAAAACAACCAGTCTGCAAGCCATGCAACCTTATCAGTAAACAAGTAACAGCCAGACAAACCAAACCAATAATCAATTTACCAATTAACGAATCAACATAACAAGCTCGGCTAACCGTCTAACATACTAACCAATAAACACACTAATCATTGAACCAATGACCAATCAACTAACTGATCTACTGACCTTCTAACCAAGCCAACCATGAACCGACAGACCATGAACCAATTAGTCAAACTGAAAAGTTAATCCATAAACCAGTCTAAAAAACATCAACACAACAACCAACAAACAACCTGACCAGTCTAACAAACTAACAAGCTAACTAACCAAACAACCATCCAGTTCACCAACCAATCAATGAACAATCTCACTGACTAACCAACCAACAAACCCATCAATTAACTTTATTACCGAGTAATCAACCAACAAACCAACCAATTAATAAACAACCGAAAAACCAACTAAGGAGATTACCAACTAACTTATTAGCAAAATAACCAATCAATTCACTAATCAATAAAACAACCAGTCTGCAAGCCATGCAAACGTATCAGTAAACAAGTAACAGCCAGACAAACCAAACCAATAATCGATTTACCAATTAACGAATCAGCATAACAAGCTCAGCTCACCACCCAAACCAACGAACAACCATCTGACCAATAAACACACTAATCAATGATCCAATAACCAATCAACTAACTAATCTACCGACCTTCTAACCAAACCAACCATGAACCAACAGACCAATTAGCTTCTCACCTTGTAACTGGGTTCATAAGAGCTCCAGTAGTTCACTCCTTTGGCCATCCAACACCTAAACACCAACCAGCGGCCCGCAGCGACCACGGTTTGCAGTTAGCTTCAGCTTCCTGTTGACAGCAGTGAGCCGGAGACGCAGTTCCTGGGTCGGCCTACGGGGGGGTTAACCAGTCCTCAGTCAGTCACCTGGAGAGAAGAAGAGACGGACAAATTGAATACCAATTATTTATGACAAATATATCTATATACTGTATATGTATGATTGTTTTTATGCATCCAGGTGGTGGCGCTGTTGGGCAAAGACATTGTTCTGAGTGATGGTTCAAGAAAAATTAAATACGATGTAAGACCCATCCAAGGGATCACACTCACACACACCTTTATCTGTATACATAACAGAGTGTTATCTGTAGACATGACATTATCTGCGTCTGTAAACACAACACACGGAGGCCAAATGCTGCTCTGTGATTGGCTGCAGGGAGTCAGCTGGTACAGTGCCTCCCGCTGGCTGGAGGAGACAACATTTACCCAAAATATTAACAAAAACAGTTACATAACCGAGCCCCGCTGCAGACTGGCGACCTTTGACCACCGCTCTGTGACGGTGGCCTCTGACTGTACGACCCTGAGAACAGGAAGTGCGGCCCAAGAGGAAACAGGAAGCAGGAAATGAGGGATGAAAACCAGGAAACCAGAGAGAGCTTGTCGTAAGGATGAGGGCTGATGTAAAACTGTTCTCAGTAACAGAACAGAAACAGGAAGGAGGAGCGGGGGAACATATAATCAGACGTATTCAAGGGAATGTGGGCTGTTACTCCAGGTCGTGGGGAGAGGGCGGTCCTTATCACTGCCCAGAAAACACATGAGCATCAACACTGCTACGACCACATGGACAAATATGTCCCAGAACAGCTCTGTATGTGGACACACCTGTGATCACATGACTGAACCACATGATCAAACCAGGTCTGAACAGGGCACCTGGTAGCTGAGTCATGTACATTAAAGGTGGGTTAGGCAGGAATCCATTAAAGAAGCATCTTTTTTTGTGGTGTATTTACAAAAAAGCTTTTAATATCAGTCAGTACTTATTAGTTATTGATGATATTTGGGAATATAACGATATCTCTGTGTTCTCTTATATCTGTGTAATCAACATTTTAACATTTTTGAGTGGCCCGCTCTTTCTGACTGTAAACAAAGCCGTTCTCTTTCTCCCCGACCTGATTGGTTGTGAGGCAGACGCTGCTCCCCCTTGTCGTTCACGAGCCCAAACAAAGTTAGCCTGCGTAAGGATACCTAGCCCATGTTCACACTTAAAAGAATGGAAGGTCCACACGAATGGTCGGTTTGACAAGCTTTACTGGTTGCAGATCTGGGTTACAGCTTCATCATTTCTACAAGTGTAACAAAGACTGGTCTGAGACTGTTCAAGTATATATAGTCGTCCACGTTTCCAAGCATTCTGCTGGCATCTAGTTGACCTGAAGGAGAGTCGATGTAGGGTAAGAACAAAGGAAAACATATTTTAAGGAGTCTTAGTTGAACATATGGAGAGCCCATATCAGGGAATACCATAGCATAACATATTTGGGGAACCTGAGTGATGTCAAAAGTGTGTACAAGGTTTTTTGTTGAGGATGGTTGTCTGAAGCCCCTGGCTCCAGGAATCCAACACCAACGCATCCCATGATATCTGAGTTACATGGCTCCACCGCCCTAAAGGCTGATGGAAGCAGCTAAAGGAAATTCTTCTAAGAGCGTGCTACAATATCGGACAGTAGAAACCAACCAGAAAGTTCGGAAAATTGTCTGAATCCTCCTTTGGCCACGACTGCCGACACAAGCAAGAAAACTAAGTAAATACCGGAGACTTGGGCGGAATAACCGGCGCTTAAAACGGAGGTAGAGCGGACAAGAGCTAAAAAGCCAGGTCAACATAAATGATGGGGGACACTTCAGGATCTTCGTGACCCTGTAACCTGGGATTTTTACCACATCTGGAAGCGCAGGGATTTTCACTGCACGCCAATTCCTACCGGATCTGTTTGTGAGGCGAATTTCATGGTGGATGACTGACAGCAGGAATCATGAGAATTCAAAAGACCCCAAGGATTCATGTACAATCACGCGATAATGAGTTGTCTCTATAAAGACAGCCACATTGACATATAGATCGCAGTAGATTGTGTCCTCCCAGAGGAGGAAATCTAATTCTAGACTTCTAGAATCAGCATCTTCTCAAGATGAAATGACGTCTAAAAACCTTTCACTTGTTCTTCTCCGCCCGTTTGCATGGTGTAAAATACGATCCTCCTGAATCACGGAGTGTTTTATTTTGAAAAGAAGCCGGATGTTTTATTTTGTGTCTGTGCCCGACTTCCTTTCCAGCACGGGTTAATCTGTGCTGAATTTATCCGGCATGCTCTGGTGTCCGGAAAATAAAAGAACTCTTGCAATCAGCTTTGGAGTCCGGCGATCCGCAGAGGAACTGAAAGAAGTCGGTGGAAATTGACACGTTAACTTGAATGGTTATGATCAGCGACAATCAGAGGATACAACCTTGTCTTAGACATTCAGGATACAGTGGAAATTGGGGGTAACCTTTCTGCTGGACAGGTAAATCTCTTTAACAAAGTAAGACAAGTGTCTGTAACAGAAGTGCTTTTTGTCAAGTGGGACCTGCTGTGTGTTGTAGCACCGCAAAACTGTTGATCTCTGGTCCTGGACTATGTCACTTTATCCTAGTTGTAGAAGTCCTGCAAACATTGTGTTTGCTGGTAGTCTGTTGGCATCTTCAGTAGCACCAATGCTTTTTACTTTCATGTTGACTGGGCCCCATTTGTAATGATCTGAAGTATTTATCGCATTATATCTGAATTTAATTGAAACGATACGAGCGAGCAGGAGCGTCTGTTTGTGGGCGGGGCTTGCTGGAGCAGAGAGGGAGGGGAGAGGAGGAGCTGAGGGGAAAATTGGTTGGGGGCGGGGTAGAGTTTACATTCAAGACTCCTAAAAACTGGAACCTCCTCAGATCCTGACTACCCCACCTTTAGATGTGTTGTATTTTTGTGTAGTTGTCGGTTGTGAACCCTGTGAGGAGGCGCAGCTCATGGAGATCTAAAGGGAGGAGTTAGACTGACATGGACTGATGCTGAAACAGATCCAACCCCAGTATGAATGTGGCTTCAGAGGCTGGAGTGTGGTCCAAACACACACGCAAGCACGCATGCACACAAAAACAATGTGGTGTCCACCAAATGTTCACACAAATGGCCTCCACCTACTCCTTCTCCCCCTCCACCTCCACATTCCTCCTAACTCATGTTCAGACCTGCAGACTGAGGATCAGACCCTGACCTCCATCAGCTAATCAGCTTCATCTTTATCTGTGTGTGCGTTCATGAACTGAAGATAAGACCCTCATTCCTACCATTTGTGGAACGACAGCAATAAAAAGTGTGTATTCATGTCTGCAAAGCTGCAGCTGGCAGTGAACACACTCACACACACTCACTAACAGGAACGTGAGTGCGTGTGGCCTTGTGCGCTGTGTGTTGGGGGGAGGGGTGTTAACCCCCATCCACCCAGGTGTGAACAGACCGTCCTGCTCGGCCTTAGTCCTGGCTTTAACCTTACACCGTTGCCATGGTAACCAGAGGGGTAAGTCCACCTTGCAGAAGATCACACACACACACACACACACACACACACACACACACACACACACACACACACACACACACACACACACACACACACACACACACACTCTCAGTGGGGAATAAAACGATGCAGCTGCAGACAAAGAGATGCAAATACTGAGTTTAAATATTCAATAGTTAGTGTGTGTGTGTGTGTGTGTGTGTGTGTCAGCTCCTTTTTTAAAAAAGTTTTTCAACCTCTCCCTTCCACTGGCTGAAGCCTCCTTGCTTCCTTACCTTGTTTCCTTTTCTCACCTCCAGGGGCCTATTCTACGAAGCAAGTTCAACCTAGCAAAGTAGCCTTGGAGCTACCTCGTTCAACTTAGCGCGGTAGCCAGCGGTCTCGCTTAACAGTCTTATACTGTACATAGACTGTATATAAGATGGACACCGTGGTTCCGCCTTCCACCTGTATATTGATTTGAAGCCAAAAAGCTCTCGGTAATTCCGGGTTTTTCTCCACTTCCTTGAAACCAGCGCTGCGCAGTAGCGATGCGCGCATTCGGCCGTGCAGTTGCCGAGAGTCCCTGTGATGACGCTCGGCTCAAACAGCGTATTCCCCCGGAAGAGCTACGCAATCCCTGAACGCCCATTGGCTGTACCAGGTGTCAATCATAGAAAACATGAACCCCCTAATAACTTTTAAAAACGGAGCTGTACAGAAAAAAAAAGGACTTGGGCACAAACTAGTCTGACAATAACTACATGTCAACATCAGAAGCAGGGAGGAGAAAAATTTATGTTCTGTGTAATAAATTTTTAAAGTTTGTCCACAGTCCCATAAGCTTTGCTGGCGGAGGCGGGATTTATGACCTGTACTGCAGCCCACCATCAGAGGGTGCTGTTCTCGGAGTGGCTTCACCCAGCGAGGAGGCAGACTCTGTCCATCTTATATACGGTCTATGGTCTTACAACGCTGGTTATCAACCTCGTAAGTGGAGCCCGCCGCAGCTGACCAATCATGAACATGGACCAGTCTGGAGCGTCAGAGCAGGCCGGAGAGCTAAAGACTGTGTACTTTACAAACGAGGAGCAGGAGACGATCATGAGAAAGTATGAAGAATTCAAATCTATCATAAACCTCAAAAGCAACACCGTCGCTGCTGCAAAAGCACGGAGGGAATGCTGGCAGAAAATTGCCGACAGTCTCAATGCGTAAGTATGGTGCGCAAAAAATCTTTGATGCCATTATCACCCTGAAATAGCACTGTTCAACATGCACTTTTAACATGCACCAGACATGTCTAATTCATTTCCAGGATGAATTCATTCATTTGTTCATTCCTGTTTACATTTTTTGTGTGATATGTAGGTCATATGAGCTTTTGATAAAAGTGGTCATCCGGAAAAGTAACTGGGTCCGTGCGGTCCCAGGAAAATCTTGCGCGCCGGAATGCTCCTTGGACAATGCGAGCACCGAGGTGTATAGGATCCTCCAAGAACGGACAAGCCATTTTTCGTGACAGCTCATTGGTCAGTGGGCGGGGTTTTTATACTCGGTGAGTTCAATCTGGAACCTAACCTGCCCCGCAGCAGGTTAGCCGTTCAGCATACGTTGCCATGGAGACTCCCATCACTAAGAAGTGAACCCGCATCGTAGAACAGGAAACCCCGAACTTACCCTCGAAGTTACCTCGCTAAGCAGTCATCCGCTTAGTAGACTAGGCCCCAGGACAACAACAACAACAACAACAACAGGACAACAACAACAACGAGACCACAACAACAACAGGACAACAACAACAAAAGGACAACAACAACAACAACAACGGGACAACAACAACAACAGGACAACAACAACAACGGGACAACAACAACAACGGGACAACAACAACAACAGGACAACAACAACAACACGTGTTTCTGAGACTTTGACCCCTCCCAACACACACACACACACACACACACACACACACTTAAGTCGCTCCATCACACTCTGAGCTCACAGTGAAAATATGAGAGGAAAACTGATGTTTTTTTAATAATTATTGTTATTATTAAAGTTTAATTTAAATTATTAACCTCACTCATATTTTATTAGTGTTTTGTATTTTATTATATAAATGACAAACTTGATCGAGTTCAAATGCTCCTCCTTCAGAACCACAAACAGCTCCAACATGATGATGTCACACAGGTAACACACCTGCACACAGTCTACAGCTTCACCCTCACCTTTACACACCTGAACTATAAACCAGTTTGACTCGGTTTGACTGATCGAGAGTGAAACATTGAAATACCTCAGACCATCTCAGCAGCTGGTCAGACCTCCAGACTCCACGCAAACATCCACAGAGCTCAGGAGGAGTCACATCGGAATAATCCACACCAGAAACAGAACCATCCCGATTCAAACCGGATTAAAAACAGATTAAATCCGGAATAAAGGCAGGTCAGGTGTTAAGGTCAGATGAAAAGAGATGAAAAAGAGAAAAAAAATCGCTCTGATCTCCTCTCGTATCTCTCCGCTCAGTCTGCAGTCAAACCACCTAAAGCCATATGACTCACTTCCGCTCTACATCTTCACAATAAAACCAAAAGGGCCCTCATGTCAAAATAAGATCTTTTTAATACCTACATGGCTCCTCACAAAAAATGTATGTCACAACAATTTAATTAAAAAAAATTAAAGTTATGATATGGAACAAAAACTCTCATGAGACACAAATTTATTTGTTCTACGATATAGAAATATCTAAAAAAATTAAATTAAATGAAAGGCAAGAATATTTTCCTATGTGTAACTCTTACAGTGACATTTTTCTGTCATGTTTTCAGTTTGTGCTGAACAAGGTATTTTTCTGTGAACTGACATGTTTGTTTTTTTGTTTAAAGAATTATTTTGATAATTTTCTGCTTGTTTCTCTTTTACTTTGTGAAATGTGTTTGGGGTACACTAATTTTTTTTAATCTGACAAAAAATATATTTGTATCATAAAAATTTGTATGTGAAATGGTTGTGTGTGAAATGTTTTTATGTTTACAGTTTTGGTCCAAATCATTTTTGTTTTATATCACAGACTTTTTGCACTCATGACTATTTTGTTGTTATAAAATTTCAAGTGCATTTTGCCTTCAGAGCCACCATACACACATTTGTATTTGCAGTCAGGAATTTAATCTTTGTGGGGTTTTTTTAATCATTTGGGCATCACTCTAATATTTAACCCACACCGCTCTGAGGAAACATGTCAAACTGTCTCGTTTCATCACCTTTAGGGCTCTTATTTTGAAAGAAACCTCATCCTGTGTGTTCACATCATAGACTGTATATACTATAGACAACTTGGTTCAGCCTCCCGCCTGTATACGGATTTGAAGCCGAAAAGCTCTCTGTATTTCCAGGATTTTTCTTCATTTCCTGAAACCAGCGCTGCGCAGTAGTGATGTGCACATTCGGCCGCGCAGTCGCAGAGAATCGCTGTGATGACGCTCGGCTCAAACAGCGTGTCCCCAGGGAGAGCTACACAATCCCTGAACGCCCATAGACTGTATCAGGTGTCAATCATAGCAAACGCGAACCCCCTAATAACTTTTAAAAACGGAGCTTCACAGAAAAAAGAGGACTTGAGCACAAACCAGTCTTACAATAACTACATTTCAACATCACAAGCAGGGAGGAGAAAAATTTATGTTCTGTGTAATAAATTTTTAAAGTTTGTCCACAGCTCCATGAGCTTTGCTGGCAGAGGCAGGATTTATGACCTATACTGCAGCCCATCAACAGAGGGTGCTGTTCTCAGAGTGGCTTCACCCATCGAGGAGGCAGACTCTGTCCATTCTATATACAGTCTATGGATCACATACAGCAGCGTTTCTCAAAGTGTGTGGCCCGCCCCCCTAGGGGGGCGCGGAGCCATCCCTGGGGGGGCGCGAGTCACCCGGCTACAAATAGGTTGGTGTGCACCCGCGATAGCGCGGCACCTCCTGTGCAGGCACTGCGCTCGTCACGCATGCGCCATACTAAACTCGCCACATCAGTAGGAGGAGTCCAGCGCCCTAAACCCTGTTTCTTTATTTTACCGCGTAGAAGCAGCGTTTGTTGTGGTGGACGCTCAAGGCGAGATACTTGTCGGTGTTGTGCCGTAGAATGCACCTCTGCCGTAAAATGCCCCCCTGACAGGAGCGCGGTTGAAAGTACTTAACAAGGCGAAAATAATTCAACTTTTCCTTACCATTGGATGAATTCAAAAGCGTCTGCCTTTAATAATTCCATTCAGGCTATTCAGATAAGCCGAAAAAATAGCCCTCTGATTCGGAATATTTGCTATCCTGAAAATATAATGTTCGCTAGCTTGACAGCTTACTGTACAGTTTATATACCCAAGCACACCTCTGTATGTGCATTTTTGAGACATATTAAAACAGAACGAAAGTTGTCACGATCAAATTGTCGTATTTTTTTAAATATGAGATCATTTTCTTCCACTTTAAGAAGCTAACAAGTGGAGGGGATGCAGGGGGTGCATTCTACGGCATAACACCTGTTAAGTATGCTGCTATCCCCTCCTGTACAATGTCCTCCTGAAAGCGTACAAAAACGCTTTCTGCTGTGCTAATTCATGGTGGGAACTAGCTCAGAAACCAGGGCAGAGATAACCACCAACGCCGATGTAACCCATATTAAAATATGACATAAATAAGAATAAATACTTGAATAAAAGCTGCATTTATAAGTTTGAAAGTTAAAAGTGACTAATTCAATGTCAATTAATCATCAGCGATAATTAAAAATTAAAAGTCTGCTGACAGAAAAAGATGTCGCTACCCCTTAAAGGGACCAGCGACACAGACGCAGCACCTCAGTGACGCTGCAGCAAGAGACCTGAGGGAGAGAGCAGAGGAGGAACCGGAGAAGACGAGCAGTGATTCATTAACAGTAGTGATGGCGAGATGAAGCCTCATGAAGCATCGAAGCTTTCCATCCAATTACTCGACTCCTGGGCCGAAGCTTCATGATCGTGCTTCATTTGCTCTATTGCGCCATCAAGTGGACAATAAATGTAAAACAGGCAGAGTGATAAACCAAAGACACCCCGAGGCTTTGGTGCGTGAAGCTTTGAATTCAATGAATGAATGGATGTGATGCCGTGTGTTTGTGATAACATAGAGAAATGATGAAGTTATTAATATGGTGTTTGTCTTTAAGACACAGTTCCAGTGTCAAAAAGGGGAAGAGGACATAAATTATCGAGAGGGTTGTGGTGTGGATGTGCTACTGTTACTTAGTTTGTTGTTCGTACTTTCGTCACGGGGACAACAAATAAAACATAAACATTTCATTTATATTTATTTATTTATATTTAAAAACAACTTTTCAACAAGTCTCCAGTCTATGGATTGTGAGTGGGGCAGGACTCCATTGCGTTTCGCTGCCTGTTAAATCATCCGCCAAACCCGTGAACCGTTTCTTGAATCAGTCACGTGGTACAGCCGTGTAGCGAGGCTTCGGACGTCATCATTTTTGGCTCCACCCCTACACGAAGCAAGCCTCGATACGCGCTTCGCGGAAACGCCCCCTTCATTACTCGACACACGCTTCGAAGCCTCGGCACTGAAGGACACATCACTAATTAACAGAAAAAGCAGTGAAAAAGTCGATTAAACAGTTGAAAACCATAACTTACTTGGTCGGGAACTGACAGGGATTTTATGAGAACTAAGCCACATCGGTTTTGGTGAGTTTTGTGTTTATTTTCATGCATTTTCACCGTGTTGTACTTTTTTTCTCTGGCGGAAAGCTAACACTAAAAACGTAACTGTTTACAAAGAAATACTCCATCATAAACTGTTATCCAGTTAATATTTTGGGTTTATGAAGACTGTTAATGTTAGAAGAGCGTGTGTAAGCTGTGTAAATAGAAGATTTGTGCAGTAATTAGTACGGGAGACGGAGCCGTGAGATAAGAGACCGCTCCGCTGCCATTTTGAGTTGAAAAACACCGTAGCAGTAACGTTACAACTCGGAGACTGTGAAGCATTTAATTTTGTAATTTGAGGATTTAAAAAGAGTTTTATTGTGTTTATGGCCTGTTACACAGGTCAGGTTTTTTGCACGGTTGGAAGCTCGGTCGCAGCGAGGATTGGTCTGCCATGTGCAGGCATGCACATTCACAGACGGGATTCAAGATGGCGAGCCAGACCCAGACCTTGAACTCATATTTTCATCGCATCGTGAGGATATCTCCTGCGTGTGGTAGGAGTACCAGGAACTAGTTTGAACTGAGAACTGATTGAATTATTATTTTTGGACTGAAGCGAACTGAACACTTGAATTCACATTTGGACTTGAACTTAAGTTTAAAGTGTCATACTTTTATTTTTATTGAGTTTATGTTTTTGAATGTGATTTGAATAACTGTGGTCCACCTTGATTTATTTGTGGTTAAGGTGTTTTCTTACTTGTAAAAGAAGGAAAGAAGAGTTAACTTAGTAAGAAAAAATCCTAAAATAGGTACTGGTCTAATTCAATTAGATTAGCTTTACTAAAATAAACTAGGTGAACTAAAGAACAAAAAGGAAGAGTGACATATTTTTTTTTTCCTCTCATTTATACTTACCTCATCATTGAAAACCTGCAGGGTATTTTTGGTTTCATATACTGTGTTTTATATGTGTGTTTGTATTCAGTAAATTACCGGCCTTTTCTACTTAAAGCAACGGTCTCTGGTGTTATTACTCTTGCTCCCCACTCCTTACAGCCTAGAACTGGTCCAGTGGCGCAGTTAGTGGTGTGATAACGGTGCTACACCATGCTATGCCAGCAGCTGCTCCGCTCCTCTCGCTGTGGAGAGCTCTGAGAGGAGCTGAAGCTGCTCCGTTTCGCGTTGTGCAGAGTCCGTGCTGCAGAACCAATGTTTGGACGTCAGAATTTTTTTAGCGGCGGACAACCCGCGCTTTCACCTATCACCGTAACAACCAGCAACTGTGTTCAGATCATAATAATAAATTGTATATAGAAGTACAGAATGGAGAGATATTTGACAGGGATGAAAAGAAAAGCTGAAGCCAGCAATACAGCATGCCTAGATGACGGTAGGCCAAACCAACAAAAAGCCAAGTCAAGGAAATATGAAGCTATCTTGCTATCTTGCTCTTGGATTCACAGGATTTTTTGTACTTACTCAACTTGATATTGTTTGATTATTATTGTTCTTGCAACATGAATGCACGTTTGTTTTCTAGTTTTGAGAAACACAGCAGATGGAATGTTATGTCAATAAAGTTATACATGGCCTATTTTGTCGTAATTTTGTTGGGGTAGGGGGGAATGACAAAAAAAGTTTGAGAACCACTGACATACAGCATCATCTTAAATCTAACTCCTTACACCCCAATGTTAGCACAACAAAGCCCCCCCAACACACACCCACACACACACTTTATTGTCATTCACACCCTCCTGTTGTCACATCAGCAGGGAACTTTGGGTAAAGACACCAGGGGCCTGTTCTACGAAGCAGGATGACTGCTTAGTGAGGTAACTTTGAGGGTAAGTTCTGGGATTCCTGTTCTACGACGCGGGTTCACTTCTTAGCGAGGCGAGTCTCCATGGCAACGTATGCTGAACGGCTAACCTGCTCCGGGGCAGGTTGGGTTCCAGATTGAACTCACAGAGTATAAAAACCCCGCCCACTGACCAATGAGCTCTCTCAAAAAATGGCTTGTCCATTCTTGGGGGATCCTTTAGACCTCGCATTGTCCCAGGAGCACTCCGGCGCGCAAGATTTTCCCGGGACCAAACAGACCCACTTACTTTTCCGGATGACCACCTTCATGAAAGGCTCATATGGCAGACATATCACACAAAAAATGTGAACACGATAGGAATGAACAGATGAATGAATTCATCTTGGAAATGAATCAGACATGTTTGGTGCATGTTAAAAGCGCATGTTGAACAGTGCTATTTCAGGGTGATAATGGCATCAAAGATTTTTTGCGCACTATATTTATGCATTGAGACTGTCTGCAATTTTCTGCCAGCATTCCCTCCGTACTTTTGCAGCGGCGACGGTGTTGCTTTTGAGGTTTATGATAGATTTGAATTCTTCATACTTTCTCATGATCGTCTCCTGCTCCTCGTTTGTAAAGTACACAGTCTTTCGCTCTCCTTCCGGCTCTGACGCTCCAGACTGGTCCATGTTCACGATTGGTCAGATGCGGCGGGCTCCACCTTACATGCGTGCACGCGCTCATAGCAAAGCTGGATCCACTTATGAGGTTGATAACCAGCGTCGTAAGACCGTTTAGCAAGACCGCTGGCTAGCAAGACTTGCTTCGTAGAACAGGCCCCAGAGAGTGGGGGAGAGGAGCGGTCTGTAAAACCGGAGCTGTGAAACGTGGTGAAGAACTCAGAGGGGAAACAGCGCCACCATTCTGTGATTCTTTAAAGGTCCCATATAAGGAAAATCAGGTGTGCTCACCTGTATGGACAGAAAACACTGAAGTCTCCTCCAGGTCAGCGGCCCTGAGAACATGGAGATCTGTGATTGGTGGTTCTGGTGACCAAATGTACGCGTTAAATGATACGATGGTATGATTTCATAAACTACAAGTCCCATGAACAACAGCTCTCATAATCTTCAAGTGTATAAACAACATATCTGAACTAAAAGTCTCACCTAGTGATGTGAAGATCAGTTCTTTTGACTGAATCTTTAGAGTCCTTTCATTAAAATGATTTGTTCAAAAGATTCGTTCACTGAATCAGTCAGTGCATCAGAGCGCCGTCCTGTCGGTGCAGTACACCAGTGAGTGACACAGCGGTGAGTGGAGAGATTGAAAATAACTAAACATGGCAGCTGTAGCGGGGATTCTGATACTTTTACATCCATCAAATAGTGTATTTCTTTAAGTCGGCTGATATTAAATCCTTCTCACAGGAAAGTTTATACACGTGTATTAATGTAAAGGCGCTATAATGACCTGTTTTATCTTAGCCTCAGTCAAGTCGTTCGAAAGTCGTTTGTTTCGTTCACACTCTGACTGATACATATCGTCTATTCGCTGTGAGCAAATCACGAGACTCTTCCCGCTCGCTCACTGGTTTGCTGTGTGTCGTTTGCCAAAGAGTCAAAGGCAGCAGTTCCACTCCCGACCAGCACGCCAGGCTCGCGGCTGAGCTTAGCTGAACTGAGAAAGGAACAAATCAGGTCTCAGAGTGGTTCAGTTCACTTTGTTCACTCAGCAGTTCTTTTGAACGAAACGCTCATGAACGACACAACACCCGTCTCACCCCATAAACTCCAGGTCCCAAAAACATGAGGTCTCATAATCGAGTCTTGTAAGAAAGAAAAACGGATTTAATGATTGTCAGGGTTTTTATGGGACTTGTAGTTTTCAGGATGGATCTTTAGTGGACTGAGAAAATAGGTTCATGGAATTTGTTTCTTTTTTTTTTTTTTTTTAAGTCCATGTAGTGATTCATGGGGGACAGGTAGTTTATGGGAAATGTAGTTAAAGGTGGGGAAGGCAGGAATCCGTTAAAGAAGCACCTTTTTTTGTGGTTTATTTACAAAAATCTTTTAATATCAGTCAATAGTTATTATTTATTGATGACATTTGGGAATATATCGATATCCCTGTGTTTTGTTATGTCTGTATAGTCAAAATTTTAAATTTTTTTGAGCTGCCCGCTCTTTCTGACTGTAAACAAAGCCGTTCTCCACCTCCTCTAACCTGATTGATTGTGAGGCAGACGCTGCTACCCTGTGTCCAATACGAGCCCAAACAAAGTTAGCGTGCTACAATATCAGACAGTAGAAACCAACCACAAAGGTGCTGTACAGAGGAGACAGGACCTTATCGATGGATTCTGACATGTGAAATATAAGTTTAGAAAGTGCTCTTGCTATTTAATCAGTGATAAAAATCCATAAAAATGTGCCTCAGGAGCAGCAACACACCGTTTGGTGACATTAATAATTATTTTTGTTCAGCCTCTGTCAGACTCTCCAGTCTGCTCTACATTACAAAGACACAACAAATTAAAACTAAATACTTTCAATAATAGGAGCAACGTACCCTATGTCATGGCGATAAAAAAAATATGAGGCATGTATGAGATGTTAATTTATCATCATGAGCAACTTATTGACCGATGATTTATTCAAACTTCAGCCACTGTCCGCTATTCCGCGGCAGTGCTGTTCACCTCCACCATAATCCTGCTCCAGACAGGAGTTTCCTGGACTGCTTTTATACCAGTTTTGATGCTTCCAAAGAGAAAATCCTTGTTAGTTTTCACCACAGATGTGAGGATATCCACTTTCAGCTCGGAAAAGGTTTCACATCTTTCTAATATTTCTCCTCTTTCATGTTTGACCTCAGTGGGCGGGGCTTCTGAACCACAAATATTTAAGAGCGTGAACATGTTAATGACAATCGATTTCAGCCGACGCATTTATCAAGACCCGATCATACATACGCTGGGATTGATAAGATACAAACCCTTTCATAAATCTTAATCGTGTCCTATCGTACCATGAATCCTGCGCTCAGATCTGAACAAGCTTGATAAATGAGGGCCTCTGTGTTTCGCTCAGAGGTTTTTGTTGATCTCTAAATTTGACTGCTGATTTATGCTCTCTTTTTTAGCCTATTCTGTTTTAATTAAACTTAACAAGTTTTTATTTACAATAAAGCTGATACACAATTCTACGGTGGCCGAGAACCTCCACTGGTGCAAATAAAAGACATGGAATCAACTTCCACAGCTATGCTGATGATACGCAGCTCTACATCTCTGTGTCTCCTGATGACACCAGGCCAATGGATGCTCTTTTTGACTGCATTTTAGATATCAAATCCTGGATGGCAGAGAACTTTCTCGCGCTTAACCAGGACAAAACTGAGGGGGCATCTGGGATAGTGTTTTGTTTTTGTTTTTAACTTTGAGTCATATTCCTGTTGGAAAAGTGCTTTATAAATAAAGTTTGATTGATTGATTGAAAAAAAAAGGCAGTGTAGTGTGAGCTTTGGCTAACACAGGAAACCCACTACGCCACAAAAGACCACCTACGAGAGGACAATCAAGTTTAGAAGCTTTACTCATAAAAATAAGTACGCTGACCCCTCGCCTTTTTTTCATTATAGTTCCCCATCAGGTCACTTTCTTTCTGCCTTTTTTATTCGCATCTTTTTATTTTGGCAGTAAGTAATTTACTAACTGCAAAAATAATTTACTTTACTCACTTGGTAATTTAACCTCCTCCCTGGTCTAAATAAGAAATCACTCTCCCGCCTCGAACTAGTTCAGAACGCAGCAACTCGGCTTTTAACTGGTTTTAGTCAACAGCATCACATTACTCCTGAGTTTAAAGCACTCAAAGGACTTTTACCATGAGCCAACTCTCAGCCTCAGATCCTCTAGCGAAGGCCTCCTTGCCGTTCCAAAGTCGAGACTCAAAATTAAAGGTGATAGATCTTTTTCCATCAGCGCTCCTCAACTTTGGAATGATCTGCCGGAGGAGATAAGGCGTACAGCAGAGACAGTCGCTTCTTTTAGTTCAAATCTAAAAACTCACGTTTGCAGATTTGCTGTTATGTGATGTCGTCTTTTCTCTTTTACCTCTTTTATCTTATTTCCACTTGCTATCCTTTTAGCCTTTGTTTTACTTGTAGTCTTTTTTTATTTTACCTTTTCGGCCCTTTATTGAGTTTATTCTTTTTTCCTGCTCATTTTTAGTATTCTATTTTATCATTAATATTACTATTATTATTATTTACATATAATTTTATTATCATTATCAATATCCTCTTTTGTATTGACTATCCTATTTTCTGCTTTCTACCCCCTTTTTTATTACATTTCTTTTTTCTTACCTATTTTATGGTTTTATTTTGGTCTTCATGGGCTCATTTTATGTTTAGGGTTCTTGTATTGTCTGGGTTCCTTCTGACAAATGAAATTGGCCTTCAATTCAGAGGTTTTTCATCTGATTGGCTGTTTTCCTTGTCTAAGGCGTTTGGAGGAGGAGTTTGGACTGCATCATAGTCAGCTGTTGGACACTTTCTTTATATTTTCTCATAAATTACTGCCTCTTTAAGATGTCACCGTGTGTAAACTTACATTTTTTTTTTTTTGAATAATGCAATACGAGGTTATTATCATCCGCAGACTGATTGGAGGTCTGCTCCTCCTCCTGCTCTCTGATTGGCTCCCTCCTGTTGTCTGTCTGTCTCTGCGCAGTGTGTCAATAAAGAACATTCAAATTAACAAAAAAAAAAGGCATAAACAGGGGAGGGGGGGATAAGAAGGCCATCCTGAGGTTACAGTATTAAATTTGACACACACACACACACTCACACACTCACTCACACACACACACACACACACACACACACACACACACACACACACACACACACACACACACACACACACACACACACACACACACACACACACACACATCAGGTCTGATGATGAAGCTCTCTCTAATATTCAGATTATTTTGATTAAATCGTAGTTTCTCCCTCACTCTGGGTGCCATGTTGCAGTGGTTCACCCCAAAAATCGAGCAGTTCTGAGGCCTTCATGCAGTCAACAAACAACCTGCATGAAGAACCGGATCAGGGATCAGACTGCTGGGGAAATGTGAGCAAGATCAGATCCACTAAACCAAACCGGACCATAGAGTTTGGTGGAAACTCAGCAGAAGATTCAAGAATGAAGTCCACGTGTGGGACTCATGGATGCAGCCTCAGAGCTGTCAGTTTGGATCAAGTGTCTCTGGTCTGAGGCCCATCAGCTGATCATAAAAAAACATCTATATCAATATTTTTAATGAGTTTGTATTGATTGATTATCAATATAAAACGTCTAACGTCAAACATGAGGTGACGCCGCTGCAGCAGGTGTTCTGATCCGACGGTTTCTGTTTGCCACATCCAGAAAAGATCCAGGTCCTGCAGCACACGCACACACACACACACACACACACGCAGCGCTGTGTGTGTGTGTGATTTTAGCTGATAGGCACACGGGCAGCTTCTTTCTCATGTGTTTTCTGTGTGCAGAATCAGATGGTGTGTGTGTGTGTGTGTGTGTGTGTGCGTGATAGAGAGGAGGGAGATAAATGTAGGTCATGCTGCAGATTCTCCGCATGGCAACAATGTAGAAATCCCAACTCGGAATCCTTGCATCTGATTGGCTGAGAGCTTCAGGGAAGCAACCAATAACCTTTCAACCCCAGGGTGTTGTGTATGTGTGTGTGTGTGTATGTGTGCGTGCTTGCATGAGAGAATGTGTGTGTGTATGTGTGTGTGTGTATGTGTGTGTGTGTCCACTCTCAGACTGATGCTTGGCGTGCTGATTGGTGACATCACAGTGACATCACAGCAGAATGGGTGGAGTCACAGACAGGATCCAACCCACCTGGTGATAAACCAGAGGAGGTGCTGGAACACTGAGAGTACTCACACTATGAGTCCCAGAATGCCGTGCTGCCAGCTCGTCCAATCGGACTGTGGCAGGCTCTGTTGCCGAGCAGCTGAGGAGTCAGAGGTTTGTCTGAGTGTGATGTCACTGTGATGTCACTGCTCTGCATGGAGGTGTCTCCATAGCAACAGCTCCTGAGGCTCATGGGTACTGTAGTTTCTCCCACTCAGAGAATAAACACTGAGATGTAGAAAGAGAAGGATTTAAAGATTTCACAGACACACTGGAGCACCTGACCGCAGACACGGGCGGATCCTGGGGGGGGGTGGTTATGACCCCCACCCCTAAAAGATCTACCAAGCCCCCCCAAACCCTGGACAGTTGGCTTTCTGGCCTTCAGAGGAGGTACTTTGGTTAAAATCAATTATTAACAATTGTGTACAACTTTAGTTTGTGTTGATTTGGCGCCCCCTGTGGACAAAGAAGTACCTCTTTTCTCTTTGGTGGTTTTGTCCTGCATGTGACTTAATATGGTTTTTAAACCAAGAGTTGAACCCTCCTTAATTCTGACACTGAAAAGGGAAAATAAAGACTGTTTAAATAGATCAGAGTCATTTCGAAGGACAAATATTGATAAAATCATGATCTGTTTTCTTTTGCAGGTTCAGAATCGTATAAATACTCCTCCTGGCAAAAGTAGAAATGATCAGAAAGAGAGGAGACGTTGGTGTTTTTCATTTATACCTGCATGTAAGTCTAACCTGACATTTAACCCAAACTGTCAGCCTCCTTTTCAAAATATACATAACAAAATCAGCGATGATTAAAAACCACTTGGAAATTCAAAAACTAAAAACAAAAATTAAAAGGCAATTTGAGATCTAAAAAAAAATTCCAATAGATTAGTTCAAAAGATCAGAACACAATATTAAAAATAGAAAAAAATGCTTTTAAAGAGCAAAAACATGAGGAGAATGTTGAAATCAAGTTTGAATGGTCAAAATATGACTTAAAATTTAGAATTGAAATCTAAACGATTAAAATGACATAAAATTAAACATAGGTAATTAAAGTAGAAATGATCAGAAAGAGAGGAGAAGTCATTGTTTTTCATTTATACCTGCATGTTTACTTTGTGCACCAGTTTGGCCACCCCGGTCCTAAAGGTCTAGCTCCGCTCCTGCATCAGCAGGTCATCATTCCTTAAAGCTCCAGTGAGGAGTTTTTGATCCGTTATGAAATCGACTGGAATGAGGAAGTCATGAGTCTGGTGATGAGATCGTCTTTGTCTTTAAAATTTGTGCCTGTGAAATTTCAGTGTTACACCACCTACACCACAGGTGTCAAACTCAAGGTCCGGGGGCCAAATCTGGTTGATGGAATAATTAAATCTGGCCCACAAGATCGTCTTATATTTGTATTATTATTGGCCCACCAGTATGAAGTCTGCAGATTTCCTCCAGTATAACAATGTAAACTTTAGCACCATTATTTAAAATATCCTTAATAAACCACGAAAATCTGGGAAATTAAAGAGTAAGGAAGATTTGATAAATAGTCAAGAATGTGGGGAAAAATTGTGTTTTATCCGTATTTCCAATTTTGCATCTCAAGATTAAAAGTCAAACATGATTTGACTATTTATTTTGTTTAAAAACCTGTGGCGACCAAGCTTTCTTGTTTTCAAGATGAAAACATCCCGACTCTTTCTACTTTTAAATAACGTCTTAAAACTAAATTTTATTCCTTTTCTTTTAGTTCAGCATGACAGTTGTGTGATCTCTGTCCTTTTACCACTTTTATTTCTTTTTCTTTTATGCTTTTGTGTTTTTATTTCATTTTAAATGTTTTTTTTACCTGCTTTTATTTATTTCATCTTGATGTTTACAGCATTGTCTGTTCTTTTACTGTGCAGCTCTTTGGTAGACTTGAATGTTTTTAAAATGTGATTTAGAAATAAAGTGGATTGGATTCTGCTTTGATTTTTTCAACTCAGTATTTAGATTTATGCCATTTAATCCTTTAAATTCCAATTTTAAATTGAAGTCATATTTTGACCTTTTAAACCTGATTTCAACTTTGTCCTCATGTATTTACTCTTTAAAAATATTTTTTTTGTATTTTTAATATCCTGTTCTGATCTTTTGAACTAATCTATTGGATTTCTTTATAATCTTAGATTGCCTTTAAATTTATCTTTTTGACTTTTTGAATTTCCAAGTGGTTTAAAGTTATCGCTGATTTTGTTATTATATTTTGAAAAGGAGGCTGACAGTTTGGGTTAAATATCAGGTTAGACTTAAAGTTTAAGTCGTTATCCAAACAGCCAAGACCTGATTTAAAATCACTGCCAAGGTTAGGGTTTGACATTAAACACCTCAGATACCAGCTGATGAGTCTGCTGCTGCCAGAAAACTAACAAGTAAAACAGCTGAGACCAGAGACAGGAGAAATCCAGGAGAAGGGACGATAAAGTTAGTAAATCATGACTATCTTCAGGAGTGAAGGTCTCTCTTCCTACACTGACCAGGTCAACTAAAGAACCAGCTTTTTCTACCTGCACAGACGCCACCTGCTTTTTATCCGACACACTCTGAGCTTCATGCAGCAAACATACAGAAACCACTGCGTGACCAACAGTACAGGTATGCTGAGTGCAGAGAGCAGCCAATCAGGGCAGATCTACACAGGAAATTATGTCCAAATTTCTAATAGAGGAACCACCTAGTCCAAATCCAGCATTTCTGATGGTCTGGGGATAATCAGACAGGACTCTTGAGTGGGATTCACTGCATGGAAAGGACAACTGGAGTCCTTTAAACAAAGAATTGTAAATCATAGATGCTGCATCCTCCTCTCCCAAGAGTCCAAATCCAGCACCCCAAATATCTCTAAGACTCAACTAATGCTGAACAACATCTACAGGTTTTACATCTACAGTGAACTGAGAGCTTCTACTTTGTCTTTGTGTCACCAGGAGGAAGAGCCAATAAATATTAATAATGGATCAACACAATCATGTGACCCAAGTCCGCTCCCTGATTGGCTGCTCTCTCTCTCTGTTCACTGACAGACTGGAGCTGATTCAACAAAATCAGGGTCAGTTTCACCTTCTCAGGACAGGGGGCCTATTCTACGAAGCAAGTTCGACCTAGCGAGGTAGCCTTGGAGTGAACTTGCTCAACTTACCGCGGTAGCCATCGGTCTCGCTAAACGGTCTTACGGCGCTGGTTATCAACCTCGTAAGTGGATCCAGCTTTGCTATGAGCGCATGCACGCATGCAAGGCGGAGCCCGTCACATCTGACCAATCGCGAACATGGACCAGTCTGAAGAGTCAGAGCAGGCCAGAGAGCGAAGGACTGCGTACTTTATAAACGAGGAGCAGGAGACGATCATGAGAAAGTATGAAGAATTCAAATCTATCATAAACCTCAAAAGCAACACCATCGCCGCTGCAAAAGCACGGAAGGGATGCTGGCAGAAAATTGCTGACAGTCTCAATGCGTAAATATAGTGTGCAAAAAATCTTTGATGTCATTGTCACCCTGAAATAGCACTGTTCAATATGCCCTTTTAACATGCACCAGACATGTCTAATTCATTTCCAAGATTCTACGAAGCAGGATTACTGCTTAGCGAGGTAACTTCGAGGGTAAGTTCGGGGTTCACTTCTTAGTGAGGTGAGTCTCCATGGCAATGTATGCTGAACGGCTAACCTGCTCCGGGGCAGGTTAGGTTCCAGATTGAACTCACCAAGTATAAAAACCCCGCCCACTGACCAATGAGTTCTCTCGAAAAATGGCTTGTCTGTTCTTGGAGGATCCTATAGACCTCGGTGCACGCATCGTCCGACGAGCACTCTGGCACACAAGAGTTTTCAGGGATCGCATGGACCCACTTACTTTTCCGGATGACCACCTTCATGAAAGGCTCATATGGCCGACATATCACACAAAAAATGTAAACACGATAGGAATGAACAGATGAATGATTTTATCTTGGAAATGAATTAGACATGTCTGGTGCATGTTAAACGCGCATGTTGAACAGTGTTATTTCAGGGTGATAATGGCATCAAAGATTTTTTGCGCACTATATTTACGCATTGAGACTGTCAGCAATTTTCTGCCAGCATTCCCTCCGTGCTTTTGCAGCAGCGACGGTGTTGCTTTTGAGGTTTATGATAGATTTGAATTCTTCATACTTTCTCATGATCGTCCCCTGCTCCTCGTTTGTAAAGTCCGCGGTCCTAGGCTCTCCGGCCTGCTCTGACGCTCCAGACTGGTCCATGTTCGCGATTGGTCAGATGCGACGGGCTCCGCCTTGCATGCGTGCACGCGCCCATAGCAAAGCTGGATCCACTTCCGAGGTTGATAACCAGCGTCTTAAGACCGTTTAGCTAAACCGATGGCTACCGCGCTAAGTCGAACTTGCTTCGTAGAATAGGCCCCAGGTTAGCCGTTCAGCGTACGTTGCCATGGAGACTTGCCCCACTACGAAGTGAACCCGCGTCGTAGAACAGGAAACCCCTAATTTACCCTCGAAGTTACCCCGCTAAGCAGTAATCCTGCTTCGTAGAATAGGCCTCAGGTGAGTTTCTCACCTGACGCTGATCTCAGCGGTCTCCTCCCTCTGATGGACAGACTGCTCCTCTCTCTACATGAACCTTCACTAAACACGCGCACACGTTGACACATACACGCGCAGCAGGCACGTGGCGCAGGGTGGGGATAGCGGTTACAATAAAAACAAGGCTGGTCGATCCTCCAATCAAAGCTCAGGTTTAATAATCGATTATTGGTCAGTGAGTGCTGCAGGCTGTCTGAAATATTTTTTTTCATCTGAAATAAACACACACATACACACACCTTTGTTCCGGCCGCAGCCGCACGCGACCCTAAACAAACCAACTTTACAGACCTTTACTGTATGCGTGTGTGAACGCGTGCGCGTCTTAAAGTGTAGGTAATGCATCGGCGCGTGCAGGTCCTCGTACCTGGATAACCAGCAGGGTTTCCTTGTGACCTCCAGCGGGGCGGGGATCGAACCTGTCGCGCTCACATGGTCCAGAATCCGGTCCGATGTCCTCCCGCTCCGCTCAGCTGATTGTCGTGCACAGCTGCTCTCGCGCCACGCCGCGTGCCTCACATCAGGTGTGATCGGTGACGCTGATTGTCACCTCGTGGCGCCACGCCGCTCGGTCCGGGATCGATCAGCTGATTAGCGGGGCCACGGACCCTGCCCGATCAGCGCAGATCGATGGAGCGATCGACTCTTCATCATCACCACCCTCCTCATCGATACAGCCGCGTATCTGTGTCCAGCGCGAGCCCCATCAGCACCACGTCGCGCGCACTGCAGAACGGGCACGCGCACGCCCCTGCACGCTCCCGGTCATACTGCTGCTGAAGGAACCAAAACTCTGATGGATCCAATCCGGACTGAGAACCAGACTGAGGACTTACGAAGTGTAAAAAGGCATGTTGACCTGCAGCTCTTGTTTATTTTTATTATGTGTTTAGTTGATTAAAATCATATAAAAGAGGGCAGACTCTGTAAGAATTTTCTTCTTTCTGCTCCTTTTTATTCACATATTTGAGATTTTTCCTTGTCCGTATTGAATGTTTTAAATATGAACTGAACGAAATAAAGTATGAAAATGAAATTAAAGGTGGCCCTAAAAATCAAACGCATAACCACAAGAGCTCTTTACACATTTTCAAAATTCGCAAAAGGAAAAAAAAGAGATTTGATTTGTTATAATAACCACAAACATTTCAGAGTCACCCATTTATTTATATCTCTCTGCCCGTTATCTTTAATCGGCTGTTTTTCTGTTATTTCTGACTTTTAATTTGCTATGACTCAATGATTTATTTCTCCTCTACTGTTGTAATTATCTGTTCAGCTGTTTGTCAAAGCACTTTGTAAACATTTGTTTTTAAACGTATTAAAGGGATATTCTGGCGTAAAATTCATTTAGGGTCAAACACACCATAACACCGAGTTAGACAACCCCTCCAGAGACGACCACTTGCTTCTCTTGTTATACCAACTTTAGTAATGACTGCAGGATAGCAATACAGAGAGCCACACACTCAATCAAAACGCCACTCTATAGCCACAGATAATTCTCAGAACAGCACCTAACTTCATCAACAGGACATATAGGATCCTAGCCATAGTACAAGCCACCAAACATCTTTTTAACTTTGACTAATTTCTTCAGCAGGAACTAAACACAACTCACCTACTCTCTTCCAGCAGCAGCTTGTTTGTGGCGAGACCTCAGGCCAGTCCATTACAGACTACAGCGGGGTGACGCATTATTAATGCTATAGAGTGGCGTTTTGATTGAGCGCGTGGCTCTCTGTATTGCTATCCTGTGGTCGTTACTAAAGTTGGTATAACTAGAGAAGCAAGCGGTCAGCAACATTCATCTCTGGAGGAGTTGTCTAACTCTGTGTTACCAGGTGTTTGACCCTAAATTAATTTTACGTCGGAATATCCCTTTAACAGGGCTTATTTTACTGAAGGTCTACCTGTCGACCATTCAGAGGGCAGTAACACCTGACATTCAGAGCTGACATCGGGGCAAAGATTTGAACTCTTGGGGCTGTGTCCGAAATGAACCACTCAATCCCTAACCCCTAACCCCAATATGGGATTTTACTATATAGTTGACTATGTAGTGAACTCAATCACCAGAGGTTTCGGACACTACATGGCATGACGCAATGCATGACGGGATGCCCACCATCGGTGAGTGACCATTGCATGGTCACCACATTTTGCAATGTTCTATAGTAAAATTTTGAGTCGCCTATATAGGGCACTGGAATTGATTACTGAGATTTCAGACACCCCTCAAAATGGCGCTAACCCCCATGTAGTCACCTATATAGGGGTTAGGGATCCATTTCGGACACAGCCTGTGACTTTCAAACAGGAAGTGGACTCCACGCGGGGGTAAAAAAAATGCTCTAAAAAGCTTTATTGTTCCAGAGAATATTAACAAACAGGTTTCGATTCACAAACAGATGAAAAATCGTTCACTTCCTGCTCAGAGAAACTGACCAATGACAGAGCTCCGTTACTGCGGCCAACAAACATTTTATGAACAGAGGAAACAGAGACCCCAGAAGAAGAAGAAATGTTTCAAACACGTTTATAAAAAAAAAAAGAAAAACGAAACAAAGATGCTACTGAAATACATTTACAACAGAGCTGGTTTAAGCCCGCCCCCCGTTAGCACCATGAACTTTAACCTCTGTAATATCCTCGGTGGGGTTAAGGTTGAGAGACAGACAGAACGAGAATGAGCTACATCTACATTAACATACTCAAACTTTATTGGTTCATTCAATGCTGAACAGCTCACTCTGCCCCTCGTCGTCTCCATGACAACTGGATGTTAATTACACATATCCTAAAAGTCTTTTGTTTTCTGTCGGGCAGGAAACTTCAAAGGCCCAGCCCCTCTTTGTTGACATGGTAACTGGCTTCAGGATGGAGCTTAAGACAACAGTAACCAATCAGAGTCCACAGCACAATGTGGGCTCCGCCTACTGGTCGGTTTTGAACTTCTTTGGTCCGACAGGTTTCCTGAGAAAGATTTAAAAAAAACTTTTTAAAAAAAAGATTCAACTTTAACGGAAACAGACGGACGGATCCACAGAGGTCAACACAGAGGTCAACAGGCTGGGTCGAAGGATGTGGTCAGGATTACGCAGGACCAAGAGTGCCTCACTCAGTCAGTGCGTTTACATGTACAATTTAATCGGACTAAGCTCATAATTCTGTTTCTTTGCCCATCGGACTTTTCTCCTTGTCTGCGTATACATGCAGCTGAGAAAATCAAATTATTGACGTGAACGTGACCTCCTTCCCAAAACTAGGGGGCAACCCTTGTTTCCGACCCCATACAACTGTCAACAACAACAGCAGGTCTGTGCCAGACGTCAGAAGTGTCTATAACTGCTGCTGGGCATTTTGACGCAAGAAGATGGAGCATCGTACAGCGTTGTTTTTAGGCCTGCACAATATATCGTTTGAGCATCGTTATCGCAATGTAAGTGTGCGCAATAGTCACATCGCAGAGCCTGTGATGTCGGAGACAAATAAACTCAGTTAATTTCAAGGGTAACTGACTGAGATACACTCCATGTGACTCTACATGTGCTGTGCAGCGATCCACCTATCACCTTCGTTCTTTACTCAGTTGCCAATCAGACTATCCTGCCAGCTGTCAATCAAAATAAGAGAGGAGGAAACCCACCCCTGCACATGTTCTGCACATGGAGTGAGTCGCTGGAGCTACTGGAGTTGTTCCGAGAAACGCGTGTCCGCTGAGAATTACTTTCGGAACATTACTCATCACTGTTTAGCCCAACAAATAAGAATTGTATGGGTTTTAAATTGTACATTTCCGTGGACCACTCTACTACAAGCAGTGCGCGTTTTGTGAGGTGCATGCAATTCTCGGAGGACGTGCGTTTCTCAGCACCCTGGTAACAACAACGACGATCGCAAACTGAGCAACAAAGAGAAAACCACAGAAGATGAAGACTTGTTGCCAAAAAGAAAAGGAAAGTCAGTTATCTGGAATTATTTCGGTTACAAGATGGATGATGTCGACTAAAACATGTGTTCTGTGTTCATCTGTCGCCACAATAACATTCCAGCACAATAAAAGTTAAAAATATCTCTGAGACAGACAGAAGCCGTTCTACTAACATTCACAAAAAGAGGTAAGATCAGAGCAGGTTAACTGTCCTCAAGATTTCAGCAGTGCAGCATAACATTAAGTGCTATTCAGGTCATCTGGTGAAAATTGCTGTATTTTTTAATATCGCAATATATATCGCAGGGTTGAAAAAATCGCAATGTTAGTTTTTTCCAATATCATGCAGCCTTACTTGTTTTTGTCCCTCATTATGGACGCGCTACTTTTTCTGCAGATGAGATGCAGGGGGAGTGTATGCACACATGCATTGTCCGATCATACTCCGACTACGCTGGTAATATGGTAGAAAAAATCAAATTCCAATCCCATTATCTTATTCGGAGTTTTCCAACTCCAATCAGAGTTCTCAAACTCCGATTATAGTTGGACTAAGGTGTTTACATGCACTTCAGTTGTCTGGTCTTTATCTGAGTAACGGGCAAAACCCACAGGGTCCGAAACGGCTCTGCTTCGCTCCGGCACACCCTGCCGATCAAATCTGCAAGCATTAGTCTCGCGAGAAGTATCGGTAATCTCGCGACCGCTTCTCCTCTGATGGTGGCGGCGAGATTGGAGCCGGTGGGCGCTGTATGCCTGCGGATCTGATCCGCTTGCCAGTCTGGGGCGGAGTGGAGCCGTTCCGGATCCTGTGGGTCTAGTCAGTTAGGCAATAATTTGTTTTCTCAAGTGTCATGGAAACGTACTGACTGTCTCTATCATCAAGGATCTGTGACACTATGAAACAACGTCTCCTTCAGACCAAAACCGATGTTTTGTTTGAAGGGAAACAACAGGGACTATAATCTGAGTCTACCATCACTCTTTGAGCTCTGTTTGCTGCCTCAGATGTCGTTTTTTAACATTTTTGTCTTTCTAGCGTTAAGATTGCTTCAATTTCCTGCACAATCAAATGATGTTTTTATTTTTAAGTTTTTCTACCTCTGGTAACTGAAGAGGCACGAGCTCCGACATTGTTCTTGGCTTCACATGAAATCCCTGAAAGTCAGTTTTTCAAAGAGTCCAATCATCTCGCAGAGGGATGCTACAGCTGGCTCTCTGGCTCAGAAGCATCATGAACTCATGGTTTAACCTTCTGCTAATTTCAACATGGCGTTTTTTTCATCAGTGTGTCAGCAAGTCTCAAGAAATTCACAATAATTATCAACTATTATTATCTGTGTCAGAGTCTGCAGGTAAAAAGAGCGTAAGTTGACTGGCCGAGGTGACCTATAGCTGCATTATGTGTTCGAGGAGCCGCCTCCACACAGCCCTGTTGGAATCACTTCATGGAGTAACCTCCAGGAAGAACCAATCAAATCTAACTCATGTTATTCTGACTGTGACCCCAATTACCACCGCATCCTGATCGTCTACGAAAAGGTCGTATCCTCCGATCGTAGCTGATCGTAATCATTCAAGTTAACCTGTCAATTTCCACCGGCTTCTTTCCGTTCCGCTGCGTGTTGCCAGACTCTGGTACCATGCCAGATAAATAAATATAGCACAGATTCAAGGTCCTTACACACTGGGAGTGTTTTTTTTTTCGTGTGATTATTTCGGACATGAATATTTTTGAACCCGTATCCTGTCAATACAATTTTCGCCGCCGTTCCGGATGGGGTGAAAATTAGGGGTTAGTGTGGTTCATCTGTCAGAGAGAATGTCAAACATGTAAAAATCAAGAGTTCTTACACATCGGGGGACACTCCTGCTCTCTTCACTGCTGCTTTAGGGTCTTTACTGCCTTCTGCACAACACACACAAACACACATTATAATTGTCGGCATATGAACACACTTCATTAGAACATGTTTAATGAGAAACTGTAAGTATCTTTGTATTAAACATCAGTTAAATTATGATCTCTATTCCTTCATGCAAAACTTTTTCATAAACCTGATTTACAAACGTCTTTATTACATGTTTTTCATTATGAGCATCAGGAGACCCTGAACTAAGGTGATCAGATTTCTGTAATGAAATCCGGGGACATTCGGTGCGGCGGTTGGGGGGGGGGGGGGCGCGACATCCACATTCCCCAGAAATCGGGGACGTCTGGTCACCTTACCCTGAACTGTTGAGCAGCTGAAATCCTTCTTTGGACTTTATTAAGTTTATTTCCATGTTTCAAAAGCTGCTCCTCCTCTTCAAAATCATCCGTCTGACTGTTTGAAATCATTGTTCTGATTGTCATAAACATTCACATGAAGGATTCATTCCTCTCACCTCTGACTCTCACAACCTCCTGCTCTCATTTTGAACTCTGACCTTTAGCTCTTTAGGTGCGTCACTCACCTTGTAACCACCTGACCTGCGTGGCTGGGCCATAACCTTTCTGGTTGCGTGCGGCGATGCGGAAGATGATGGCAGGTTTGGTGGTGTAGTCGATGTGGGCATTGGAGAGGCTTGAGGACTGGACCAAACAGGACGGACTCGACCCGCAGTACACTCTCATGAAGGCCAGCTGGGCCGGACTAGAAGAGGACCCGGAGCCTGTCTGACTGGACTGGATGGCCAGATACACCGAGTACTCTGTGATCTTACCTGAGGTCACAGCAGGAGGCTCCCAGGTGAGCTGAGCCCCATCCAGGTTCTGCAGGAACACAGAGACACGTTTACAATAAAGGACTACATTACCCATGATATTACCTGATACCGCTCACACTCACACAAACACAAACACACAGGCTGTGTCTCATTTCAGAGACCGCATCGGGATGAGCGCGCTTAAGCGCGGCACGAATGGTGTCCCATTTGGCACGAAATGTTACGTCGTGTTACGAAAAAAAATCATATTTTCAATGAAAAAGAATGTTATAGTATAGTTTGATAAAAATGTCAAGAGTATAGAATCATAAAAAGTTCATATTTAGTGTGAAAAAAATGTTAATGTATAGTATGATAAAAAATCTTGTATCGTTTGATAAAAAAAATCACATTTTAGTGTGAAAAAAAATGTTGTAGTATTGTATGATAAAAGTAATAAGGTATAGTGTGATAAAATTTCACACTTTACTGTGGAAAAAATTGCATATTTAAGTATTAAAAAATAGTCATAGTATAATATAATAAAAATGTCATATTTTAGTATGAAAAAAATCACATTTAAGTATTCAAAAATATCATTATTTAGAATGAAAAAAATCTCAACGTTTAGTATGTTTAAGAAAGGCATATTTTAGTGTGAAAAATCATATTTTAGTATGAACTAAATGTCAATGTATAGTTTGATTAAACTGTCATGGTAAAGTTTGATGAAAAAATGTATATATAGTGTGACAAAAAATGTCTTAGTATTGTATGAAAATAATAAGGTAAATTATGATGAAAATTCATATTTTAGTGTGGAAAAAAAATCATATTTTTGTAAGAAAAAAATGTCATGGTAAAGAGTAAAAATATATATGTATATTATATTTTAGTGAGAAAAAATCATTTTTAGTTAAAAAAATATATCTGAGAATGAAATTAAAATCTCACTGTATAGTATGTAAAAAAAAACATATTTAAGTGTGAAAAAAATCATATTTTAGTGTGAAAAAAATGTCACAGTATTGTATGATAAAAATGATATGGTATAGTTTGATAAATATTTTGTATTTTAATGTGAAAAAAAATTATGTTTTTGATGAAAAAGAATGTCATAGTATAGTTTGTTAACAATGTCATATTTCACTGTGAATAAAATTTCATATTTTAGTATGAAAAAAATGTCTTAGTACAGTCACATTACAGTCAGAGTGGTTTCTATAGTAACCAAGCTCAGGTAAAGCGCTAATTGAAAACACCAACACACAGGACGTGACATCACCTTGCTAATTTTGATGGCACAGGGCGCTCCGGGGAAACCAGGCAGACATGTTTTAAAGGCGGAGACCTCAGAGAATGTCCCTCGGCCGCAGATGTTTATTCCCGCCACACGGAACTTGTACGCCATGCCCGGCTGAAGCTCCACCCTCTTCATCTGGCTGTAGTCAGGAGTTACACCCGAGTCATCCTGCAGGTACACAGCAATGACATCATCAATATATGAGATTGCTGCGATAAAACACCCGTCTGTGTGTGTGTTTGTGTGTGTGTTTGTGTGTGTGATTCTCACATCCACCATGTTGTCTCCGTAGGGGACGTAGTAATGTGTGACGACCACATTGGTCACCTTCACGATGCCGACGTCATACCACTGACCGTCCTTCGCTGATGACCTCACCGCTGCACTCGGCTTCTGTACACATGTTAGCATGACGTTAGCATGTTGAAAGCTGATTCATGGTCACAGACTGTTAGTGTGTCTTCAGAACATGTTGTGATCTTGTTTTCATTTAAACATCATTAAAAGTTCGTTTTCTCATAATGCCACTAAAAAGGACCAACTTTTAAATATTCCCATGTTCATAAATTTTGAGGATTCTGACCTACAGCCCATAAAAATCAACACTCCCACAGATCTCTGCATCAACATGTCACGGCAGCCATCAGCTCTGAGCTTTGCTAAGGCGTCCAGGTTGCTTTTCCAGCTCCTTCAGCTCGTCTGTGTTTTTGTTCATTTTCCTCATAAAAATATCCCAGATATCCTTCAATCTACTCTCTCTAAATATTTGCTGAATGTTTGCTACAGAATGTTGTACTCTCTTTATTTTCAGCCGTAGTCCAAAGTACGTCAAATGTAAAGTTTTCCTGATTGAAAACTTCTTAAAGGTGGGGTAGGCAGGAATCCGTTAAAGAAGCATCTTTTTTGTGGTGTATATATAAAAAATCTTTTTATATCAGTCAATTGTTATTAGTTATTGATGAAATTTGGAAATATAACGATATCTCTGTGTTCTCTTATGTCTGAAAAAATTGTCTGAATCCTCCTTTGGCCACGACTGCCGACACAAGCAAGAAAGCAAAGTAAATACTAGGGATGTGCGCGACTAGTCCTTTAATCGTTTAACCGTCTACTCATTGATTAAACATTAAGTATATTACTAGTCGGTTAAACGCTGCATTAAGCATAATGCATCTTGTTCTTCACGCCTCTGCCTCGACTTCTTTGTAAACAGGCTGAACAGCCAGGGAGAGAATTGCTCTTCCTCCCCTCCCCCCACATGCACACATAGCAGGGGGCAGGGCCACAAAGTTTGTGTGAAGCTGGTGGCAGCATATCGCGGGCAGTCATTTCACAAATCAGTTGTGTAATCTTAGCTGTGCGGTGAGCATCACAGCGTCTGTCTGGAACAAACGCTCTCATGCTCGTCTGCCTGGCCTCGCTGCCATGTCCATCTTCGCCCTGCAGGTTTACATCTAGGTGTCGACTATGGATATGGTTTCTCATCGCTCCGGTAGAGTGGTCATAAGCGAGTTTCTGCTTACACAGCCGACAGACAACCTTGTTGTCATCTGCTGCGTCAAAATACTGCCAAACGGTGCTGATTTTCTCGCGCGGTTGGAACGTTTGGAATTGTCATGCTGCTGCATCCAGCTTTCATACTGAAACAGTATTCATAATCAATGCCATGTATTGCAGTGGCAAACATACAGTACAGGCCAAACGTTTGGACACACCTTCTCATTCAATGTCTTTTGTTTATTTTTTTATATGACTATTTACATTGTAGATTATCACTGAAGGCATTAAAACTATGAATGAACACATGTAGAATTTTGTACTTATAAAAAAAGTGTGAAATAACCGAAAACATGTTTTATATTCTAGTTTCTTTAAAATAGCCACCCTTTGCTCTTGATGACAGAAGTACCTTGTCAGTAGGCTGTCGCGATAATCAATAAATCGCCTTATCGCTCGGTAAATAAAAACGAGGTCGGTCATTTTGCCAGCCTCGATAATTTACGTGCGTTTGTTTTCCTCCTCTGTCGCTACCAAACACGCTGGATGAGAGAAGAGGTCTCACTCTGCGCATTGTTCTCGGCACCTGGGGGCGTTGGCTCTATAGCGGAATGAACGGAGTTAGTGAACCCTCCTGTCAGTCATTCAGTGTCTTTGTCACGAGGGGGCTGGCGCGCACAGGCACACAGACACAGACTTTTGGATACAGTGCTGCAAGTGAGCGTCGTGAGTGAAAAGCAAGCCAACAGAATGAACACGACAGCTTTGGTGTCTAAACCGAACGCAACAGCCCAAGTGTGGGAATATTTCGGCTTTAAACCAGTTTTGTTTTCGTCAACTACAAAACTCCACGTGTGTGTGCGCGCGCGCGTGTGTGTCTGTGTGTTGGAGGAGCACAGCAGGCTGATGAGAGCTGTCAGAGCGGACTGAAGCTGCTCCTATATGTTTAGCGTTTAACTGACTGAGTTTTGCAACTCTGTTTGTCATTTTCGTCTCGTCCCATCAACGTAAACGCACTTTCATCTCGTCACATTTTAGTCATCTCCGACTTATGTTTAGCTCGTCAACGTTACGTCTTCGTCGTGGAAGAAAAGGGAAATATTTTAGTCAACGAAAACAACCAGTGTTGTTCTCGTTGACGAAAATATTTCCCTTTTTTGACGCTGGCGTTGACGGAAATATTTGACGAAATATGAGGAAAACAACACTGCTTTAAACCAAATGAAAGAGGTGAGTCCACAAATACGGACGAGCCGATATGTCGTATTTGTTCCAAAGTTGTGGTGACAAAGAAGGGGAATACGACGAACATGCATGTGCACCTCAAGCACAATCATTCTCCTCCAGTTTTCTCAACTGAGCAAAACAAGTACCGCCGGAGGTGCTGCGGAGCCATCGTCCCGACAGGTACCGCTTACTGAAGCGTTTGGTAAGCAAAGCAAATATAAACAAAACAGCGCAAAATGGTGCGCGCTGACAGACAGTGGAAATTAAAGTTTATCACTTTTGACACGGTGTACTCGCATTATTATGCCATATAATATCATTATCTATAATTTAAAAAATGGTGTCAATAATATCGTTTATCGGCAATAATTTGTAGCACAATTATCGTCCAGCAAAATTTGTTATTGTGACAGGCCTACTTGTCAGGGTTACTTCAGGCACTCCTGTGAAGTAAAAACCATTTCAGGTGACTACCTCATGAAGCTCATTGAGAGAACAGCAAAAGTTTGCAGCGCTATCAAAAAAGCAAAGAGTGGCTACTTTGAGAAATCTAAAATATAAAACATGTTTTCAGTTATTTCACACTTTTTTCTTAAGCACATGATTCCACATGTGTTCATTCATAGTTTTGAGAATCTACAATTTAAATAGTAATGAAAACAAAGAAAATGCATTGAATGAGAAGGTGTGTCCAAACTTTTGGCCTGTACTGTATCAGAAACACATTTCTCTTTAAATTGTTCACCTCTATTCCGTCAGTTGTTGTTACATCAACAGAATTTGAATCAATAGTTTGTCCTGGATGTTTGGGCTAAAATAGCTTCTCAATACACAAAACATTTGCATTTTAAACTTTTAATTTAATATGTGTATTAAATTACGAGTTTTCTTGCTTATAGACTAGTCGACTTGTCGCAAATAAAATTTGAGACTTGTCAGCGGGGAAATTAGTCGAAATTCCCATCCCTAATAAATACTGGAGACTCTGGTGGAATAACGGGCGCTTAAAAAGGAGGTAGACCGGACAAGAGCTAAAAAGCCGGGTCAACATAAACGATGGGGGACACTTCGGGATCTTGGTGACCCTGTAACCTTTCTGCTGGACAGGTAAACCGCTTTAACAAAGTAAGACAAGTGTCTGTAACAGAAGTGTTTCTTGTCAAACGGACCTGCTGTAGCGTGTTGTAGCGCCATCGCTAAACTGTCCTCCGTCGGGTCCTGGACTATGTCACTTTATCCTCGTTGTAGAAGTCCTGCAAACATTGTGTTTGCTGGTAGTCTGTTGGCATCTACAGTAGCACCAATGCTTTTGACTTTCACCTTGACTGGGCCCCATTTGTAATTATCTGAAGTATTTATCTGCATTATATCTGAATTTAATTGGAACGATACGAGCGAGCAGGAGCGTCTGTTTGTGGGCGGGGCTTGCTGGAGCAGAGAGGGAGGGAAGAGGAGGAGCTGAGGGGAAAACTGGTTGGGAGGGGTAGAGCTTACATTCAAGATTTCTCCTAAAAACTGGAACTTCATCAGACCCTTACAGCACCACCTTTAAGCTGCACCTGTGTGTTGTTAGTTTAGTGTAAGATGTTAGCTTGTAGCCCTGTATCATCTCTCACCCCTGCAGGAGCTGCGTTGCCGTTGGTAACCTCTGTCAGCGGTGCAGCTGTCTGAATCTTTACTGGGCTGGCCGTCAGCTGAGCAGCAGGACCGAAAGTACTGGCCAGTCGGGCCACGGCGCTGGTCACGGCTGATGATGTCAACTCATGTCCGTTGCTTTCTGCTGCGGGGTCATTCAGGCTGTCGGCAGGAGCAAGGCCCTCTGGGTAACCGCAAAAAGAACCAGTCAGACATCAGGGAGTAAACCACATAACCGAGTATGAATGAGGACATCTACTTCTACTTCTAATTTATCTTTGGTGCCGATTTATCAGGGCAATCCACTCCATGCAAGAGAGAGACTGCGTAATATCGAGAGGATCTGCAACCTGTTGAGGAAGTGTTTCCCCGTGTTGGACTTAATCCTGTTGGATTTTGAGAGTTTGGACTTTGTTTGGTGCAATTCGGCAGACGGCGGATGTGACAGCAGACGGACTGAGAGGTCGAGAACCGCCAAATCCAGCTAACTGTCAGCTAGCTCCTGAGGACCACATGGTGAGCTAGACAAAGAACGAACAAAATCATGGCCCACTCTCCTCTCCATCCGGCTGCATAAGCTGCGCTGCCCTCGCCGATAAAATCTTGGAGCTTGAGGGAAGGATCTCCACGCTTTTTAACATCCAGGAAGCCAAGAAGCTTTTCAGCTTTTCTGCGCCGCAACCCGTCACCGGAAATCGCTCCTGGGATCCTGAACCTGACACCACCGCATCCACCTGTCACTCAGAGCCTGCTGTCTCCACTCTCGCAGCTGTTCCCCCTTCATCCAACGGGTCTGCTGCTGCTCCTCCTTCACCGTCAGCTGCTTGGCCTCCACCCTCCATCTCTGATGTCTCCTGGGCTCGGCTGGGGGCCAAACCTAAGGCTCCATTGAGCTCCACTCCATCTCGGGAGCACTGGTCCGTGGTCAGCTCCTGCGCCAGCAAACTGAGGAGCCCACTGCAGACCCCACTTTTCCAACTTCACACAGCCAATAGATTTGACCTCCTTAATCCCAACTATCCCTCCCCCAAAGCACACTACTACTCCAGGATAATCACCACCAATCAAGGAAACTCCAAAACACTCTTCTCTCTCCTCAACAATACCACCCAACCCCAAGACTCTCTCCCCTCTCACTGCTACACAGCCTCCTTCTGCAACTCCATCATGTCATTTTTCACTGAAAGAATCAAGAACATCTGCCACCATCTCGGATCAACCCCTCACCCCGGCATCTCAGCCGACTGGCACCTGCCATCACAGCCATTCTCCTCCTTTCATCTCCCCTCCCTCTCTTAGATCATTGAACTCATCCAGAAATTCAAACCATCCACCTGCCAACTGGACCCCCTCCCCACACAACTTGTTAAAGCCTGCTCCCCCTCCCTGGTCCCCCTCATCTCTGCCATCATCCACTTGTCTCTTACCACTAGAACTGTCCCCGCATCCTTCAAAACTGCTGCCATTACCCCAATTCTGAAAAAACCTGGTGCCAACTGCTCCAACTTCAACAACTTCCGTCCCATATCCAACCAAAATCCTCAAAAGAACAGTTGCCTCCCAACTCCACTCCCACCTATCCCACAATAACCTCTACGAACAGTTCCAGTCTGGTTTCCGCCCACTCCACAGCACCGAAACAACACTCATCAAAATCACCAATGACCTTCTTATAGCAGCTGATTCTGGACTCCTCACCATCCTCATCCTCATGGACCTATCTGCAGCTTTCGATACCATCTGTCACACCACCCTCCTCCACCGACTATCCACCATTGGCATCACCTACACCACGTTGAACTGGTTCGCATCATACCTCTCTGGCCACACTCAATACATCCAATTCAAGTCCCTCAAATCCCTCAATCCATTCATCAATAACATTACCCAGACTGCCTACTTCCACCTACGCAACATCAATCGCCTCCGCCCTTCCCTTACCCACCACACTGCCGCCATCCTTGTTCACAGTCTCGTCATTTCCCGGCTGGATTATTGCAACTCTCTCCTTCTCGGCCTCCCTCAAAAAACACTCCATAAACTCCAACTGGTCCAGAATTCAGCTGCCCGCATCATAACTCGTACCCCCTCCATCCACCACATCACTCCAGTCCTCAAACAGCTCCACTGGCTCCCGGTCCAGTTCCGCATCCAGTTCAAAGTTCTCCTCCTTACATTTAAGGCCATCCACAACCTCGCCCCTTCCTATCTGTCTGATCTCCTCCACGTTACAATTCCCTCCCGCGCTCTCAGATCCTCTTCCTCCATACACCTGTCTGTCCCCCCCGCCCGCCTCAACACCATGGGGAGCAGAGCATTCAGCCACTCTGCTCCCCGGCTCTGGAACTCATTACCACCCGATCTCAGGAACACTGACTCTTTCACCCTTTTCAAATCAAGACTCAAAACACATCTATTCAGAAACTGCCTATCCACCATAATGTCCATTTCTCTGTCTCTCTTTTTTTCCTTATTTACTTTTTTTTTTGATACTGTTCCTAAATGTGTTTCAAATGTTTTATGCTGTTTTTAATGTGATTTGTACAGTGACCTTGAGTGTCAGAAAGGCGGCTTCAAATAAAATTTATTATTATTATTGTTATTATTATTATAAAACAGAGTAATGGCTTTAGACCCAGGAGTGTGTGTGAGCCTACAGGTGTACCTGTGGGAAGGCTGCTGTGCTGGGGTACTGTTTCTGCTGGTTCTGGTTCTGGTTGGTTTTGAAAGTCCTGAAGCTGCTGCTGCTGGACCAGAGCTGCTAAATCCTGCTGAGTAAGAACGATGGGGATGGACTGATCCTCAGAGCTTCCACCCATGTGTCCAACCGCCTGCAGCACTGCTTGGATTGTTGCCTGCTGAGCTGCATTATCTGTTGCCGTAGTAACAGCCAGCTGATCTGGGGTCAGACCTGTTACCATCAGGGTCGTTGTCCCGGGAACAGCCTCACCCCCCTCCCCCTCTGATGACATCAGCTCCTGAGGAAGTCCACTGTCTGATGCCATCTAAAGGAGAGGCAACAATTGGTTTGGTATGTGTGTGTGGGGGTGTGCACGTGTGCGTGCATGTGTGTGTGTGTACCTGTGCTTCTGCCTCACTCCCCTCCACATGAACCTGCAACACATGTTCTGATTGGCTGTCAGTCTGCATAGTCACCTCCTCCTCTCCAGCACCTTCTGTTGCCGTGCCAACGGCCTCAGGGAACTCCGCCCTGCCCTCTCCAACCAATGAGGAGATTTCCTGCAGACAGAGAGGATCATGGGACATCAGAGGAAACTATAAAAATTGCATTTCTTTGCAGAAAATACGTGGAAATGCTGAGTGCTGAAAGCCGAAAAAGCAATGCTAAACTGCTAATAAAAAATGGAGGAAGGTATGAATGGAAAAACTGTTGAAAAAGTATAGTAGAAGAAGAAGAAGAAATTGTATGAATGGAAGAACTGTAGTATAGCTGAAGGTAAATTAGTTGGATTAATGTAAAAATTGTCTAATAGCCTAAGTGAACAACGTATATGATTGATGTGAATAAACAGAACTGATAAGGATACTTGAATTTGAGAAACAAATGCCTTAAAATAATGTGTAACAATGTTCCAATTAAGTGTACAAATAGTAAAACAGATTTTTGCAGTCGGCAGCATCCAACCACAGTAACTTGAGAATGCAGAATTAAATTAATTGTATAAATGTAGAAAGTAAAGAAAAGCAGAAGTCTTCTACTTCTGCATAAGAAGTAGTTAGTATGTTAAAAGAGTTAAAGAACTATAACAACAAAATAAATATTGGGGGTGTATTTTCTACTGACAGAGAGACAGTAATGCACACATGGAGACAGTGTGTGTGCGCGCGCGGCTGAGCCTGTGCGTGTGCATGTGCTTGTGTGATTTAAGCACACAGCCCATAAGAAGTGCTGATATCGCAAAAGCAGTGAGAAACCGTCTGAACTTTTCCCCCTAACTCAATTTCCGTAAGTCACATCCCAAAAAAGATGATCTTAGGAGTCCTGAGACTCCCATGAACACAATGATGTATTTTTTATGTCCGAAGTGTAAAAAATGTGGCCACAACAGCGAGTTAAAAAACGGCTTCGCTGTGATTGCCAGGGTTTCTTGGCCAAAATTTAACATGGGAGTTAATGGGCAGAATCTCTGCACTCCGAAGGAATGTACTCACCCCTTGGCAAGGGGTACAATTTGATGACTTTAGACCTATTTTGTGAGAAGCAGAACGAGTGAACGAGTGAAATTTGTGGGCGTGGGAGCGATATATGTAAGCGAGGTTCTGTCGATCAGAGAGGAGGTCTGCACTCTAGCTTTTAAATCATCCCTCTAGCCTCTCCAATACACACCCATTATAAAGCCTGAAAATTTGCTGAAAACCATTTGGTGCATAAAGCTAAATTGTGGAAAAACTGTAAGAGATATCAAAATTTTGAATACAAGTTTATTAGTCGACAAGTGAATGAACATTTTAAAGCAAAAATTAGGTCTCTAGGTGAAAGTATGCTGAAGTTATAAGAGTGATTGAAGATAATTATTAGTATAATAGTATAATAAACTCTTAAATACAACGGAGTATGAGGGACACATTAAGACAAAAAACGTTTTTAAATCTTAGACCAAAAAGTTATTATTTAGGAGAATAAAGTCATTAATATCTAAGAATAAAGTCGTAAAGTTACCTGTTGTTAAAATCAGCACTGAGGAGCATTTAGATGAATTGTACTTTAGTATAGTTTTCACAAACATGGAGATACTTAATCCTTCGGTACATGAGTGTTACACTGTCAGAACTTTAAAAAGAATATATGAGAAATGCTGCTTTTATGGAGGGGAAATGGCTGGAAATGGCTGCACAGAGGCTAAATTCATCAATGCAGCTGTTAATAGCAATAGCATAGGGCTTTAGTTTATCATATGAGTTTATCTGCCATGAGGTGTTGAGGTCTCTGCATGTGTAGGTTACTGACTTACTGTAATCATCGGGTCTTTCTCGTCCTTATAAAAACCTGCTCTATTTCGGCGAGTGTCTGTCTTCTTCTGTAGTCAAACCGCAAGATATCAAAATCTACCCAGATACAGCAATGCTGCTTTTTGATTGGCTGTTCAGTAGATATACTTTATTTGATTGGCTTGTGCGTGGCACGCAGCTTCTGAACTCTCGGAGGAACTCAGTTGATTTCTACCTGTTACATTGTTACAGAGGTGCAACTTTGTGGACATCACCATGTTCATATAAATGCGTGAGAAATACAATGTGTGGCGTGTGAACGGGTGGGAATGCGTGTGTCACACGCTGAATGCGTGAGACTTGAGAGCCCTGCAGAGCAGTAAACGCGAGACGCCCGCTTTCGCTATTTTAGATGGCTCAAAACTTGGATTATTTCGCCTTGTTGTGTACTTTCAACCGCGCTCCCGTCAGGGGGGCTTTCTACGGCAGGGGTGCATTCTACGGCACAACACCGGCGTGGATAAGTCCTGCCTCTCGCTCTCGCAGCTTTGCAATGCTACCACAGGCTCTCCAAGCACTCCAAGTGCACGTGAAGAGTGTGCGCATGATTGGAATAATGGAACGCAGTTTGCCTTATGATTGGTTCTCGTCAGCGAAGGAGCCAGGAGGATTTGCTGACCGTCCAAGTGTCATTTAAAGGGCCGATTTCTGAAGTGCTCAGTTTACGTATTGAGTCAATCACATGATAATAAAAGAACAAAAAAAATCTCCCGACCCCGACCCCCCCCCCCCCCCCAAAAAAAAATTTCTCCTCGGATCTACACGATTCACGTAGGTCACCCTTTTTGATTTCAAAATGGCGAATTTCGCCGAAAGGTGAGAGATTTTCATGCCTGGTATATTCTGAACCATGTGCTTTCTACCAATAATAATTTTTATTTATCAGAGGTATTACCATAATTATGCAGACGACACACAGATTTACATAACCATATCGCCAGGTGACTACAATCCAATACAAACACTGAGTCAGTGCATTGAACAAATCAATGATTGGATGTGTCAGAATTTTCTTCAACTAAACAAAGATAAAACTGAAGTAATTGTATTTGAAGCAGAAGAAGAGCGATTAAAAGTCTGCGCTCAGCTTCAGTCAATAATGTTAAGCAGCTTTTAGTTTTTATGCTCCTCATATCTGGAACAAACTCCCTGAAAATTGTAGATCTGCTGAAACTCTCAGTTCTTTTAAATCACAGCTGAAAACGCATGTTTGCCGTGGCCTATCATTAAGTCAAACCTGAGGCCTCTAATCAACATCTTCATCATCTGCCTGTCTTGATCTCTTTTCTCTCTCTCTTTGTTTTCTTTTATCTCCAACCTTATTTTAGTCTTGAATGTAACTTTAAATTTGTTAAATGTCTTTTACGCTGTTTTTACTTCTCAAATTGTGTTGAATGTTTTGGCTGCTTGTTTCATGTAAAGCACCTTGAATTGCCCTGCTGCTGAAATGTGCTATACAAATAAACTTGACTTGACTTACTCAATTCAGAGGCGGGGTTAGTATGAGTAGTACGAGTAGTATGCCATTTCGGACACAGCCTATGTGTATTCATGTGTGTGTGTGTGTGTGTGTGTGTGTGCTCTTACAGGTATGGACGGTCCAGGGGTCGGTGTGGCCTGTGTAACCGTGGTAACCGCCCTGTTCTGACTGGCTATAGAGGGGGCAGGGTCAGAGGAGGAAGGATCTGTTGATTCTCCCTGCTGAACGTCTCCACCCTGCTGAGCTGAAGACAGAGAATAGGAAGTGATGTCACAGCCCTGTCTGAAGCTCAGGTGAAGCCTCATGTGTGCGAGCAGGTTACCTGTGGCCGTGGTGGCGGTGTTGGTTGTCCCAGTCTCGTGGGTCTCACAAGGAGGATTGGAACACAACTGTAGACAGAAACAGTCTGAGCTCAGAACCAACCAGGTGACCGTTAGTGGACACCTGTCAGAGTCAGGTGGTCTCTCACCTGTCTGAGTCCTCCGGCTGTGGTCGCAGTGTTGGTGGTTCCTGTTTCGTGGGTCTCACATGGAGGATTCGAACACACCTGAAACAAACACACAAAAACACACCTTTACAGATCAGAGTAAGGCTGCACGATATTGGAAAAAAATAACATTGCGATTTTTTTCAACCCTGCGATATATATTGCGATATTAAAAATATAGGAATTTTCACCAGATGACCTGAATAGCACTTAATGTTATGCTGCACTGCTGAAATCTTGAGGACAGTTAACCTGCACTGATCTTACCTCTTTTAGTGAATGTTAGTAGAATGGCTTCTGTCTGTCTCAGAGATATTTTTAGCTTTTATTGTGCTGGGACGTTATTGTGGCAACAGATGAACACAGAACACGTGTTTTGGTCGACATCATCCTTCTTTTAACCAAAACAATTCCAGATAACTGACTTTCCTTTTCTTTTTACCAACAAATCTTCACTTTCGGTGGTTTTCTCTTGTTCGTTGCTCATTTTGCGATCGTTGTTGTTGTTGTTGTTAGCGGTGTTGTGCCGAGAAACGCATGTCCTCCGTGAATTGCATGCACCTCGCAAAACGTGCACAGCTTATAGTGGTCCACGGAAATATTGTTAACATGCATACTATTGACAATTTGTATTTTATATATTGTACATACTTGTGTATTATCTCATATTTTTAACTTATCTATTTATCTCTTTATTTTAACTTATTTTTCTCTTTAGCTCTTAATTTTAACTTTGTCTATTTATCTCTTTATTTTAACTTTTTTATTATTTTATCTATTTATTTTAACTTATTTTATCTATTTATCTCTTTATTTTTACTTATTTTTTATTTTGTCTATTTATTTTAATTTATTTTATCTATTTATGTCTTTATTTTTACTTATTAAATATATATATCTCTTTATTTTTACTTATTTTATCTATTTATCTCTATTTTTACTTATTTACCTATTTATCTCTTTATCTTGAATTATTTTATCTATTAATCTCTTTATTCTTAATTATTTTTCCTTTATCTATTTTTTCTTTATTTTAACTTATTTTATCTCTTCATCTCTTTATTTTTTATTATTTTTACTTTTTTATCAATTCATCTCTTTATTTTTTATTATTTTTACTTATTTTATCGATTTTTCTTTTAATTTTTACTTATTTTATCTATTTATTTCTTCATTCTCAATTATTTTCACTTTTTTATCTATTTATCTCTTTGTTACGTATTTTATCTATTTATGTCTTTTTTTAAATTATCTTTACATATTCTATATTTTTATTTTTACTTATTTTATCTAATAATCTCTTTTCTTTTACTTATTTTTTCTATTTATCACGCAATTTCGAAAAGCAATTTCCCCTGGGGATTATTAAATCATTTCTGATTCTGAAAAACTACATTTTAGTGAAGCTCTCACTCCTGCACCTGTTTTGTACGGGTTCACCTGTATAATCAGGAAAAAGAGGCGACTGTCATCTATCAAAGTCAGGTGTGGTCTCACCTGTTTGAGTCCTCCTGCTCCAGCGGTGGTGGGGGTGTTAGTGGTTCCGGTCTCATGGGTCTCACAGGGCGGGTTGGAGCAGGTGTTCTCTGAATTCTGACAGACAGGAGCTGCGCTCACCTTTGGAGCAGAGGGGCAGAGTTACCTGATAGGCACACTTTCTCCATTCTCCAACATTACAGGATCAAAGTTCGCATGCACTCCAGCTGAGTCTCTTGACTCCAAGCTCACCTGTGGCGGTTGGTTCATGCTGGCTGCGGCGGTGGTGGCAGTGTTGGTCGTCCCTGTTTCATGCATCTCACACGGCGGGTTGGAGCACGCTCTGTTGTTACCACCCATGGTTGCTGTAGAAACAGTGGCGGTGTTGGTGGTGCCAGTATCGTGTGTCTCACACGGCGGGTTGGAGCAAACCAACGTCACTAAAGTATCATCAGTGACACCATCAATGACATCATACTGCGGTACTTGTAGTACTCAGAGTATTAACGGCAGTGTGTGTACCCGTGTCAGCTGCAGCGTCTCTGCTCTCTCCTGCTGTGGTCGTAGTATTTGAAGTATTTGTAGTACTTCCTGGTTCCTCGGACGTGGGAGAGGCCATAATGGAGACAGGTAGATCCTGGACTAAAGACTCCGCCCCACTTGGTGTGGTTATCAGAGTCACCTGTACACACAGTACTGCAGGATTACTACAATACTACACAGAGGTGTCATGCTCTGTACACACAGACCTGTAGTTTTACTTCATTCCATTAAAAACTTCAGTACGGGTTTGGTTTTCAGTTTTACTACCTGTTTGGGCCCTGCTGTTGCTGAGGTTGCCGTGGTAACCTTGCCTGCTAATGTGGCAATTGTTGCCAAGGTGGTGATGGGCGTTGTCAGGGAGGCATTGGAGACAGAAACAGCTCCACCTGCTGGAGAGATGGAGACACTTCCTGTTACTGTCCCCAGATTGAGTAACTGAGTAACACGCATTGTTGTTTACGCAATATTTCTTTTTGTAGGATGGTAGGTGAAGGTCCTGCCCTCCTTCGCCTCTGATTGGCTAAAAGTGCTGGGCTCCGATTGGTTATTTCTTATGGCTGTGAAATGTCATCATCTGTCTGGTTAGGAGATTCAGAATTGCGATAATGTTCTGTTCGATGTACAGAGCCGACAGCCTGCGCTCGGCTCGAGTGCATGATGCTGTTCCAGCTTTTCTAGCTAATCAGAGGCGAAGGAGGCGAGACCTTTCCCTACCATCCTATGAAAAAAAATACTGCTGTTGTTTACACTCAGGTGTGCTACTGATTGAATGTTATCTACCAGATGGCAGACTATTGTTTACCTGTGGTTGCCTTGACGACCAGCGTGGTGACAGCGGGTTTTGAGCCTACACCTCCGGGTGAGACCAGTCTGACTCCACCCATTGGGACTGTCCTGAGGATCGTACCTGGTGTGCCAGGAGCTCCTTTCAACACCACCTAAGCAAGCACACACACACACATACACACACAAAGTTTTGATTTGTAGCTCATCTGGTTCAAATGTAGAGGCAAAATCGTGTTCAGGTGGTGGCCATATTGGATCAGCTGCTTTGGCGACCCCAAAGGTCCCTGGCGCGGGCGCCTTAGCCAAATCATTTAAGTATGCCCTAAGCTACACCTGTGCCAAATTTGGCGCTTTTAGACAAAAGTGAATGAACACACCCTAAAATCTCCCTAAGGTCCACCACTATCTACAAAGGTGCTGTACGGAGGAGACAGGACCTTAACGATGGATTCTGACACGTAAAGTAGAAGTTTAGAAAGTGCTCCTGCTATTTAATCAGTGATAAAAATCCAATAGAAATCCATAAAAATGTGCCTCAGGGGCAGCAACACAATGTTTAGTGACGTTAATAATTATTTTTGTTCAGCCTCTGTCAGACTCTCCAGTCTGCTCTACATTACAAAGACGCAAGAAATTAAAACTAAATACTTTCAATAATAGGAGCAACGTACCTTATGTCATGGCAATAAAAAAATATGAGGCATGTATGAGATATTAATTTATCATCATGAGCAACTTACTGACTAATGATTTACTCAAACTTCAGCCACTGTCCCCTACCACTGTCCGAGTTATCTGGATTGCTTTTATTCCAGTTTTGATGCTTCCAAAGAGAAAATCCTTGTCAGTTTCCACATCAGATGTGAGGATATCCACTTTCAGCTTGGAAAAGTTTAGAATCTTTCTAATATCTCTCCTCTTTTATGTTTGACTTCAGTGGGCGAGGCTTCTGAACCTCGAATATTTGAGGGCATGACATGTTAATGACGATCGATTTCCGCCGCCGCATTTGTCAAGACCCGATCATACGTACGCTGGGATTGGTCATATACGAACCCTTTCATAAATCTCACGTGTGTCCTATCGTACGATGAATCTTGTGCTCAGATCTGTGCAAGATTGATAAATGAGGGGCACTATCACTACACTAGGGGTGTGTGTGGAATCATTTAAAGTGTTTATGCATCAGGTGTGTTACCTGCGTAAGTCCCTGCTGCCCCCCTGCAGTGATCTTGGGGATAGTGGTGATAATTTTCCCAGCAGTCCCTGCTGTGACCATCTTGGTGGTGAGGATTGTGATTGGACTGTTACCACCTGTAGGGGGAGGAGCATCACTGTCAGTCATCCTGTTTCAATCAGAGCTTTCTTGGGTGTGTACAGGTGTGCTCCTCTATACCTGTTCCCCCTTGAAGCGCAGATACAGGGATGGTCTTGATGATGGTAGTTCCTGGTTTGGTACTGGTTGCCGGGGAAACGCTGAGGATTGTAGGTTTGGTGTGTGTGGATCCAGCCTGCGCAGTGCTGAGGATGGTCGTCTGTTTCCCGTCTGCTGACGACACCAGTTTGAGGATGGTTCCTGCGGGGAGGGGGCCCTTTGTCTGACACACAGAGGGGGGCACAAAGGTTAAAGGGGGTGTGGTTTATGTTTAACAGCCAATCATTAAACATGGTTTTCATCTGTACCTGTAGGATCTGAGTCACTGGACTGCTCCCAGTCTGACCAGCAAGAGCGCCACCTTGCACTGGTTTAGTCTGGACCACCATCTTCCCTAGGTTACCGATCTGTAACAGAGACACATGTCCACACCATAAAGGTAAAGCTGTGGGCAGTTACACATCACTGTCCTGTTCATTATTGACCACACACAGTGTAGTCACATGGAAACTGAATATGAATAGATGGCGTCACTCACCAGAGCCCCGCCCCCTCCCATACTCAGTGGACTGTTAACTAGCGTAATGGTCTTTGTGACTCCACCCACCACTGTGGTGACCACCTGGGCCTGCTGGGAGACAGTAACAGTGCCAGATTTATGCACTGTGATGATTGGTCGACTGGGCGTGCCAGGAGATGAGACGACAGAGGTCCCTCCCACCTGAGCGGCAGCAGTCTTCAGGATTCGAGTGGCCGGGTTGGTTACCTGCGACAGGTGAGAGGACATGTTTACCAAAAAAAGTGATGCTGGCGCTGCCACATGTGCGTCTCAGGGTTACTTGGCGCTCTTTTTCTTCATGTACACCTCACTGTCTGCTCACGTCATGGTTCAATCATTTCAATGATAGGACACTGATCTATTAATCTCGTCTATTGACCGAGACAGATGAAATCACCATGATCCAAACAAATATCAATATCCCTTTTTAAACAGTAGAGGGCGCTACCTGCCTATCTTTTTTCCCTCTGTAGCCGAGTTCAGATGTACAAGTTTTAGGTGGACCAATCCTATAATTCTATTTTGATGTCGTCATTTAACCTTCTGACTGTGCGCTGTTGTAACCACGGTAACAGTGTTGTTCTGTTCTCTTAGACTCACAGCTACAGTTTTTACGAGTGTTGCTCCCGCCGGGACGTTCAGCGCCGCTCCCGCAGATGGAGGCATCTTCTGGGTTGCTGCGGCCGCTGCTGCTAGCGCCGCCATGCCACTCATCTGAGGACCGCCACCTAATGGCTGTGACAGACAAAGAGCAGGAAGTGTTGAGGACAGTGATCAGAGGACACCTCCTGGGCTGTTTAGCCCTCAGTTCCTACGATGTCCATTTTGAGGACATTTTTCATTTTTTTCATCTTTATTTTGATCTGAGAGTAAGATTTTTAAAGATTGGGGCATCAAATTTGAGTTCTTATTTTTTTTCATATAAAAAAAAACAAAACAAACTCTGTGTCACCTGTAGTTCTCTGTCGCCGCATGTTAGCTCCATCCACCCTCCTTTGTCCGCAAATAACAATAGACTTCCATTAAAAACAGGTTTTTTGACCGTGTGTTTATGGCACCATAACAACATACTACAACCTTTTTTTGTAGTCAGTCGATCACCAGGGCTCTAAATTTGACTTTCCAACAGTGATACAACAGATTGAGCCAGCACATAATTTTAAGCCCTTCAGTGCTGCGCACGCAAGTCTTCATTCTCATGGACTGAGAGTGTTTGAAGCACTGATTCATCCACTAAACATCATCAGAAATGAATGAAACTTTACATGCCACTAGATATAGATGTCTAACAGTGGGATGTGTGTGTTAGGAAAAGTTTGTGTGCTCCTGTGTGTGTGCACAGTTGAGAATCTGCGTCCATGTTTATAACCGGGCATGCCGTGATCGGAGATTTTACAGTTGAAAAATCCGATGTCTAAGTTCTGCAGTGTGGGACAAAGAGAGGGGGACATTTGGACCATTTCAACTTTGTCCTCACTTTGGAGCAAGTGGATGGACATGCATAAAGATGAACAGGTCCTTCAGATCAGTAGGTGAGAAGAAATCCCATCTCACATATGCAGTTATTTTTTATAATCAGCATATCACATAGTCATATTTTGGTTAGAGGTGGATAAGCACTTGTAAATGATTAATATCCTACATATACATGGCTTGACACTAACTTTTTTCACATGAGCTCCTAAGTTAAAAAAGTAAGGAGCACAGGAAGAACTTTAGAGGCACATTCAAAATTGATCAAATAATGTTTGGCTTATTGGTCAACATAAGTTCTATTATTTGAAATCGATTTTAGGTCATGTAATAGAAACTATTAAAGGAAAGGTTCAAAATTTGCCTTTAAATTTAACACAAAAATTGTTTAGGGACAAATTAGGGAAATAAAGAGATATGTCTTATCGTTTGACCTTAGTACTATTATTTGAAATCAATTTTAGGTCAATTGGTCACATGACATGGAAGCTATTAAAGGAAAACAACCTTTTCTGAGAACATCGACCGGTAATTTATTGACGGTCCCTTATTCAACACCCGACGTTGACAGTGAGGATGCAGAGTAGATTTAACCGCGCTGCTGTTGTTATTCTCGGTTACGGAGAGTGAGAAGATACCGGTAGATCCTCAGTGAATGTTCGTCAGATATCCAACCTAAAACTAACTTCACTGCAGTATTTACATGAAAAAACATTTGGCGCACCGGATTATAAAGTGCATTAAGCCAAACAAAACAGTCAGATAAGTCAAACTTTGTTTAACTCATTCAATAACTCTGCAAGGCTAGCTGCAGTGCTCAGATAAGCCAAAGGACTTTAAGTGCGCCTTATAGTGCGAAAAATACAGTAAATATGAAATTAATTTAATATGAACAAATAATTTCAATCGCATTTGATTTGGTAGAGGGCGAGGCTTGAGAAAAGGAGGTGAAATTGGTGTGTTTTTTCCGCTCCAATAGACTCAGCTGTTTAGACCACACACTTTATCAATACATATGACATGGCGCACAAAAACTGGCAAAAAAGGTTAATACGTTGTTGTTTTTTTTACTCATTACTTTTTAAATAGTGAGGGTTGAAGTTGTTTAAGAGATTTGAGTCAAAAAAAGTATGAAAAATGTTTAAAAATATTTAGGGCTGCAACTAACGATTATTTTGATAATCGATTAATCTGTCGACTATTTTAATAAAAAATCGATTAATCGGATAAACACAGAAACTTTTTTTTTTGCTTTTGTCGAAGAGTGATTGAAGATAATTATTAGTATAATAATCTTATAAATAGAATGGAGTATAAAGGCCACATTAAGAAAGAAAAAAACATTTTTAAATCTTTGAGATTAAAGTTATTATTTAGGAGAATAAAGTCATTAATGACTTTAAGAATAAAGTAGTAAAGTTACCTGTTGTGGAGGAGAGTTGTTAAAATCAGCACTGAGGAGCATTTAGATGGATTGTACTTTAGTATAGGTTTCACAAACATGGAGATACTTAATCCTTTGGTACATCAGCGTTACACTGTCATGAGTATCAGAACTTTAAAAAGAATATATGAGAAATGCTGCTTTTGTGGAGGAGAAAATGGCTGGAAATGGCTGTACAGAGGCTAAATTCATCAATACAGCTGTTAATAGCAATAGCATAGGGCTTTAGTTTATCATATGAGTTTATCTGCCATGAGGTGTTGAGGTCTCTGCATGTGTAGGTTACTGACTTACTGTAATCATCGGGTCTATCTCGTCCTTATAAAAACCTGCTCTATTTCGGCGAGTGTCTGTCTTCTTCTGTAGTCAAACTGCAAGATATCAAAATCTACCCGGATACAGCAATGCTGCTTTTTGATTGGCTGTTCAGTAGATATACTTTATTTGATTGGCTTGCTTACAATGTCTGGCGTGTGAGCGTGTGAACGGGTGGGAATGTGTGTGTCACACGCTGAATGCGTGAGACTTGAGAGCCCTGTGCTCACGCATCATCGATGTACTCCGGTGCCATGCAAAATGGGCTTTGCAAATGTTGCACTGAACGCCTTCCTTTCAGTCTTGGTAAAGTTTTCCCACACCACTGATGTTTTAGGTCGGGATTTGGCACGTTTTTCTCAGCCGCTGCCTCGGCCATGGCTGTTTCTTTTCTGTGCGTCCTGCTGATGTTTACACGCCGGTGTCCATGGAAATATATAAAGACCCGACGAATCGATCACAGAATTAGTTGGCAACGGATTTTTTCGTCACGACGAATCGACTTAATCGATTCGTTGTTGCAGCCTTAAAAATATTATTTTATGAACACTTATCTGCATGTCCGTTTGGATGGAACTTCAAATTAACAGGAGCCGAGGGTTAAAACCACAAAAAGTTGTAAAAGCTCAAGATGACCTTAAGTTAAGAGTGAGAGGAGATGTTTACCGTGGCCTGGCTGGTCTGAGCAGGTGCCACCACACAAACACCTGCAAGTGTCGTCGCAGCAACCGGAGATTTGGGCGCTGCCTGCCTCACTGTGACGACTGAGGCTCCGCCCCCTGAACCTGCAGCTGCTGCTACCTTCAGGACAGCTACAGAAACAGGTGATTAACAGTCAGGTTTCATACCTACACTGACACCATCACCTGTCTGGCTACCTATACAAGCACGGACACTCACCTGGGGCTTTGGCTGCAGCAGCCAATGGGCTTCCAGGTACAGAGGCGGTTGGGGACGGGAACAGTGTGATGCCAGATAGAGGGACTGATTGATTGGCAGGGGCTGGACTTTTGGGGGAGACAGCTGCAGGCGTGGCTGTTGGGACGGGGTTAGAGGCAGGTGAGGTGGCTACAGGTGTAGCGGGGATGTCGTACTTCTGCAGCTGTAACAGGTAGGTGTCTGCTGTCTGAGATGGCCCCCAGCTAACCTCCAGGGACATCGTGTTGGCCCGGACCAGCTGCACTCGAGAGGGGGCAGGGGGACGCTCTGAGGACACACAAACAGACAGGTGAGACACGGGCGACATGTGGCGTAATTTACTGCAGCATTTCCCCTCGTCAGTCAGTCAGTCATCTGTCTCCGGGTGTCAGAGGTATAATTCAGCCCTGCTCACCTGTCTCCAGGTACCAGAGGTCCTTGCAGCACACCTGGTTGTTCCAGGCCTTCCTATACCCGTCTCTGCCGCTCCAGATGTAGAGTCTGGAGTTGATGGCCACGCTGCAGTGACCCGCTCGAGCTCTGGGGACGTTCTCCTCCAGACTGTCCATCAGAACCGTCTCCCAGCACATGCTTTCTGCAGACACACGGACAGACAGGTAGTCAGGCAGGTGCACAGGTGTGTGTCTGTGTGTGTGTGTTTACATTTTGCGTAAGGGTGCGTGTGTGTGTCTGTGTATACCCAGGTTAAGACAGGCTAGTGTGTTGGTACACTTCCACTCCTTCTCATGGGTTGCCACCTTCACGTCATCCATCACCAGAGGAACCCAACCTCCAAACACATACATCCTGACACACACACACAAACACACACACACACACACACACACACACACACACACACACACACACACACACACACACACACACACACACACACACACACACACACAGGTGAGGACAGGTGGAGAGACAGGACACAAATCAAACCACATGATCAGTGTGTAACATTTGTGTGTTTGTGTAATATCAGTGTGTGGTTTTACTTGTTGTGGATGGTGGTTGCAGAATGCAGGCTCCGGGGAAGAGGGGCGGTTCCACTCAGATTGGGTTTAGTCCACGTCAGAGAGTCTGTGACATCACCAGAACAGGAACCAATGAGAAGGCAGAAAAGTGACAGGGATATAGAGAAAATTTGTTCCTGTTCTTAGTGACGACAGCTTTAAGAATCTTTCATTTTCTAAGAACTGATGGAGAGTGACACGCTGATGCATCCCGAACACAACGCTATGTTTCACTCAAGGTAGATGAGCCTCATGTTGATGGAAAGATTTAAAGTCATGGATGACGATTGCAGAGATTGTTAATTATTATGACCCTCGCTCCGCCAGGATTTGAGTATGAAAACAAACGCCGAGACAGCATAGTTTTTGTTAAACAGGTAATTCTTATCGCCTTTTATCGTGGCACATGTTACATAAATAAATTTTATTAGTCTCTGCAATGTCAACACAGTAGCTGTCCAGGCAGCTGCAGACGCTGCTCGCTTGCGGAGCTGGCGTTTACTGCCGCTAGTCACTAACAATCCGACATGGTGAATCCTATCTAAAGCTAGCGTAGGATCTTCTGCTAGAGGGGGTGTGTCGTTGAGAAGGCGATACATTTTTGGGGGGGAGTTATTGTGGAGCACAGAGGGGAGAGGTTTTTGTGTGTGGGGTGGGACGCTTTTTTCAAATCTGCCTCAACGGCACAGTTTTTTTAACTGCTTCTCAGATTGTCAACCAGGACTTTAAGCTGATTTTAAATTTTAACTTATTTTAACTGAAGTTTGTTTGACTTTGTACTTTCTGTTACAGCTTGTTTTTTTTAGAAAGAGCCCCCAGGATCTGGGATGATAAATATCAAGCATTTTTAGTACTGATGAGTGATAACTGACACATTTAACTTACTTTTCATCATCCTTTTCTAACAATGTTTCGCATGATTCATCCACATCAGCAGCCCTTGGACTGAAACATCTCCAGAGGAGATATCACCTCTTTAAACCAACGTTTAATGTTATTCCACTAAATTTATTTTTTGTTTTGCTTTCAGGTCATTTGTCAACAGCGGTTTGATTTATGAGAGCCAATCACAAACTCTAGCTCTATACTTGTCACCTGTTCGCTCTTGCCTCACCTATGTGCAGCACCCACAGGTCTCCCAGTCTGCAGCCGCTCATGCCTCCGTAGATGATGAGCCTTTTGTCTCCTCCTCCGCTCGCCACCACAGCAGTGTGACTCTCCCTGGGTGGCGGTAGCTGACCAGAAGTCATAGGAATCTCCCAGCCGATCACGCCTGAGCCCGGCCTCAGCTCCAGACAGTAAAGGTCATTCAGGTACCTGAGGGGGACAGGTGAGTCTGTTCAAGAGGCAGTAATGTATCAGTAGGCCTGTCGCGATAATCAATAAATCGCCTAATCGCTCGGTAAATAGAAACAAGGTCTGTAATTTTGCCAGCCTCGATAATTAACGTGCATTTGTTTTCCTCCTCTCTCGCTACCAAACACGCTGGATGAGAGAAGAGGTCTCACTCTGCGCATTTTTCTCGACACCTGGGTGCGTTGGCTCTATAGCAGAATGAACACAGTGAGTGAACCCTCCTGTCAGTCATTCAGTCTCTTTGTCACGGTGGGGAGGAGAGGGGAGGGGGGGCGCACGCACACAGACACACACACACACAGACTTACTGACACAGTGCGGAGCAAACGCAATGAATGATGAAACGACAGCTTTGGTGTCTAAGCCCAACGCAACAGCCCCAGTGTGGGAACATTTCGGTTTCAAATAAAATGAAAGAGGTGAGCCCACGAACACGATATGTCGCATTTGTTCGAAAGTTTTGGTGACTAAGAAGGGGAATACGACGAACATGCATGCGCACCTCAAGCACAATCATCCGCTGGGTTGATTGTGCTTGAGGTGCGCATGCATGTTCTTTGTTGACCTGTTGAGGAATAGCACCCAAAGCTAATTATTTAGTGCAATTTTGTTTACAGACTCGAGACTCCACTTTATTTATTGTTTTAATAGTTATGCGTGGAGTGAAGTTTTTGTTCCGTACCAGAGACAAGGTCTGTTTTTTTATTGTTTGTAGTTGTGATTGCGGTTTTTATTTGAATGCAGTTTTTGATAAAACAGAATGTGGGTCCATTTTATTTTCATTGTTTTTTGGTTGTCTTGTTTGTTTATTATATCTGTTCATCCTAGTTCAAAGTTCTTAATCTTGAGCAATTAAAGTTTATTGCTTTTGACATGGTGTACTCGCATTATTATGCCATATGTTATCATTATCTATAATTTAAAAAACGGTGTCAATAACATCGTTTATCGGCAATAATTTGTAGCACAGTTATCATCCAGCAAAATTTGTTATCTTGACAGGCCTATGTATCAGGAAGGATGTGTTCGGGTAACTGAGGGGCTGGGGATGTTTCTAACCTGGGGATGTTGTTTTTGGGGTCTTCACTGTCATTGGCCAGTCCTCCGAACAGGTAGCAGCAAGTTCCAATCAGGGAGAAGCTGTGTCCGAGGCGGGGGCAGGGGGGTGGACCATTCTTTGGGGCTTTGGTCTTCAGACGTTTCCACTCCCAGCGACTTGCCTGCAGCGAGGACGGTCAGAGAAGCGGGTCAGCAGCCTCAAAGCGAACTAAAAAACCTAAAAATCTATTTAATCAATTAAAAAAATGATCTGGCATTGTTTTTGTCAGAGGAATAGTCAAAGTTTCTTTCCATCAAGTTATAAATGGCTGAATTTCAAAAGATCCAGATTTCCTTCATTTTGTTGATCTGCTCTTCAATCCTTTATCTTCTTATTTTTATGTTAGGAGAAAGCGAAGCCAGGTTGAAGACGGGACGACTGACCTGCAGCTCGTACAGGTCGTTGCTGTACTTCCCATACTCCACCATCCCTCCAAAAACCAGCAGTCTTGTCCCGTCACACACAAAGCCGTACGCTGCACAGCCAGGGGGGATGTCACCACGAACAGCTGGGATAAACCACTGGTTGGTAGCTGTAGGGCAGGGAAGAAAACACTGAATTACTGTGACGGGTTGTTAAACTTCCAGGAACATCAGCAGGTTGAAGTACAGCAACTATTATTTGTTATACCTACAGTCAGAGATTTTGTTTAGTGTGCATTTCTCTCTCACAATCAATGACTCTGTTATAAAATGGTTTCTGTTTTGTGTCCTACACCCTGAGGTCTGCAGGAACGTTTCCTAAACATGTTGTTCTCTCAATTACTGAGGGCAGTCACTGACCAAACACAGGGATCACTTTCGAATAAAACACTAAGTCAGTGGTTCTCAACCGGGAAAGCGCACTCGGGGGGGGGGGGGGGGGGACCACCAGCTATTAGTACAAAGGAGATGTAGCAGAGTCCCAAGCAGTTGGAAATAGACCAATTTACAGCTGACCTCATCCAGAAAAGGTTGAGAACCCCTGCACTAAGTTATTTAAAGAAGGGTCGTCTGAAAGGTTTGGGGACCTTTTCTGGACCACATTCAGACACTCTCATTATTTTGAATCAGCACTCTCCTCTTCTCGTTGTTTTCTTTTTGAAAACTATGTCTGTGATTTTTATAATCATACAATTTAAATTCTTTTCTCTCTTGTGGACTTTTTCAGTTTTCAGTGACTTGTCTACATATGTATTTCTCTTAACGTACAGGAGTTCATTTAACTTCCTTTTTATCTACTTTTTATTTCGCAACATCTTTTATGTTTCAAGATCCACAAAACCAGAATTCAAACACTTACTTGTTTTTTATTATTTTTGTTTTAGCTCCAGAATTTGTTATTTAAGCACAGTGATAGGAATATGCAGCAGTAGACAGGGTCTTTAGGGAAAGGGTAAAAAAAAAAAACAGCGACAACAGAAGTTAACGACACGTAAAGTAAAAAATTACTCACTGCGAAAATTAAAGGATGCAAATAAAAAAGCCACAATGGAAGTGAGTTGCGAGGGACCAATAATGATGATGCACCAGTGTTTTATGATCTTGGCACAGAAGACGAGGAAGACTTTTCAGTGTGTCATTTGGTTAGACCATGTAGCGTGTGAGTTGATATGAAGTTGAACTGAAGCCAACTCTACAATGACATCCTCCAGTTCAACTTCATATCGACTCAGGCACTACATGGTCCAACCAAATGACACATTGAAAAGTTTACAAAACGAAATTAAACAACAACCTTTCCACTTACTCTTTGCTCGTCTTTTCGCAGTCATCTTGTGTGCCTAGAACGTAAAACACTGGTGCATCATCATTATTGGTCATCGGCAGCTCACTTCCGTTCAGGCCCGGTTCTACGGGGGTGCATAAGCATGCATTGCACCCTCAGGCTGTGTCCGAAATGGCCTACTACTCCTACTACTCCTACTAACCCCGCCTCTGAATTGAGTAGGCAGTGCGTTCACACTGTACAGTATGCGAATTTTGTGTATGCGAGAAATGCCCGGATGTATACTCAATCGGCTTCGATTTCTGAGTGTGCAACGGAGCTTGCTTCACGTACTGCTTCTGCCCCACAATGCATTGCGCACCTCAGCTGGTAATATGGGCCTCCTTCCCGAGGCTGAATAGAAATAGATGGCATGTGATTGCAATAATATATATATATATAGATAAACAATATTTAGTCAGTATACATTACACAATCTTTATCATTTTATCATATTTTGATCTTTTTACCAGATTTATTTGTATTTTAAATTAGGATTATAGGTAATGTTTTTAACTATTTGTATGAATTGACTTTATTTATTTAAGTGTCTATTAAAGATGTATTTATTACATCAAGTTTGAGCATCTTCTCTCTGCATCATCAAAGTGGTCGCTCATATTAAGCACAGACCTCTGATTAATAAAAATTATTATTGGTAGAGAGCACATGGTTCAGAATATACAAACGGGGGAGTTTCCAGTTGACAATCTATGTGAGCTTTTCTAATTCTTACTTGTGGTTGAAAATCTGATGGTTTCTGAAATGATCATTGTACATGAAAAGAATGTAGTCGGGAAATGATGTATTTGCCAAGGAATAACCGAACGAGGTCATAATAATTATGTTGTGTGTTGATCATTTTGCAGCCCTCTGCAGCTCATCACACGCCTAGCAGGTGGTGTATAGCATTATCACCATGGATACACAGATGTTTGTGTGATTTTTTTCATCCACTGCCGCCCGGTTTGTGTCGTGTAGATGTTGATTATGAAAACACTTCGCAATAATTAATAACCAAGCGGACGCTTCGGTCTCCGAAAACGCCGAGACAAATTTACAAACAGCCACTATTTCAAACAACTGGGCTCATAATCGTGATGTAAACACTTACTTTCTCGCTAGAAAAAATATTATTATTGAATGAATTTATATAATTTGTCCGGAATGCAGTCGTTCTGTGTTGCTTGCGGTAGGACTATTTAAATTTTCCCGGCGCTGCGTCCGGCCGGCACGAAATGCATTCTGTGGTATTTAGTATGTATGTGTGTAAACGCTCGGGCACCCGCGGCATACTCAAATCATCTTTGAGTAGTCAGTAGGCAGTAGCTACTGCTTGAGTAGGTAAGTAGATAGTAGGCAGTATGCCATTTCGGACACAGCCTCAGTTTATGTGGCTGCATGCTCAGTTGGAAAGAGGGAGAAGTGCGCGCGCGTCAGGGCACGTCACTCATCTGCCTGCGTGCAGCTCGCAGTTACCTGCACTCGCAAGACGCTGCTCTCTGCTGCACCGATAGCACAAAGTAAACAATGGATATTCGAAAGTGGTTCCAGCACAACCACGCCATCAAGTCAGAAAACGGTGGTCGTGGTGAGAAAGAGACTCGATCCAAACTTGAGCTTTGTGAAGCTGGCGTAGCAGCTGCTGCTGGGGAGCAAGCAGTAGCCTCGTCCGGCTGCTCACTCCTGCCCGAGCCGCTGCCGCCGCAGCCCCCCCCTCCCTTCACCCCAAGGCCCAGAGCAGGCGCCCGGCCCCCCCGACATTTGAAGTGAAATGATAATAGTCAAACAAGAATATTTAGTGTCTTTCAAATGCAGTTTTGCAGCAATATTGTAGCAGAAAAAAAGAAAATGCTCCATTTAGTCTGGGCTACCTCACCCATCAGGCAATCTTAACAGCAGATGTTTCTTACCCTGAATATCAGGGTAAGAAACATCTGTTACAATATTGCTGCAAAAATGCATTTGAGACTGGTAGAATTCCACTTAAAATGACTGCCATGTTTAGTGATGGTTTTGAGCTGTATAGTTGAAAATAGTTTGAATTTCTATGTTAAATATTCAGGGTAAGAAACGTCTGCTGCAAAACTGCATTTGAAAGACACTTTAAATGTTCTTGTTTGACTATTATCATTCCACATGAAATGATTATCATGTTTAGTGATGGTTTTGAGCTGTATAGTTAAAAATAGTTTGAATTTCTATGTTAAATATTCAGGGTAAGAAACATCTGCATTTGCTTTTTCTACAACAATTTTGCTACAATAAAGCATATATGAAAGACATTTTAAATATTCTTGTTTGACTAGTTTCATTCCGCTTGAAATGACGGGAAAATGCATAATTTAGTGTTGAATAACGTGCCAGGCATGTGCACGCCCTCTGATCTGAGATGCACCCCTAGTCATCATTTTCTAGACCCGGCCCAGCTTCCGTTGGGGCCTTTTTATGTTTCATCCTTTTTTTATTTTCACTTTTTTGTGTTGTTAGGTTCTATTGTGGCTTTTTTTAAATCTGCGCCGTTTCTTTTTTATTTGCAGTGGGCTACGGTTTCTTTCTTTTTTTTCCATCGGTACCTTCGATTGTAACTTTTTTTTTTCACCCCATTCTTTTTTATTTGCAGCAGTGGCGGTTCTCGGCCCCCGTACATAATAACATTACAGTCATGTTTAGTCGCAGTCGTTGAGACTCTATTATTATTTCTCTGAAGCAGACAGAGGGGCGTGTCCTTGTGACGTCAGCTCTGTTTTCAGTAAAAACGCGCCATTTCTCTCTGTTAGCCCCGTGGCTAATCCTGTTAGCAGCGGCTACAGTTAGCTTAAACTAGCACCAGCTAACCCGGCCTAGTCGGCTCTTTCCCGGCCTGAGGGCCCAGTGAGTCCCCTTCAACCAGAACCAGTCACATAAAAAAAGAGTCCACATAGAAACCAGTACCTGTATTATAGACGTGCAGCTCGTCCACGATCCCCTCATTCCCTCCCCCGAACACCACCATCAGCTCCTTGATGGCCACGGCTCGGTGTCCGTGTCGAGGCCGTGGTACCGGCCCGGTCCAGCCCAGGACGCGCTTCCAGCGGGGCTGCAGCACTGCAGGGGTTGCAGGTTCGGTCGACATTATAGTCCTCGCCTCCAGATCCTTAACGAATCGGTAAAAACGCGAACCCAGTCCGGTCCTGCTTTAGTATTAAACTGTCTCCGGCCCGCTAGCAGCAGCCCAGTATCTTCCTCCAGCTAAGGGGCCGGCTAATGTGCCAGAACCCGGCTCTATAGACCCAGGTACTCCCGCAGCGCTCCTAAATTCCTTATTCGACCGAACCAAATGAAATCTGGATCCCTGAGTTAGTGTTTTAGGGGTTAGTGTGACGGTAGTTAGCCTGGAGACCGTCCGCCATCTTAGCCAGGTGAACGCTGCTGCGGTCAGGCGGAAGCTGCGGGCCGGTAGCCGCTCAGGCTAACAGAGTCCCGCAGTAACACGAACGCACATCCAACTGCGGCTTGGTGCGTTTCACGGCTGCCTCTTGCATCAGTGTGCCGGGGCACCGAAGAGGCTGAAACCTGAGGTTAAATATGCAGAACTCAGAGCTTAGGCGCCGGGCAGGGTGCTGCCATCTTGCTGCTAACACAGAGCTGCTGCTGCAAATGGAGGAGAGGTTAGCCGGGCGGCTAGGCGGCTAACGGCTAACAGACAAACCCGGTGACCACAAGGGGGCGTCAGTGGACAAACATTCACACTCTGTTTGGACCTAATTAATCCAATGATAATTGATCAATTATCTCCACGACAGATCGACCAAGTAATTCTGCTTTGTTCCTTGGAGGTATTGATATTACTAAAAATAAATGTTCAAGACCACAGGTGTCAGACTCAAGGACCGGGGGCCAAATCTTGCCCATGAGAACATATCATATTTGTAATATTATTGGCCCACCAGTATAAAGCCTGCAGGTTTCCTCCAGGATAATAATGTAAACTTTAGCACCATTATTTAAAATATCCTTAATAAACCACAAAAAATCAGGGAAAGTAAAGAGTAAGGAAGATTTGATAAATAATCAAGAATGTGGTGGAAAAAATGTGTTTTTTCCATATTTACAATTTTGCATCTCAAGATTACAAGTCAAACATGATTTGACTTTATTTTGTGCTTTGATTTTTTTTAACTCAGTATTTAGATTTATGTCATTTTAATCATTTAGACTCTAATTTTAAAATTTAAGTTGTATTTTGAATTTAAACTCTTGATTGAGTGTATATACATACATATATACACTCACCGGCCACTTTATTAGGTACACCATGCTAGTAACGGGTTGGATCCCCTTTTGCCTTCAGAACTGCCTCAATTCTTCGTGGCATAGATTCAACAAGGTGCTGGAAGCATTCCTCAGAGAGCTTGGTCCATATTGACATGATGGCATCACACAGTTGCCGCAGATTTGTCGGCTGCACATCCATGATGCGAATCTCCCGTTCCACCACATCCCAAAGATGCTCTATTGGATTGAGATCTGGTGACTGTGGAGGCCATTTGAGTACAGTGAACTCATTGTCATGTTCAAGAAACCAGTCTGAGATGATTCCAGCTTTATGACATGGCGCATTATCCTGCTGAAAGTAGCCATCAGAAGTTGGGTACATTGTGGTCATAAAGGGATGGACATGGTCAGCAACAATACTCAGGTAGGCTGTGGCGTTGCAACGATGCTCAGTTGGTACCAAGGGGCCCAAAGAGTGCCAAGAAAATATTCCCCACACCATGACACCACCACCACCAGCCTGAACCGTTGATACAAGGCAGGATGGATCCATGCTTTCATGTTGTTGACGCCAAATTCTGACCCTACCATCCGAATGTTGCAGCAGAAATCGAGACTCATCAGACCAGGCAACGTTTTTCCAATCTTCTATTGTCCAATTTCGATGAGCTTGTGCAAATTGTAGCCTCAGTTTCCTGTTCTTAGCTGAAAGGAGTGGCACCCGGCGTGGTCTTCTGCTGCTGTAGCCCATCTGCCTCAAAGTTTGACGTACTGTGCGTTCAGAGATGCTCTTCTGCCTACCTTGGTTGTAACGGGTGGTTATTTGAGTCACTGTTGCCTTTCTATCAGCTCGAACCAGTCTGGCCATTCTCCTCTGACCTCTGGCATCAACAAGGCATTTCTGCCCACAGAACCGCCGCTCACTGGATATTTTTTCTTTTTCGGACCATTCTCTGTAAACCCTAGAGATGGTTGTGCGTGAAAATCCCAGTAGATCAGCAGTTTCTGAAATACTCAGACCAGCCCTTCTGGCACCAACAACCATGCCACGTTCAAAGTCACTCAAATCACCTTTCTTCCCCATACTGATGCTCGGTTTGAACTGCAGGAGATTGTCTTGACCATGTCTACGTGCCTAAATGCACTAAGTTGCCGCCATGTGATTGGCTGATTAGAAATTAAGTGTTAACGAGCAGTTGGACAGGTGTACCTAATAAAGTGGCCGGTGAGTGTACACACACACATACACACACGCATGCGTTATTCTTATAACAAAGAAAATTGATTTTTACTTCAAACTTTTATCTGAATCAATACATTTTATACTGAACTAACACTCTAAAGCAGTGATTACTTTCAGAATCTAGTGCTTCAACCTTTTAACCATTCAGTATCACTGAACCTATCATTAATGCTGGTTTTATAATTTATCAATCTAATTATTATTTACCAATTACCTGTTGACTATGTTCAAGAGCAAGTGTGTGCAAAAGCAGCGGAACAATGTTGGCCTTTCTTCTGCGACGTCACTGGCCGCGAAATAAATGCAGAATTAAGAGGCCCAGAGAGGCAAGTGTCAGTCGCATCTTTGGTTGTCACGGCAACGTTGTCGTCTGTCGTCAAGGTAACGTGGCACGTCACTAAGGGCTGTTCCATTGCTTTTATACCCTTTTGGAGCCCTTAAACCCTCCCACACTCAAGCACTTACCAGCTGACTTAACCGAAGCTAATGAGGGTGCAGGGCTTGAGGGCTTAGGGTGGAGTTTGGAATTGGGCCAACCATCAAGCCCTTACAGAGCTCACATGAACGCGCACCTAAGTCAATGAGTCAGTGAGGGGGTGGTTTGAAATTGGGCCATAGAATAGGCCCCTGGACTGAACCACTGGCTGGATATTGTCGAAGAAATTCGATATGCAGTGCCTGACAAAAGTCTTGTCACTTATCCATTTTGTAGAAACAACAGCTTATAACCTGATTTGTCATTAATCCATTGGTTTTAGAAATGGCTCATATGAAAGCTAAAACCCTCCCAAATTATGTTTAAAACCTAAAATAAATTTCCTTCACCGAAGAAAGATTGATCATTTAATGAACACAGAAAGGTCTGATTTTGGCAAGACAAAAGTTTTGTCGCCTACATAGAGTAATGTGAAAATTGAACAAATAATTTACTTCAAATACAAAAATATGTTGCACAACATCAGTGAATCAAGTAGTGGTGCTGTGAGATCCATATTTAATATCTTGTATGACTTCCATGAACCTGAAGAACTGCATCCATGCGGTTCGACAACGATTCATACAATTTATTGATGAAGTCATCAGAAATAGCAAAGAACGCAGTCTTGCATGCCTCCCAGAGTTCATCAAGATTCTTTGGTTTCGTCTTCCATGCTTCCTCTTTCATTTTACCCCAGACATGCTCGATGATGTTCATGTCTGGTGACTGGGCTGGCCAGTCCTGGAGCACCTTGATCTTCTTCGCCTTGAGGAACTATGCTATAGAGATCTAAGTATGCGATGGAGCACCATCCTGCTGCAAAATTTGCCCCCTTTTATGGTTGGCAATGTAAGAGGTAGCTAATACTTCTTGATATTTTAGGCTGTTGATATTGCCTTTCACCCTGCAAATCTCTCGCACACCTCCATGCTGGATGCAACCCCAGACCATGATTTTTCCACCACCAAACTTAATTGTTTTCTGTGTGAATCTCGGATCCATGCAGACTCCAGTAGGTCTCCTGCAATATTTGCAGCGGTTGTGATGTAATTCAACCGAAGATTCATCAGAAAAATCCACCTTCTGCCACTTTTCCAGCGTCCATCCTTTTAGCAGGCTGTGGGCCTTGGCAAATGCCACACGTTTTTTTAATTGCTTTTTGTTTAGTGCTGGTTTCTGGGCCCTGATTCGACCATGGAGGCCATGTCGAGACAGAATTCGACAAACTGTTCTGGTTGACACAGGTACTTGAGGTGACCAGACCTGGTGGAGCTCTGCTGCAGTGGAAAAGGGGCTGGCCTTGGATTTTCGAGCCAACAAACGGTCCTCCCGAGCAGTTGTCTTTCGGGGGCCGGATGGACCTGGGCTTGTCAAAAACATCTCCAGTCTCTTCAAATCTTTTTCTTATCCTTTGTACTTGACGCTGAGACACATTGAAGGTGTCAGCCACCTCAGCAGTGGATCTGGTCTTCAGCCTCTTGATGATCAAAGCTTTGGTCTCAGGGTGAATCTTAGGCATGTTGTCAGAGGTCAAGTTGCAGTTAATGTGAAGGTCTGGAGTGCTGTGGTTCTCTCTATACACCCACTAATTGATTGGTCAATAATTGATCACAGGTGAGGCTGTAATCTTGGATTGGGTGCATCATGTGACAAGGCGACAAGACTTTTGTCTGTGCAAAAACTGACTTAGTGGGCTTTACCAAGCTGTGAACATTAGAATGCTTTTCAACAGTTTCATTTGGCACCAAAACATTATTTCAAACACTGTTGGGATTGAAATTAGACATTTCTTGTAAAAAAAAAATATTGCACATATATTTGAGGGGCACTTAAGGTCAACTTGTACCCAAGTGACAAGACTCTTGTCAGGGACTGTATGGAACAAATGACCAACAGTCTTAGAATTCAAACAGAGCTGTATGCTGGAAGATGGAGGAAATGGCATTTTGATGTTACAAAGAAGTGCTTTTTACTTACTTTTTCTTACAGTTTTTTTGTTTGTTAGTTTTCGTTGCTGCTGTTTGTTTTTGTTTGTTTGTCTTGTTGATGTTTGCTTTAGTTTAGTTTGTTTGTTTTTTTCTGGTATATTTATAATGGTATATTGTAAAATGTAATAATGACAATAAAGAAAAAATACCCCCCCCCCCCCCTTTTTTTAACACTAATTTCAACAGAAATATTTCCATCCTCATCGTAAAAAAAACTACTATGCAGTAACCACTTCTGAATCAAAAATAAATATCTTACTCTGCTCCAAAGTGGTTGTATTCCTATTTTTTTCACATTTAAAAAAAGGGGAAAATGTTGGTTGTCAACACTAACTGTGGGATAAGTTTGCAGCTGTGAGGTCAAAGTGTGCTGGAGTTAAAGCACAAACTCAGAGATGCACAAATTTGCCCATATTTGGACACCACTAGTTGGAGAAACTTCTTAAAAGGGCAATATCATCATTTCAAAGATAGAAACAAGACTTCCTTGGATAGCAACAGTGGAGGAGGCTTCTGGACTGCTAAAGTGCCTTAAAGGGTAGCTAAATGGTAGCTGAAATGAATGTACCAATCTGAGATTAAGGAAGATTTGCAAAACAAATCAGGGAAAAACTAACTTGTGCCCATCAGTCACAGCTCTTCTCTAAAAATATTATATTTTTAAAGTAGAGTCATGTTTTCTCCACATATATATATTTATTCATCTTTACAGATGTATTTAAATCATTTCTTAAAATTGTCAATAATAAAAATAAATATAAAAATGAACCAGATCATTTACTCTTTTATGTGTAGGTGTCTTAAGTGAGTTCTCGTTGTCTTCATACTGCAGGGGAGGAAAATGACTTTACAATAAATATAACCATGTGGATTATTATGGAATGTACCATTTTAAAAGACAGAGACAAAGAGAGGAACAGTGGGGACACGCTGAGAAAAGACAAGTGTTCATGCTCAGAGATGATAGAGGTGAAAAAAGGACTTTATGTCCGTAAGGTCAGGTGTGTTGGGCACGAAGGTAATCCATCTCGTCGCTCTCCTCTGGTTCTCTCTCCTCCACTGAACTCCTCCCTCCATCTGACGGGAAGAGAGAAGAAACTAAATCAGTGCCTCTATGGTGGAGTTATGCAGAGTTACAGGTAAATCAGAGACCTGTGATAAATAAATACAGAAATGTATACAGGTGTAATAAAGAGCATAAAGTCGTACAGAGGTCTTCGGCTGACAGGAGCTCTGGGGTCCGGATTTTTCCCTCGTCATACAGAGTTTTCTTCTGCAGCAAGTGCTGCTTACTGGGATTGATGACCACTGAGGAGGAACACAGAGGAAACAGATCAGACCTCTCACACTCACAACAGGGTTTACAGGTTAAACTACAGGATCAGAGGCAGTTTTCTCCAGCTGCTAGAACAGGGTCACACAGAACTAGGGTTGCAAAATTCCGTGAATTTTCAAAGGGAATATTAACAGGAATTAACGGGAATAAATCTGAAATGTACCAAATTGAAGGTTGGCCCTCAACAGGAACTTAAATATAGTTGGTGAAAATGTATTGTAACATAATCTTGACTAAAACAACCAGATTTAATGCTAGTACACTCCTCAATCACATGCAGATGATTTTTTTAACCCTGGAGGCCACATTTTAGAGTCCACGGACTACAGAAAGTCAAGTAAGTTTGGATAATATTCTGGGGTAAATATATTTGATCTATAATAGTATTAATATTTAACTTGCAAAAATCAAATAAAAATACGTGCTAAAAGTAAGCTATTTTTCATTTCATTGATCATTTCAGGGGCGAGCTTATTATGGTGGTGGTAGCTACCTCAAATGTGATGCTGTTTCTTCTGACTCCTGTAAGACGATTTTCTGTAACCATACAATAATTTATACATCAATTATCAAATATTTTGAAGACCATTCCAGTTGTTTAGCCAACTATATTTCTGTTCATGCCATTGCATTAGTATTTTTGCAAGCTTTTTTGTAATTTTATTCTACAGAAAAATGCCACGTTTACCATCGCCACTCAAATAAATGTGTTAAAATGTTTTTTAATTGTATTTTTTTCATGGATGTCTGCATATTACAAAACAAAAATATTTACATTTATGTTTGGATATGATACAGTTTGTTTAAATTACCCCCAATTTACAGTTAATTACCATAAATTCCCATAATTCCCATGGAAAGTTTTCTGCTCCTATGCAACCCTAGATGGGACACACTAACGGGCAAAACCCACAGGGTCCGGAACGGCTCAGCTGCAGCACGGCCGGGGGATCAAATCCGCAAGCATTATAATCAATGTGTGTGATTCCACAGAATCCGTCCGGCTCCGCTGTGGAATGGCTCCGGCAGCTGGATCAGATACGCAGGGATTCTATTTTTGCCGGATGACGCAGCACGGCGCATCAATTCAGTGCAGCGCAGCAGAGCAGCAGTGGAAGTTGTATGTGGCTACAGAGTAAAATATCCGGTTAATTTTCAAAATAAAAGAAAGTCAATACATTAAACTGTTCTTAGCTTGATAATAGGAGACGCCAGGGTTGTGGGATGAGGGTATTGATAAACACCGCTCGGTGGATCTCATTCTGTGAATCCTAGGGAAACACGTGAGAGCTCGTCCAGTCTTGCGAGAAATATTGGTAATCTTGCGAGTGCTTCTCCTCCAATGGCGACGGTGGATCAGATCCGGTGGGCACTGTATGCCTGCTTGCCTGTCTGCCGGTCCAGAGCGGAGCAGAGCCGTTGCGGATCCTGTGGGTTTAGCCAGTGATGGTGGACTAAATGAACCTATGAGGGTCTGTTTTTCATTTATATACCTGAGGGCCCCGGGGACGAGGAATGCAGGGACCCCGCTGGAGAGAGGCTTCTTGGTAAACCGTAGAGACCTGCTGTGGCCCCCCCTGTAGTTGGTCCTCCAGTCATTGGTCCCAGTGCGGCGCCTGTACTGTGAATGGTGCTGCCAGGCAGAGGAGGAAAGTTGTACTGGTCTTCGGTAGGAACAGATGGATGACTCATCTGGGACTTTGAGGGCCCAGCTGGACCAGGAGGCTGGTTTCTAATGGCAGGAGACAAAGACCTGGAGCTGGAACCATTGGATCTGCACTGAGAATGAAGGTCGTACTGGGAGAAACCCCTACTCTCGTCTGTTTCACACGGACCGACGAATGATGAAGAGCAGTGGGGGAGGGAAGAGGAAGAGTGTAGGGGGTCAGGAGGGGGGAGGAAGCAGAAGGAGGAGGAGGAGGAGGAGGAGGAGGAGGAGGAGGAAGAGGAGGACACGGAGGGATGGTAGGTGTCCTCTAGTGGTCCCAATGTGGACAGTTGTTGGGATAGAGCTTCCACCCTTGAGTCCAGAGGGCGGGGGGGTCTAGGGAGAGACTTGGAGGAGGGTTGGAGGTGAGGGTGATGAAGGGGGGAAGAGGAGAGACTGGTCTCTCTCACACTGTTGTGGATGTCCTGAAGTTTGTCAAACACCTGAGGAGGAAAACATGGATGAAAGAGGACAGCGGGCTAATTGATGCTCTTTTAAACTGCACTTCAGACATGAAGTCCTGGATGGCAGGACAAAACAGACGTTTTAAGATTTTAAAGTATCAACATCTGTGGGTGTAATTTTCGACTCTGAGCTCAGTTTTATTCCACACATCAAAAACATAGCAAAGGTCAGTTTTTACCACCTGAAGAACATGACCAGAGTCTGCCCGTTTCTCTCCCAGGCCAGCAGGAGGTAGTCCTTGAGCTGGACCAGATGTCGGTACCACTTGGGTGGGCAAAACCTTACATATACTAAATTGTTTTTAGGGTCAATAGAAGTAAATTAAAATATGATAGACTTTTCATAGGGGTAGCTTTTTATATTTTATTCATTATGTTATTTTCCTCAATAGGCGAATTTTTGTTAACTCCAAAAGCAACACAGAAAGTCAAAAGCACATTAAAAGTCATTCTCTTTTTGGGTCACACTGCTCTTTTCTATAAATGAATCAAACCTGTGTCTAATTAAATGAGTTGATGAAGTGGGTGTGGCCCAATTTGATGGTGGAGCAGTTTTTCTCAGATGACTGTATAGAGTGTATACATCAGTAGATCTTATTTTGTTGCTTATGTCTTCTTTCCCTGCACCAGCCAGGATGATTGTATATTGAGTGCCTGCATTTAAAATATGTCAGTGTCATATTAAAATTGTGTTATTATAATGCTATTAGTGCTATTATTGAAATGCCAACATTCAAGGTCAAAGTTCACAAGGTCGCCAGGTCACTTGAATGGCATTTTTGGCAGCCCCGAGGCCTAGAAACGACACAGACACAAACGGACGACAGATTCTGAAACTTTGAATCACTAGGTCGCTGCATTGGCTCCCCGTCCGTTTCAGGGTTGATTTTCAGGTTCTTCTTTTATTAGTTTTTAGATGTATTAATGGTCTTGGCCCCTCTTATTTATCTGACTTTTATCATATCAGCCAAGGACCCTGAGGTCCTCCGGCACAGGCCTTTTAACCTTTTAACCCGAAGTTAAAACAAAAACACACAGGGAGGGAGGCGGCTCTCAGTTTCTAGTCCCCGGTTGTGGAACAGCCTGCCGGAGAGCCTCAGGGCTGCAGAGACTGTTGATGTTTTTAAGAAGAGGACTGACCTTTTTAACCAGGCTTTTTACTAACTACCTTTTTATATTTCTCTTATCACAAATGTTCATTTTAATTTAAGTTTTTAATGTTCATTTTATGTTATCTTATTAATTATTTCTGTTCTGTTCTGTTAAGGAAAAGAGGGTTTTTACTTCTTTTACCCTTTTTACATGGTTAAGAGCTCTTACTTATTTCTTCATTTTATTTTATTTTCTTGTTTTAGTCCATCAGGTTTAAGTCTTTCTTTTCACCATTTTTTATTTATTTATTTTTATACTACTACTACTACTACTACTACTACTACTACTACTACTACTACTAATAATAATAATAATAATAATAATATAATAATAATAATTATTGTTATTATTTATTTTATTTTATAGTTTTAATCCATCAGGGTTTAGTCTCTTTTCACCATTATTTATTTATTTATCTTTTTATTTATTTATTATTGTTATTTTTGTTCTTCTTCTTCTTCTTCTTCTTCTTCTTATTATTATTATTATTATTTTATTATTTTATTCCATCGGGTTTTAGTCTTTTTTGTACCATTTTAATTTATTTATTGATTATTATTTTTGTTGTTATTATTATTATTATTTTATTTTCTAGTTTTAGTCCATCAGGTTTTTATCCTTTTCTTCTTTTTTTTTTACCATTTCTATTTATTTATTATTTTTGTTGCTGTTATTATTGTTTTATGTTATTTTATTGTTTTACACCATCAGGTTTTAGTCCTTTAAAAAACAACAACATTTTTTTACCATTTTTAATGTTTTTTATTTCACATATTTTTTTTTTATCTTTTATCTCCAGTGTTTCCTAAAGGTAGCTCTTTCCTTACATAATGTCTCGTGTCAGGCCACGTCTCTTTAACAATAAATATTAAATTCTCACACTGTGTGCCCTTGTGTGTGTGTAGGTCCATGGGTGGATGTGTGTGTGGGAGGTTCGGGTTTTATTGTTGTTTAATTGTTGTTTTTAGCCTCTGTAAGGAGCTTTGAACTGTATTTTTGTCTGAAAAGTGCCATTAAAATAAAGTTGAATTTGAATTAGACCAGGATCCAGACAGGAGCCCTAAGGAACTCCACATCCTGACTTTAAATTGAAAATAAAGACACTCCAGCACCTCCTTCTGGCTGCAGATTTCATCACAGCTCCGCTACGAGCAAGATTCATGTAACAGGTAAAATTTCTCCTCGCTGAGTGTCGGTGAAAGAAGAGCTGAGGAGAAACACGAACCTGGATCCGCTTCTAACAAACACATCTCTGAGGTTGGATTAAAAATAGAAACAGTTTCTCTTTCAGAAGATCTGACCTTGATCATGGATGGTCTCTTCTTCCTGTTTTTATTCAGACACCTGCGGGCCAGGTCCACCATCTCCAAACAGCCAACAGGCTCTGCAGCACTACCCCCTGCAGGGAGACACCAACACTGCATCTGTAGATACTGGGCAGAAAACACACACTCACATTCGCACATCCAATGTTATACACTGACCTGAGATCAGCTGAGGGTCCAGCTGTCTCCTCCATGCTGCACATGAACCATCTGGGCTGTCCTCCACCTCCTCCACCAGGTCCTTCTGCACCACCAGGACCACAAAACAGAGGAGAACCAGAATCAAAACCACTGAACACATCCAACCAGCACAAACAAATATCATCATAAAGCAGTGTGTGTGTGTGTGTGTGTGTGTGTGTGTGTGTGTGTGTTCTGACCAGGTATCTCTCTCCAGACTTCTTGACTCTCTCCAGAGCTCGTCGACCTGTGAGGACCTCCAGTAACACCTTAAAAACACATAAACATCATCATCACCACAACACCTCCAGAAGGCCAAAAGTCTCCATCAAACTAGCAGACTACATTTCCCATCAGCCCCTGCAGCGTCTCACCACTCCAAAGCTGTAGACATCCACCGCAGGCCCCAGCAGTCCATTCCTCACGTATTCTTCGGGTAAGTATGCCAGCGTCCCCCGAACCGTCTCAGTTTTACCGACAGTTACCGTCCGAGATACACCGGAGCGCCCTGACGTGCTGCCATATGCAAAGCGAGCCAGACCGAAGTCCGCCAGCTTTGCCACCAGGTGGAGGTCCAACAGGATGTTTGAGCTGTCCACACACAAACAGGGATAAATTTGACATAATCAAACCGTGTCGGACCGCACACAGGTGTGACCATGGATGATGTAATTGGGTGTGATATGATGGAAGTGTGATGTCACACTGACCTCTTGACGTCGCCGTGGATAAGCGGCTTCTGCTCCTCAGGAGGGTTGTGGAGGAACTGCAGGGCTTTAGATGCTCCTTCAACAACACTGACTCTCTGAGACCAGGAGAGGGCAACACCCACCTGAAACACACACACACACACACATACACGGGAGAATACACACTGAGAATATACTCACACATCAAGATGTAAACACAACAACAATAGCTATTATTATTATTATTATTATTATTATTAATTAAACATGTCCCTGTAATAACATAATCACTCAGAACGTGTGGACTTCTGTTTTGTGAACATGCACACACGGTATATAGCTGTGTGTGTGTGTGTGTGTGTGTGTGTGTGTGTGTGTGTGTGTGTGTGTGTATTACATTGTGCAGCTGGTCTTCCAGAGATCTGTTCTCCATGTAGCTGTAGATGAGACACACACACCCAGGTCCTTGACTGAAGCCCAGCAGGTCCACGATGTTCGGGTGTCTGAACCTAAAAAACACAAACTGGTTTAGTTTTTACGTTCAGCTCCTATAAAGAGGCTGAACTCTCCTCGTTGATAAATTAACTGTTTCTGAACAGGACTGAACGAGTCCACAAGTCTAACCCCCAATTTCCACTGCATCCAGAACGTTTACGAAAAGGTTGTATCCTCCGACCATAGCTGATCGTAACCATTCAAGTTAACATGTCAATTTTCCACCGGCTTCTCTGCGGATCGCCGGACTCCACAGCTGATCACAAGAGTTCTATTTTTTCTGGACGCCGGAGCATGCCGAATAAATTAAGCACAGATTAACCCGTGCTGGAAAGGAAGTCGGGCACAGACACAAAACAAAACATCCGGCTTCTTTTCAAAATAAAACACTCGTGTTTTAGGAGGATCGTATTTCACACCATGCAAACGGGCGGTGAAAGATTTTTAGACGTCATTTCACCCAGATGACACCATGGATGAGGAGATGCTGATTCTAGAAGTCTAGAAGTAGATTTCCTCCTCTGGAAGGACACAATCTACTGCTTATATGTCTATGTGTCAACTCGTTATCGCTCGAATGAACGTGAATCCGAAGGTTCTTGTGAGTTCTCATGATTACCACTGTCCGTAATCCACCATGAAATTTGCCTCAACAACGGATCCGGTAGGAATTGGCAGATGGCAAAAGTTTCTGCTATTCCAGATCAGAGCTGTTCCACATGCGGTGGAAATTGGGGGTTCTGGTGCGTTAGAGTTACCTTTTGAAGTCATAACTCCAAACTGAAAAAGACAAGGCAAGCGCTAAATTAACTTTCGTAAATGTAGCCATCTTGTTTCCGCCTCGGAGTATGGGTACATCTATGAAAGTTATTTTAGCGCTAACCTTATATTCTGACAAGGCAAGTGCTAAAATAACTTTCGTAGTTGTAGCCATTTTGTTTCCACCTCTGATTATGACTACAGCTACGAAAGTTATTTCAGCACTTGCCTTATATTTGGACAAGGAGAGGGCTAAAATAACTTTTGTAAACGTAACCATCTTGGTTCAGGCCTCCGATTTTGTATTTTTCCGACTTGGTAACTGAAACGCTGGGAACTCGGTTGTGAAGTCATTTTCAGCTCCGATTTCTGACTTCCGAGTTAACTCTAACGCAGCATTAGTCTGCTGACTCTGAGATCAGCCCACCTCATGAAGAGAAGATTCCCACTCACCGGGTTAGTTTCTCCACCTCGGTGTAAAAACTCTCCTTAAGCAGAGTCCAGTCGGACACACAGTCCTGCAACAACATAAACAACAACCATCTAAATTTACAACAAAGTCGACAACTGCAAAATAACAACAACAACAACAACTTTACACTAGCCCTGCCCCCTCCCTGTGTGTAAACTGTGATTGGCTTACCTGTTTGAGTCTCTTCACAGCACAATCAGTCCTCCTTAGCATGGCTTTGTACACAACTCCAAAGCCCCCCTCCCCAATCTGGAGGGCAGGGGAGAACCCATCTGTCCCAGCATGCACCTCTTCATATGACCAGCTCATCGGACCGCCATCCGGCACCATCAGGGGGCACTGAGGGGCGACATAATCAGAATCTTCATTGAACCCATTTTATTAAAGGGGACCTGCCATAAAAATGTAATTTTGTGTGTTTTTTGTGTCAGATAAGGTCCATTTTATGTTCGTCTTATGTTGTAAATGTGAAAACAAACCGTTACGTCGTTTGCATTCTGTAAAGGTTTAAAATAAAGGAACGAGTAAACCAGGCCAATTGAAAAAGCAGGTCGGTGTTACGTTGCGTTGACCTTGCTCATTATTATTCACGAGCTCGTCCCCGGTGAGTCGCGCCCACTCTCTCGTTCTCGTACTCCGTCACAGCCAGAGTGAGACCCAGCTACCACTGTATCCTCTATGGGTCTCTTCCAAACGACCGGTGTTTCCTTCGGTTCACTGCCGGGAAAATGAACTTAAAGCTGGGCAGAATGAATGAGAAAACACCGCTGGAGATCTCCGGCTTCTTCTTCAACTTCCACCTCCTCTTCGGACTCGGGGTCTAAAATATATGGTTTAATACCTGCCGTTTTTAGCCTTTAGCATAAGGTGACCAGACGTCCCCGATTTCCGGGGACAGTCCCCGTATTGGATGACCTGTCCCCGGCAAAAGCTGTCCCCGAAAATGTCCCCGATTTAAGCGTTTCATGAATGAGAGCAAAAATGTTGCGTGTGGCCTCGAACAACGGTTATTACAGTAGCCGAATGGGTAGGAAGCACAAGTTAGCAGTCCTGAACAACAGTTCTTATGGGGTTATTACAAGGGGCATGCGCTGCTACTAAATAGTACCGAGATTTTGTCTGTGATCACACAGCCCCTGCAGCCCCTGCACCGCCGCCGCTGCACCGAATATCCCTGGATATCATTACAGACATCTGGGCACCTTACTTTAGTACACATTAGCAAAATGGATAAACCGAAATCCGAACCTCCACTGCTGAACCAATCAGAGCACAGCAGGCTTCACAGCAGCGATCCAATCAGAGCAAAGCTCATTACCATAAATGCTAATGAGCCAAAACCAGTTGGTTTACTGTAAGGTTTTTTAGGCAAACTAAAACAAACCATCAAATAACTTTTCAGCTAAAATTATGTTGCAAACATGATCAGAGGACATCAAGGATTATGAAAAAATGATAAAAATGGGGATGAAATTTTGATGGCAGGTCCCCTTTAAGAACATAGTGCACCTTTATGTGTGTGTGTGTGTGTGTGTGTGTGTGTGTGTGTGTGTGTGTGTGTGTGTGTGTGTGTGTGTGTTACCTGCGGGGGATGGTGAGGGACGGACTGCAGGCCAGTAGGAGGTGGGGCAGGTTTGGGGAGGGGTACTCCTCCTCCTCCTCCTTTATTAACTACACAGAGAGCATAGTTTATGAATGTTATCTTTAAACACAAAATTAACTGTAAACACAGATCATCACTGCATCCAGGAAAGCGAATCAAACTGAACAATGAAAGAGGAGACCGGATGGAACCAGAACCACCAGAGACTTATCTGGACCCGAGCCAATTTAAAGGGATATTCTGGTGTAAAATTAAGTCAGGGTCAAACACAATAACACCGAGTTAGACCCCCCCTCCAGTGATGAATGTTGCCAACCGCTTGCTTCTCTAGTTATACCAACTTTAGTAACGACCGCAGGATAGAAATACAGAGAGCCACGCACTCAACCAGAACGCCACTCTATAGCCACATTATAATATATAATTATTATAATTATAATATAATTATGCTCAGAACAGCACCTAACTTCATCAACAGTACATATAGAGTCCCAGCCATAGTACGAGCCACCAAACATCTTTTTAACTTTGACTAATTTCTTTAGCAAAGAGACTAAACGACTAAGTCCAGTTGTCCTTTCAGCGAAGAACTGGAAATCATAGATGCTGCATTGTCAGTTTTAAACAATATCTCTAGGTTTAGGAGCAACATCTGCGTCCTTCCAAATAATGAGTTTTTCAGGAAAGATCTTCGTATGATCCCAAACCACATTCTGACAAAAAGAGAAGAGTCCTGGACTGATGTAGTCCTGACTTAAAAACTTTTGGAGCATCATGGTTTACTCTCTGGTTTACCGTACATTCTTTAGTTTCATTAAATTCTCCTTTCTGTTCCTCGTCCAACAGATTTAATATATTATCAAAGCATCAGGTACTCACCATCTGACAGCCTGCAGGTGCACTGTGTGGGTGTGGCTTCAGGCTGTTTGGGAGGAGGGTCAAATTGAGAGAGAGACGGTGGTGGAGGAGGAGGAGGCAGTGGTGGTAAAGGAGTGGGAGGAGGCCTCAGACTGGACATCCCTGCGCAAAGAGAGAGAGATTGGCTGTGTCCGAAATGGCATACTGCCTACTATCTACTTACCTACTCAAGCAGTACCTACTGCATACTGACTACTCAAAGATGATTTGAGTATGCCGCGGCTGCCCGAGCGTTTACACACATACATACTAAATACCCCAGAATGCATTTCGTGCCGGCCGGACGCAGTGCCGGGAAAATTTAAATAGTCCTACCACAAGCAACACAGAACGACTGCATTCCGGACAAATTATATAAATTCATTCAGTAGTAATATTTTTTCTAGCGAGAAAGTAAGTGTTTACATCACGATTATGAGCCCAGTTGTTTGAAATAGTGGCTGTTTGTAAATTTGTCTCGGCGTTTTCGGAGACCAAAGCGTCCGCTTGGTGGGTGTTTGCGTCTACGTACCGTAAACACCGGGCAGCAGCAGTTCCCCCTTCACGTTTCCAAATTATTGTGAAGTGTTTTCATAATCAACATCTACACGACACAAACCGGGCGGCAGTGGATGAAAAAAATCACACAAACATCCGTGTATCCATGGTGATAATGCTATACACCACCTGCTAGGCGTGTGATGAGCAGCAGAGGGCTGCAAAATGACCAACACACAACATAATTATTATGACCTCGTTCGGTTATTCCTTGGCAAATACATCATTTCCCGACGACATTCTTTCATGTACAATGATCATTTCAGAAACCATCAGATTTTCAACCACAAGTAAGAATTAGTAAAGCTCACATAGATTGTCAACTGGAAACTCCCCCGTTTGTATATTCTGAACCATGTGCTCTCTACCAATAATAATTTTAATTAATCAGAGGTCTGTGCTTAATATGAGCGACCACTTTGATGATGCAGAGAGATGAGAAGATGCTCAAACTTGATGTAATAAATACATCTTTAATAGACAAATAAATAAATAAAGTCAATTCATACGAATAGTTAAAAACATTACCTATAATCCTAATTTAAAATACAAATACAAATAAATCTGGTAAAAAGATCAAAATATGATAAAATGATAAAAATTGTGTAATTTATACTGACTAAATATTGTTTATCTATTTATATGTATATATAATTATTATTGCAATCACATGCCATCTATTTCTATTCAGCCTCGGGAAGGAGGCCCATATTACCAGCTGAGGTGCGCAATGCATTGTGGGGCAGAAGCAGTACGTGAAGCAAGCTCCGTTCCACACTCAGAAATCGAAGCCGATTGAGTATACATCCGGGCATTTCTCGCATACACAAAATTCGCATACTGTACAGTGTGAACGCACTGCCTACTCAATTCAGAGGCGGGGTTAGTAGGAGTAGTAGGAGTAGTAGGCCATTTCGGACACAGCCATTGTTTTATCTGCAAAGGTCAGAGTTCAGAGGTCGTCACAAGTCAGTGAACTCACATCTCAGGATGACATCACAAGGGCGGAGCAGCTGCAGACGCTCCAACAGGTCAATCAGCTCACAAACACGGCCGTTCCTATTCTCCCATTGGTTCATCACCCAGTCGGTCCGCCTCTCCCTCTTCTCGGCCAATCGCAGGGACGTCTGATCACGTAGCACCTCAGACGCTAGAGGGGAGAGAGAGAGAGAGAGAGAGAGACAGGTGTGGAGCGTGAGCGAGCCACAGGTAAAAGGGAGAGAGAGACAGGTGTGGAGGGTAAGCGAGCTACAGGTAAAAGAGAGAGAGAGAGACAGGTGTGGAGGGCGAGCGAGCTGCAGGTAAAAGAGAGAGAGAGAGACAGGTGTGGAGGGTAAGCGAGCTACAGGTAAAAGAGAGAGAGAGAGACAGGTGTGGAGGGCGAGCGAGCTGCAGGTAAAAGAGAGAGAGAGAGATAGGTGTGGAGGGTGAGCGAGCTACGGGTGAAAGAGAGAGAGAGACAGGTGTGGAGGGTGAGCGAGCTACAGGTAAAAGAGAGGGAGAAGCTGGTGTGGAGGGTGAGCGAGCTACAGGTAAAAGAGAGAGAGAGAGGCTGGTGTGGAGGGCGAGCGAGCTGCAGATAAAAGAGAGAGAGAGACAGGTTTGGAGGGTGAGCGAGCTACAGGTAAAAGAGAGAGAGAGAGGCTGGTGTGGAGGGCGAGCGAGCTGCAGATAAAAGAGAGAGAGAGACAGGTTTGGAGGGTGAGCGAGCTACAGGTAAAAGAGAGAGAGAAGCTGGTGTGGAGGGTGAGTGAGCTACAGGTAAAAAAAGGGAGAGACAGGTGTGGAGGGTGAGCGAGCTACAGGTGAAAGAGAGACAGAGGCTGGTGTGGAGGGTAAGCGAGCTACAGGTAAAAGAGAGAGAGAGAGACAGGTGTGGAGGGTGAGCGAGCTGCAGGTAAAAGCGAGACAGGCGTAGTGAAACAAAGAGAGTGATGGAGGGAAAATGAAAGAAGTAAACAGATCAAAGTAGGAGAGATATATAGAAAGAAAAAAAATGAGATGAAAGTGAGAGAGGTAAGCTAGGAGAAAGGCAAAAAAAGGGAAAGAGACAAGAAAGGAAAGACAGAATAAGAGAAAACGTATACATGCTACACTGGACCCACTCCCACCTGGATAAGGGAAGTGGCACAGTGAGGATCCTCTTTTTGAATTTCTCCAGTGCTTTCGAAACAATCCAGCCCCCCTTGCTACAGGACAAACTCAACAGCATGGGAGTGGACCCCTACCTGGTGTCCTGGACCTTCTGCTACCAAACAGACAGGCCACAGTATGTCAGGATGAGGGATGCCACATCCGAAACTGTGATCAGCAGCACTGGAGCCCCCCAGGGCACAGTGCTGGCCCCTCTTCTTTTCACCCTGTATACATCAGACTTCTGCAATGATTCAGAGCTGCGTCATATACAAAAGTACACCGATGACACAGCCATCGTTGGGTGTATCAGGGATGACCGAGAGGAAGAGTACCGGAGTCTGGTGGGGGACTTTGCCTCCTGGTGTCGCCTTAACCACCTGGAGCTCAACACCTCAAAAATGAAGGAGCTGGTCATAGACTTTGGGAGATCCAGACCGAAGCCGAGACCAGTCCTGCTCGAGGGAGTTGAGGTGGAGTCTATCAACTCCTACAAATACCTCGGGCTGTGGCTGGACAACAAACTCAACTGGTCAGCACACACCAGCCACCTGTACTGGAAGACCCAGAGCAGGTTGTACTTCCTGAGGAGACTTCGGTCCTTTAACATCTGCAGCAAACTGCTGTAAATGTTCTACCAGTCTGGGTTGCCAGTGTCCTTTTTTACATCGTGGCTGGGGAGGCGGCACATCCAAGAAGGACGCATCCAGACTGGACAAACTGATCAGGAGGGCTGGCTCTGTGGTCGGCATGAAGCTGGACTCTCTGGTGGCGGTGACAGAGACACGGACACTTCACAAACTGTTGGAGATAATGGACAAGGCCAGTCATCCGCTACACTCTGTCATCAGCAGCCAGAGGAGTCTGTTCAGTGAGAGACTGCTCCTTCCCAAGTGTCGGACCAACAGACTCAGGAACTCCTTTGTCCTCCAGGCCATCAGACTGTAAAACTCCTCACTAGGGGGTAGGAGGTGACTGAGGACAGTAGGGAAGAGGCGGCAGACACCACCCAAACGGCTCATATGCTGCAACCATCCACCCATCACGCATTCTACAACCATCCACCCATCGTGCGCACACACACACACACACACACCATCATATGCCACTTCTATATTTTATTAGGAGTGTATTTCTTTTTTCCATCTCTATGCGGACTCTGTACCTTTTTCAATGCGTAAGAGTCTATAGAGTTTATGTAGATTGTGTAACTTGTATTTTATGTTGTGACTAGAGCTTGCATGTTGCACTTTGCACCTTTTTGACCTCTGTGTTCACTCTGCACTTTTTTACCTCTGTGTGCTGTGCCTCTACTTGTAAAAGCTGCTGGTAACCTGAATTTCCTGCAGGAGTCATCCCAAGGGATGAATAAAGTTTAGTCTAAAGGTCCTTACACACCAGGCGCGAATTCGCCAGGCGAATTATTCGCCTTTTTTTGAAACAGCATAAAGTCAATGCAAGCTTCCACACCAGCGGCGATTTTTCCGCGGGGCGAAAAGCCGCTTTTATTTTTTCGCTCTTGTGTCGAATTTTTCGGATATTCGCAGGCGAATATCTGGACCTGCTAGACCTCTGGCCAATCAAAAGTCATGTTGTTGATGACGTCACAGACCCATACGGCTGGAGGAGAGGGAGAAGTTTGAGATTATGAAAACGCAGAGAAAGACAGCTGAGGTGCATCCAAAACTCTTTCTAATTACCAATGAAGTAGTTTTCTCACAAGATGACACTCTCTTGTCTTCCTTAGGAGACGGATGTCATGCACACTTCACAGGGTGACCGCCTCATCATGCCTGATTCTCCCTCTTAGTTGTTTGACATACCGATGATCTGCAGCTAAAGGGCCAACAGAATGACCAGACAACTTGAAGGATCACTGCTCAGCCCTCGCCTCTCCTGGCTGCTGCAGTAGTGCTGGACGATAATTCGATAACAATATATATCGATCGATAGACGTGTGGTGCGATAGAAAAAAAACGGGTCGATAAAAAGTTCGATAGAAAAACACAGTTTCCCTTTCTTTTTCATCATAGCCTATCATGTAGCTTTTACTACAGTCATTACTTCCTCCCAACCAATCACAAACGCAGACCCGGGTACGCTACGGCACCAAGCCCAGCCCCTCTCAAACCACAACAGACAGCACGTGTATTACAAAAAATGTTACAGCAAGGAGAAGCGGGAGGAAAGTGTCCCAAAAAAAGGTTTCAGTAGTTCACCAGCATGGCAATGTTTTGGTTTTTACAAGTCTGACAAAAAGCAAACAGCGGTCGTTTGCAAAATTTGCAGAGAATTAGTAAAAACCAAGTCTGGTAACACAACCAACTTGTTTTACCATCTAAACCGGTCGCACCCGCAGGAGTACGAGCTGTGTCGGCTGCGCCGCGGCTCCACGTCGGAGGAGGAATCCTCTGGAACCGCTGCCAGCACCAGCACAAAGCATGTGAAGCCGACCAAACTGGACTTCGTTTCTTGCCAAAAATACGACAAAGCGTCCAAGCGGCATAAGGACATCACCCATGCAGTAACATGCTCCATAGCGAGGGACATAGTGCCAATAACTACCGTTGAAAAGCCTGGCTTCAAACAGCTTCTAGCCACTCTTGACCTGCGATATGAAGTGCCTGGCCGCAAGTATTTCTCAAACACAGCGTTTCAGGCATGAAAATGGGTCAGGGTTGAAAAGGTGAGAAGGGTGCGGAGGAAATACGTTCCGGTGTTGTGCCGTAGAATGCACCCCTGCATCCCGTCCACTCATTAGCTTCTTAAAGTGGAAGAAAATGAGCTCATATTTTACAAAGACGCGAGTATTTGTATCATGACTACTAGCAAACTTTTGTTCTGTTTTAATGTGTCTCAAAAATGCACACATCGAGGTGTACTTGGGTATATAAACTGTACAGTAAGACGTCAAGGTAGAGAACATTACACTTTCGGGACAGCAAATACGTTCAACCGCGCTCTCGTCGGGGGGAGGGCATTCGGCAGGGGTGCATTCTACGACACAACACCGGCGTGGATAAGTCCTGCTTCTCGTGCTCAGTTTGCATATTAAGTCAATCACATGATAATTAAAAATAAATAAATCTCCCGGCCCCGGGAGAAATATTTCAGTGTTCAGACACCAGGCTGTGGGCAGTTTCTCACACAGTTTAAACTGGTAGTATGCTATTCCCACCTAAAGCTATTCTGTTTATTTATATATTTGTTTGTTTTGTTTATTTTCATCAAAAGACTATATTTATTATATAGTTATTTATCAGATTTTCTGGTCACTTTAGTCTTTATGTTTGTCAGTATTTACTGACGTCACTCAGGCCACTTAAGTTTTTTTTAAAAACTTTCAGTTGTGGTAAAAAAAAAAGGTGGTTGAATAAAGGTTTAAATTTGAATTCAGTGCTTGTGTGTTCTTTATTAAAAGTAGGTCATTAATCAATAGCATAAAACATCCAGGGCTGCAATTAAAATATATGTTAAAATTTTTTTGATAATTATCGAGACTTCTTTTTTATCAATATACTTTTTTTCTATATCGTCCAGGCCTATGCTGCGGCGTCTCTCACAGCTTTTCCTCCTCTTTCTCCCTCACTCATAATGCTAGACATGTCAATCAGCAGCCGTTCACACGACACACACCACCACTGGCACCAAGAGCAACGATGGGAGAGAGGCTGGTAATTGCGGTACAGGACCACCCCGCATCTCCTCTCCTCCGTGCCGCAAAGCGACTTTATTAATTCGCTTTGCGAAATTTATACGCATATTCGCTTCGAGCCCGGTGTGTATAGGCGAAAGCGATTTTTCGGACCGGCGAATATTCGCATTTTCATCTCGCTTTTTCTCTTCACTCCGCAAATTCGCCGGTGTGTAAGGACCTTAAGTCTAAAGGAAGAAAGACAGGTAGAAAAAGACGAGTAAAGACAGAAAAGAAAGGGAAAGAGAGAAATAAAAGTAAGAATAGACAAACTAAAAAGAAAAGGAAAGAGAGTTGGGGGCCAGGAAAAGAGAAAAAATGTCATCCATCCGATATCCGATCCAATTAATTTGTCAATATCGGCGCTGATATCTGACCCAAATACCAGGTCGGTGCATCCCTGATTAATATGGTGATTATTACTTCAAGGAAATGATAAAGAAATTATCACAAATGTTCTTCCCTGAGCTGCGAAACCCGGCTGTAGTCTGTAATGGACTGGCCTGAGGTCTCGCTTCAAAGAAGCGGCTGCTGGACGAGAGTAGGTGAGTTGTGTTTAGTCTCTTTACTAAAGAAATGAGTCAAAGTTAAAAAGATGTTTGGTGGCTAGTACTATGGCTGTGACCCTTTATGTACTGTTGATGAAGTTAGGTGCTGTTCTGAGCATTATTTGTGGTTATAGAGTGGTGTTTTGGTTGAGAACGTGGCTCTCTGTATTGCTATCCTGCGGTCGTTACTAAAGTTGGTATAACTAGAGAAGCAAGCAGTCTGCAACATTCATCTCTGGAGGGGGGGTCTAACTCTGTGTTATAGTGTGTTTGACCCTAAGTTAATTTTAGGATTTTACGCCGGAACATCCCTTTAATTCTCCTATGTGTGACCCCCTCCAGAAATTTGGACAGTAATAAAAACAGACAGACAGCAAGACAGACAGCAAGACAAACATGAAGACAGACAGACAGACGGACTTACAGACAGACAAGTATAAAAAAAAACAGGTATAAAGACAGACAGACAGATATGAAGACAGACAGACAGACAGACAGGTATAAAAACAGACAGACAGGTTTTAAGAAAGACAGGGACAGACAGACAGACAGACAAACAAAAGATATGAAAGCACACATACAGATGGACAGACAGACAGACAGCTATGAAAACAGACAGACAGACAAGAATAAAAACAGTCAGACAGACAGACAGGTATGAAAACAGACAGATAGACAGGTATAAATACAGACAGACAGACAGACAGACAGACAGAGAGACAGGTATGAATACAGACAGACAGGTATGAAAACAAAGTTACAGACAGACAGGCAGAAAGATATGAAAACAGACAGACAGACAGCTAGACAGGTATAAAAACAGACAGACAGACAGCTAGACAGGTATAATAACAGACAGACAGAAAGTCAGACAGGTATAAAAACAGACAGACACACAGACAGGTATAAAAACAGACAGACACACAGACAGACAGACACCTATGAAAACAGACAGACAGACAGACAGACAGACAGGTATAAAAACAGACAGACAGACAGGTATAAATACAGACAGACAGGTATGAAAACAAAGAGACAGACAGACAGACAGACAGACAGACAGACAGACAGACAGACAGACGGACAGACAGATATGAAAACAGACAGACAGCTAGACGGGTATAAAAACATAAAGACAGACGGACAGCTAGACAGGTATAAAACCAGAAAGACAGACAGGTATAAAAACAGACCGACAGACAGGTACAAAAACAAACAGACAGACAGGTATAAAGACAGACAGTCTGTGTTTGGTTGTTTTAGTCGGTCGCTCTGATTTTTACTCATAAACAGTTTCTGATGAAGGTTCAGGTCTGTTTTCGGTCTCCACTCTCTGCTTATATCAGTTATAATTAGTTTTTAATGTGTCTCCGTTTCGACACTCACCGAACCGTGTCCAGTCCAGGTCCGAGAGTCCATCCATGATCCGGCAGAACTCCCAGAGAACCGAGGCCGGTAGGTGGAAGAGAAACGGGCCTCCTGCCGCCATCTTGAAGCTAACAGGCTAACAGCTAACACACACCTGTTCACACCGGGACCCCGGAGCTCTCAAACCGAACCGGGGAAGTCCGGAACCAACTTGGATGAACTTTGAGAACTTTGAACAGATTTTGAGAAGTTCACCCTCCTCTGCTTCCGGTCCGTGCGTGCGTCACCGACAAGCTCCTATTAAGAGCCTTTCAAAATAAAAGCCTCTGAGCGTCGACTGTCAAACAATCACCAACCGCTGATGCATTCAAATATTTAATTTAGGTAGAAAAGTATTCTCTAATGATTTTATTAGAAATGTTTGAACTGCACAATACTTCCTTATCAACTAAAAAGAGAATATGTTCTGAGAGATTTCAGTATTTGTCTTGTCCAATCCCTCATAAAGCAAAATAGGTCTCATTTAAAATTCTAAATAACATTTATCCATCAAACCACTTCCTACATATAAGATTTAATTAGGATAACAATATGTGTGGATTTTGTGAGAGCGACATTGAAACAGTAGACCATATTTTCTTTGAATGTGAGCGTGTTGTACACTTTTGTATGGAAGTCAATCTGTGCCATCTGATTTTGGATTTGAATTTCTAAAGATGATTTTCTTTTCATCAAAATCAGACTTTGAATTTCAAGCACGCATTTTTATTTCTGATTCTTATTTTTTCACAATGATGAAATTTAGTGTAAAACAATCAGTCTCTCGTAGGATTTGTTTATTAAAACTTCAACTTAAAAAAATGTGTAAATATAAAAAAATTCCACATAAAAAAAATTCAATGTTAAAAAATTCAGCATAAAACAGACCGACTTAACTTAATCAATTCCTCAATTTTCCACTGGGGTCGGTGTCACATGACCAATCTAGCATTAATTGATTGGCTGGGTGATGGATGATTGAGCCAGAAATCGATTGCTATCCCTGGTTACCGAGATGTTGATTCAGTCTAAATAAAATTTTCTGACATTGAATTTTTTTTTTTACAGTTTTTTTTTGCAAATCAGATCAGCTCCTGTCCTCACTTTTAAATCCGCCACCAGAGAGGCGTATTACAATTTTCGTGAAGTAGTCGTAGAGATCAAGAGATGGCTGAAGACAGCAATGCCACACGATGGCGACAGAAGGCAGTCCCTCAACATGTCGCTGTAAGAGCTGCAGAGGGCGTCCTGCACACTTTCTCAAATAAGCACAGAGGGTGTGTGTAAGGTGGGACCCACTGGTAAGACAAACACTTTTCCGCAAACACTTACATCGAGTTGCATATATTTAAACCTCACATGACAAAGGTGGGTTGTGCGCACAGATCACAACATAAATTCCAATAATGGCATTAAAATCGGAACCATCTGTGTGTAAATGACGCATCGCGCTCCGTGGCCTGGCTCTTTCTTTCATGGATGTTGGCATATGAAATAAATTTGACACACGCAACTGAATATTATAATATTCGTATGTAGGCTTAAAGTAAATAACTCATCTGATCACTAAAATAAATCATCTAGTCAGCTGCCGCAGCAGCAACTGCGGCAGGACGGGAAGAGGACATAGGTCGAGCTGCACGGGAAATAAAAGGAAGAGGAAGAAAGAAAAGGAGGGAGACGAATTACATATCTTGTTCACTTCATCATGTTTGTTTATTTACTAGATATTTAATTAAATTTAATTTAATGCAGTTTCAGCTATGTTAATTCGGTCAGGTCCAAATGCATGCCAAACACGCTCATCAGATCAGATATAGATCAGAATATATCGATATAGATCTAAATGTATTTGCTGACTCAGAATATTAGTTGTTGTTGATTATTTATGGCACTGAAATGTAAGGCTGCAACAACGAATCGATTAAGTAGATTAGTCGTGACGAAAAAATTCGTTGCCAACTAATTCTGTAATCGATTCGTCGGGTCTTTATATATGTCCATGGACACCGGCGTGTAAACATCAGCAGGACGCACAGAAAAGAAACAGCCATGGCCGAGGCAGCGGCTGAGAAAAACATGGACACAACCCAACCCAAATCCCGACCTAAAACATCAGTGGTGTGGGAAAACTTCGCCAAGACTGAAAAGGAAGGCGTTCAGTGCAACATTTGCAAAGACCGTTTTGCATGGCACGGGAGTACATCGATGATGCGTGAGCACAGGGCTCTCAAGTCTCACGCATTCAGCGTGTGACACACGCATTCCCACTCGTTCACACGCTCACACACCACACATTGTATTTCTCACGCATTTAAATGAACACGGTGATGTCCACCAAGTTGCACTTCTTTAACTATGGAACAGGTGGAAATCAACTGAGTTTCTCCGAGAGTTCAGAAGCTGCGTGCCACGCACAAGCCAATCAAATAAAGTATATCTACTGAACAGCCAATCAAAAAGCAGCATTGCTGTATCCGGGTAGATTTTGATATCTTGCGGTTTGACTACAGAAGAAGACAGACACTCGCCGAAATAGAGCAGGTTTTTATAAGGACGAGAAAGACCCGATGATTACAGTAAGTCAGTAACCTACACATGCAGAGACCTCAACACCTCATGGCAGATAAACTCATATGATAAACTAAAGCCCTATGCTATTGCTATTAACAGCTGCATTGATGAATTTAGCCTGTTTATCCGATTAATCGATTAGTTATTAAAATAGTCGACAGATTAATCGATTATCAAAAAAATCGTTAGTTGCAGCCCTACTGAAATGTGCCTGACACTGTGGAAACCTGCCAGTGAGGCATCAGTGACAGTAACTTCACCGGATCTCCGCGATCCCGATCAGCTGTACTACGAAGCTGGTTATCAACTCGATAACTGAATCCAGGTGTGGCCACTTCAGATCTGTGTGCGCACACGTAAAGGGGGTGGGGTCAGTTCCACCGGACCAATCTCCACAATGGAGAAGGCTGCACGTCATTTTTCACAGCCGAGGAACAGAGCATTATTTTGCGCAAATACGAGGAGTACCACAACATTATAACAGTGAGGAGCAGGACAGCCACAACCGCTAAAAGCTGGAAGGACTGCTGGCAAAAAAAATCATTGATTGTGTAAATTACATTTGTGCGTTCATAAATTTATGGCCCCCTTGTATGTTGTCATGCAGCGTGTGTGATAACCTCCATCATTGACCTCATTATTTCAGATACAACAGCAGTAGGGAAAAGAGTACGTGGGAGCAAATAAAAATAAATCTAAAAACATCCTTTAAAGTAGTTTGTAAGTTTATTGGAAGATTTTATTTGTACACATTTCAACGCGTTAACAGTGATTTCCTCACACTGCCTTTTTTTTCTCCATCATCTGATGGTCACATGTCATCTGCAGACACATTTGGGGTTAAGAGTTTTCTCATCTGCTTCAATAAATTCTGAATGATGACTGATATGCTGCATGAAATTGGAACCTGGAGCTTGGCAAATATTAGTGCATCGCTTAGACTACCTGAATATTGAGGCTGTCCGAGGAAAACCTGTAACGTTCATAGAGAACGTCATCAGGTAAATCAAACGGATTTGAACGATCATGAATAAAACGCTCTCGGCGAAGCGCTCCTCTCACTATCCGTGCAATGATGTCCCTGGGATCCGGCAAAAGTGGGCAAACCATTTTCCAAGACATCTGATTGGTCAGTGGGTGGTCTTTTATACCCCCTGAGCTCTTGGCCTCAAACATAACCTGCCCCAGAGCAGGTTTGGCGTTCTGCGTAAGTTACCGGGGCAACAGACCCGGATAAAAAGAGATCCACCTTTGTAGTACGGAAAACCCAGAAGTTATCCAGAAGTTATCTCGCTAAGACCAAATCCAGCTTCGTAGTACAGGCCTCAGCTGCGCTCCACCTGGGCTGAAAGCTGACCAGGTTTGAATCGGTGAGCTTTCAGCGCACGTTCTACGCCACTGGCGAGCACAAAATTGTCACTGCGCCAGCTGATTCTGTCAACACCTCCCCCTGTCGCTCCACCACGCCCAGCTTGGCGGACCTCAGTGCGCCTCAGTCTACGAAAATACCAAACTGGCTTTACGCCGGGCTCCGCCAGACGAAAATACCACTGCGCGGGGTCCGCCACCCTCCGCTACACCGCTGGCGGGCACAAAAATAGAGCCCAAAGAATAGTCTGCATACTGCATCAGTTTGTATAAATGTACAAAAAGTGTTACTCTGACTTCATGTTTTGAAATATGTCCTTTGGATGTTCTCGTCGTAGACAAAACATTATGTAATGCAGCATAATTCCCACTTTAGTTCACTTTTTAGGAATAATTCGTAAAAAAACAACTGTTATATCCGTAAAAAAATATATGTAATACTCCATGTGTATTAAGAAAGAGGAAATAGGGCTCTGTGTGCTCTTCTAGTAAAGTCAGCTTTTTAAAAAGATAATTTTTGTGTCGTTCTGGTATAAACAACTGAAAAAGTTCTTGCAGGATACCCATCCATTCCTGAAAGCTGCTGCAGGGTGACAACAAAACAGAACAGCAGAACATGTATAATGTTCCCCCTTTATTCTGTGTCTCTACACATCTTCACAAACTCTTACAGTTTCTAATAGTCAGTGTGTTTGATTGCTCTGATTTGGTCTTTAAACATCTGAGTTTTAGAAATTTGGGACTTTTATTTTTCAAAGGAAGTCTTGAGTGACGAGTGAAGTGACTCATTTCCATGACTGAACTACAACAAGCGTGAAGTTTTTACTGAAAAGTGTGTGCGTGTGTAAGTGAGAGAGAGAGCGAGAGAGAGAGAGAGAGAGAGAGAGAGAGAGGTGGGTGTGTCATGCTGCTTCCTCTTTGGCAAACAGAGAATCTGTGGTTGTGGTTTACTGAGCTGTGCCTGAATGCATCATTAGTTTGACACTATTTGTGCTTGTGTATCTGTGTACAGACCAGCAGCGTCTGCACATCATAAAAATCCCCTCAAGATGACTGCTCCTATTTATAAAAAACAAGGAAAGTACCTTCTGAATTTTGTTTGTGCTTGTCCGGTAGATAAATTATAAAAAGATGAAAAAATGTGCCCCATCATTTTTTGTGATTTATTCTTTATGTCTGTTTGCAGGTTTGTGAGTTAAGTTCATTTGTTCAACTTTGAAATTACTCCGATTGTAAACCACCAGGTGAAAAAAAGACCAAATCATAACACAATGTGAGCTTTCTGAAAATCATGGATTAATTATTGTTCTGTTACATGTTGTTTTAACCATTAAAAGTCACACATAACCAAAATACAGAAATTTGGAAAACTTCAAAAATGTTACCTGTTACCTGTCTGTCTGAGATTGCATTGACTCAGTCTCCATCTTCAAATCACGCCTGAAAACTCATTATTTTGGACAGGCCTGCTCTGACTAGCATTTGATGTTCTGCTGCAGAGTCCAGACTTACAACTTTTTATTTAAAACTTTGTCGGGTCAATGTGGTTTTTTTTGTTTTTTTTTTATGATTTTACAAGCCTACTGATGTCTCTTTCATTTTCCTGTAAGGTGTCCTTGAGTGCCCTGAAAGGTGCCTACAAATAAAATGTATTATTATTATTATCATTATTATTATTATTATTATTATGATGATTCAAATAATAATAATAATAATAATAATAATAAGAAGAAGAAGAATATGTTATCATTATTTTTATTATTTTTATTGTTGTTATTATTATTATTATTGTTGTTGTTATTATTATAATTATTAGTATTTTGTTAAATTATCAGAATTTTGTTAAAATTATTATTATTATTATTATTATTATTATTATTATTATTATTTCAGAGACTCACTCACCAGCTAAGCCTGAGCTGATGGACCAGCATGTGTAGACCAGGGGCCTATTCTACTTAGCAGGATTACTGCTTAGCGAGGTAACTTAGAGGGTAAGTTCGGGGTGTCCTGAGGCCTGTACTACGAAGCTGGATTCGGTCTTAGCGAGATAACTTCTGGATAACTTCTGGGTTTTCTGTACTCCGAAGGTGGATCTCTTTTTATCCGGGTCCGTTGCCCCGGTAACTTACGCGGAACGGCAAACCTGCTCCGTAGCAGGTTATGTTTCAGGATAAGATCTCAGCAGGTATAAAAAACCGCCCACTGACCAATCGGATCTCTTGGAAAATGGCTTGCCCAATCTTGCCGGATCGCGGGGACATCGTTGCACGGATAGTGAGAGGAGCGCTTCGCCAAGAGCGTTATATTCATGATCGTTCAAACCCCTTTGATTTACCTGATGACGTTCTCTATGAACGTTACAGGTTTTCCTCGGACGGCCTCAATATTCAGGTAGCATGAAGTCTAAGCAATACACAAATATTTGCCAAGCTCCAGGTTCCAATTTCATGCGGCATATCAGTCATCATTCAGAATTTATTGAAGCAGATTAGAAAACTCTTAACCCCAAATGTGTCTGCAGATGACATGTGACCATCAGATGATGGAGAAAAAAAGAAAAAAAAGGCAGTGTGAGGAAATCACTGTTTACGCTTTGAAATATGTACAAATAAAATCTTCCAATAAACTTACAAACTACTTTAAAGGATGTTTTTAGATTTATTTTTATTTGCTCCCACATACTCTTTTCCCCACTGCTGTTGTATCTGAAATAATGAGGTCAATGATGGAGGTTATCACACACGCTGCATGACAACATATTAGGGGCCATAAATTTATGAACGCACAAATGTAATTTACACAACCGGTGATTTTTTTTGCCGGCAGTCCCTCCGGCTTTTAGCGGCTGTGGCTGTCCTTCTCCTCACTGTTATAATGTTGCGGTACTCCTCGTAAAATAAAGCTCTGTTCTTCAGCTGTGAAAAATGACGTGCAGCCTTCTCCATTGTGGAGATTGGTCCGGTGGCACTGACCCCATCCCCTTTACGTGTGCGCGCACAGATCTGAAGTGGCCACACCTGGATTCAGTTATCGAGTTGATAACCAGCTTCGTAGTACAGCTGATCGGGTTTGCGGAGATCCAGTGAAGTTTAGCGAGTTGTTGCAGAGTTATCCTGGATGTGTTAATCCAGCTTCGTAGTACAGGCCTCTGTTCTACGATGCAGGTTCACTGCTTAGCGAGGTGAGTCTCCATGGCAGCGTAGGCTGAACGGCTAACCTGCTCAGGGGCAGGTTAGATTCCAGATTGAAGAAGAAGGAGAACTTTATTGATCCCCGAAGGGAAATTCAATTGTCTGTTGTCTCACATAATATGTCTATAAAAGTTATCTATTATTTAAATAAAAGTTATAAAGCCTGATGGCTGTTGGTACAAAAGATCTTCTAAATCTCTCTGTCCTGCAACGAAGAGAGAGAAGCCGTCCACCACCATTTGCCCTTTAGTCCATCAAGGTGTTGTGAAGTGGGTGATCCATGTTCTTGAGAATAGTCTCCACCTTCCTCAGTGTAGATCTCTCCACCACATCCTCCACTGAGTCCAGCTTGAGTCCTACCACAGAGCCAGCCTTTTTCACCAGTTTGTTGAGACGTCTTGCATCTTTGTGTTTGATGCTTCCTCCCCAGCAGACTGTAATGTAGAACAGAACACTTGCCACCACAGACTGATAAGACTGTATTTGAAGTCTGACGTGTACAGTGTGAACAGGAATGGCGCCAGCACTGTCCCTCACTGAGTATAAAAATCCCGCCCACTGACCAATGAGTTCTCTCGAAAAATGGCTTGTCCGTTCTTGGAGGATCCTGTAGACCTCGGTGCTCGCATTGTCCGAGGAGCACTCTGGCGCGTAAAATTTTTCAGGGACCACACGGACCCACTTACTTTTCCAGATGACCACCTTTATGAAAGGCTCATATGGCCGACATATCATGCAAAAAATGTAAACATGATAGGAATGAACAAATGAATGAATTCATCTTGGAAATGAATTAGACATGTTTGGTGCATGTTAGAAGTGCATGTTGAACAGTGCTATTTCAGGGTGATGATGGCATCAAGGATTTTTTGCGCACCATACTTACGCATTGAGACTGTCAGCAATTTTCTGACAGCATTCCTCCCATGCTTTTGCAGCGGCGACGGTGTTGCTTTTGAAGTTTATGATAGATTTGAATTCTTCATACTTTCTCATGATCATCTCCTGCTCCTCGTTTGTAAAGTCCGGTCTTTTGCTCTCTGGCCAGCTCTGACACTCCAGACTGGTCCATGTTCGCGATTGGTCAGATACGGCAGGCTCCGCCTTACATGCGTGCACGCGCTCATAGCAAAGCTGGATCCACTTACGAGGTTGATAACCAGCATCGTAAGACCGTTTAGCGAGACCGCTGGCTACCGCGCTAAGTTGAGCGAGGTAGCTCCAAGGCTACCTCGCTAATGACACACAAGGGTAAACACATACTTGACCTAACTTTCAGGAAACACATGTAAGCACATTAAAAAATGAGTAATTATCGTTTTTCTTTTTCAGTCACTACATTTGATATGTTATCTCTGCACTTTCTCTATGAAACGAATGCTTCAAATGAAATGTAGGCCATTGATCTATGTTTCTATCAACATTTGGCACAACATCTTGATACCCGTGAACATCAGTTTATATTTGTAGAACAAATATTTGAAAAAACATCAATCAACTGTTTGTCTTTGTCATGCAGTTTTTACTGCTATTTTTCTTTTTTTTTTTTTACGTTAAATCAATCAATCAAACTTTATTTTTAAAGCACTTTTCATACATGGAATATAGCACAAACTGCTGTATATCAAATACCAAACCCCACCCACCCTCCCAACCTCCATTCAACACATACAGCACTCTCTCTCTCTCACACACACACACACACACACACGCACGCACGCACGCACGCACGCACACACACACACACACACACACACACACACACACACACACACACACACACACACACACACACACACACAAAAGACCAGGACTCTTCAACTCACCACAGATGACTGAGGAAACGATATCTTAATGCAGATTAAAAGATTAAAACAAAATTTAACTAAAAGCCAGACTAAAAAGGTAGGTCTTTAGGTAGGTCTTTGTACATGTGTATTAACTTTTGATATAAAACTGATAGATTTTTGGAGTTATTTCATTCTTTCATAAATCATTTTAAGTCAATATTTGATTAAATGTCTATAATTCCTCGATTACAAGCGTCATTCATTGTTAAATTATTCAATGTCATTGTTTTCTGCATCATTCTGGTTTGAACTATTAATGAATAAAATTATTAAATTAAGATTTTTAATGATTAGTTTTAATGTTATGACAGTGTTAATTGTATGAGGGAGTATTAGGGCCACATTAAGAAAAAAAATTAGAATTTGAGATGAAAGTCATTAATTTGCAAGAATAATAATATAATTACTTACGAGAATAAAGTCGTAGTAAAGAAATCAGTTACAAGATTAAAGTCAGAATCAAGTCATTATATTCTAACTTGTTGTTTAAGATGACAGTTGTTGAAATTGGAGCCATGAAGCATGTCAAAAGTCAAGTCAAAGTCAACTTTATTGTCAAACATGCTATACATGTTAAACATACAGTACAGATGAAATGTTAGTCCTCTCAGACCCACAGTGCAAAAGAATAAACTACAAGAATAAAACTATAAAAGTATAAATAAAATAAACAAAAGACTACCTTAAATACTCACATCAATTTACAAAATAAAGATAACAATATAAACAGCATAACAGTATAAACAGTGTAACAGTATAAATATAAGGAGGAAGGTGAGTGTGGCAGTGGACACAATAGTGAAAAGAAATGTAATACAGTAGTTGGTGAAAATGTACTTCAATAAATGTTTCTGAAACAAGGAGCTAATTAATATTTTGGCGCATCAGCACCACATTATCATAAGTGAAGTAGGAGTAGTAGTCAATTACAAATTTATTCTCGTAAGTAATTTCTTTATTACTACTTTATTCACCAATCAGCAATTTTACTACGTCTTCATCACGTAAGTAATGATTTTATTACGACTTTATTGTTATAAGAAATGATCTTATTACGATTTTATTCTCGTAAGGAATTACTTCATTATGACTTTATTCCTGTTGAAGAATGGTTTTATTACGACTTTATTCTCGTGAGTAATTACCTTATTACGAATTTATTTTCGTTAGTTATTTCTATATTACGCCATTATTTTTGTAAAAAATGATTTTATTACGACTTTATTTTTGTTAGTAATGACTTGTTCTCGTAGATAAATGGCTTTAATCTCGAAGTCGTTGTTAATGTGGCCCCAATACTCCGCCGTATAATTGTTTGTTTTAAATAAGTTAAACGAAGTTTTAACATTAAATTCAGTCTTCAGTTGTTTACATGGTTTTATCACTGTGTCCTGAACGTCACATGAGTTCACATCTCGCGGGACTACGCCGCCTCTGCGTTACGTTGACCTCATATCCGCGCAGTTCTCGCGGTGTTTGCTCACTGACGGCGGATGGAAATGGAGTCTGAGGGGGCGGGGTGCAGCAGGAGGGAGCAGAGATGTTTGGAGGCTTTTTTTTAATATAAAATTATTTATTTAAATAAAAATGGCCGCCGTGGAGAGCGGAGAGGAGAGACTGTAAGTGAGGTTTTTACATTTTTATCCTCCGTAGAGAGCCGCCGCTGCCGCCGCCTCCGACCGCCGCCGAGCGTTTTCTATCGTGCGTTTTATTGAAGTAAAAGTGCGTTGATTTTCACCCCGGCCTGTCTCCGCGGAGCGGGGTTAGCGGGAATACGTCACCAACGTACTGCTAAGTGTGTACTTTAGCTCTGCTGTAGTCGGAGCGGGGGGACAGCTTTAGCTTACCCCGCTTCCCGTGCCTCGCCGGGCCGCTCTGACTTCAACACAACTCTCGGGAAGTCAGGCCGGTGTGTGTCCGCCTCAGACACCTCAGCCCCCGGTCACCGGAGGGAGCCGTGTCCGCCCGCCTCCGTCTCACACACGGGCTGCTAGCTTACAAGCTGTTAGCTGTTAGCAAACACTAAGAGAGTGTTTGTGTGTGAAGGGGGAAACTACTGCTCTGGTACCCGGGTTTACACCCTCACACACACACAAATACACACCCCGGTACATGGCCCACACCCCCACCCAACCCCTGACAGCTGTTTACTCCTGCTGCCTTAGAGCCACTGAGCCAGGCAAGAGTCGAACCTGTGACACTGTGATGCTGTTTATAAGAAAGGAGAGGGCAGTTTAGGTCCTATAACCATCCCATCACCTCCACCTGCAGATCCATCACACATGCAGAGGTTCTCACCTGAGGGGGTGGGGCCCTGTAACATCACCTGTCAGGAGTCAGCTAGGTCACATGACTTTATTCTCAGGTTGTTGCTCAGCTGGAATCAAATTAAATCCTCAGGCGTGAAAGGTGTACGGCCGACAAGTTCCAGGACTCAAACTAACAGTAATGTTTGCTATTAAAGCTCCTGTTAGTAACTTTGGGGTTGGGTCAGTTTTGGCGCCCTCTGAGGACTAGGGATGTAATGACATGACAATTATTGTCTCCTAAATTATCACAGTTATCAATATTAACACAGTATTGTGGAAATATGTTCAAAATGTTTAAAAAGTACTTCTACATAAGGCTGCACGATATAACGATATGTTTCGTCTAAACGATAGAAAATTTCTATCGGGATACATGAGCTCTATCGTTTCTATCGCGGTGTCGCAAAAACACGCTTTATGGCAGTGTTTTACGTCGTGACGCTCCATATATTGCATGCCCGCACGCGCTACGGCCACTGTGAAAAAAACAAACAAGCATGGAGGAGCCGGGTTATTGTGGCGAAAGAGATGACAATTCTCGTGCATCAAACGCAGACGAGCCAACGCAGACGGAGGAGCTGCTGCCGAAACGGGGGGGCAACGTCGGTTGTGTGGTTGTGGTTTGGTTTTAAAAGGAACGACACGGAGCAGACCGCTGTAGTTTTATTCTGAGTCAGCACATACATGTAACTCTATATCGATATACTCTGATCTATATTTGATCTGATGAGCGCGTTTGGACACTCCACCTGACCGAATTAACACAGCTGAAACCGCATTAAATTAAATATCCAGTAAACAGTCACACATGATGAAGTTAACAAGATATTTAATTCGTCTCCCCGCTTATCCTTCTTCCTCGCGCAGCTTGATAGGTGTTATGCCGTAGAATGCATCCCTGCATCCCATCCACTCATTAGCGTCTTAAAGTGGAAAAAAAATTATCTCATATTTAAAAAAACACGAGTATTGGATCATGACAACATGTCAAATGGAGCAGCAAACTTTCGTTCTGTTTTTAGGTTTTTTAAAAAAGCACATAGAGAGATGTATTTGCGTATTTAAACTGTACAGTTAGCTGTCATGGTAGAGAACATTATATTTTCGGGGCAGGAAATATTCAGAATCAGAGGGCTGTTATTTTCGGCATATCTGAATAGCCTGAATGAAATCATTAAAGGCACACGCTTTAGAATCAGTCCAACGGTAAGGAAAACTTGGATTATTTCGCCTTGTTATGTATCTTCAACCGCGCTCCCGTCAGGGGGGCATTCTACAGCAGGGGTACATTCTATGGCACAACACCTGACGTGTCTCCGTGTCCTCTCCATCCTCCTGCTGATGCGGTGGCACGGCTGATCAGATGATTTATTTTAATGATCAGATGAGTTATTTACTTCAAGCCTACATACGAATATTATATTTTATATAAGCTATACATCAACTGAATTTACAAAAAATGTACTATATCGTGATGTATATCGTATCGGGATATAAAATGAGCTATATCGGGATATGACCAAAATCTCATATCGTGCAGCCTTACTTCTACACGCCCTGAAGTCATTTAGCAAAGTTTAATTTTGAAAAAACAATCAAAGGCTATATTCACACTGCAGGTTATGATGCACAATTCGGACTTTTTGTTAAATCCGACCTTTTTGTGTGGTCATTCACATTACAACAACGAATGCAGCATCTAATGTGAAGGAAATTCGTCTGTGAAGTGACCCGCATGCCCACAAAGCACAAATTGCTTTCCACGCCTGTTCGTGTTGTCGAACAATGGTGACGTTTGTCGCATATTGATGACATATAGGTCGGATAAATGTGACCTGAGCGTCCACACTGCAGTCACATCGGATACATATCCGTTTTATATGCACATACAAAAGAGGCCTGGGTTGGATTTGAAAAAATCAGAATTGCACTGTTCACACTTACATGAAAAAATCTGATATGTGTCACATATGGTTAAAAAAATCGGAACTGACCTGCAGTGTGAACATAGCCAAAATAACATGTAGAGCAGACCTGAGCATTTTACGGCCCGAGGGCCACATCCGGCCCCTTGGATGTCACTGCTCGGCCCTTCGTGAGGTCCGTCAAAAGATCGACTCTTACAAATATATAACAGAGCAACACTACTGGAAGAGCCGTAAGGTGATAGACCAGATGTCACATGGTTTTTGTGGTTGCTGTGGTAACATACAGGAGTTTGGGTCACGGGATGAATGCCGGGTATTTATGAAAAGATGTGGCTTACCTGCTGTCAGGTGGAGGGAGGGGAGCAGGGGAGCTGTAATTTTTGTTGACCGCTTTGGTTTGCATTTGTTCGTTCTTGCTGGTATCAAAAGGAGTCCTGTGTGTGACCACGAGCTGATGTTTCATTAAAACCACAGTAAAGTGCATCATATGTCTCTCTTGTCTATGGAGAAAGCGATAGCGCGTCGGACAAATACTGGACCCTCAACTTTCCTCTCAAGCGACAAGGTTGGTCTTTTGAGTCACTATAACTACTATATGAAACAATACAAACACATGTAAACAAAGGTGTAGGTAGGACATCATGCTTTAAGTGTTTCCGCTGTTTGTGGAGATTTTTTTTTTGGCATTTTCGGCAAACTGGTTGGCTGTCCTCAATCAGTGTCCCTTCTGCGTCTTTGTAGAAGCCTAAGTACACTCAGACTTTGGACTTTGTTTTCTTTGACAGTGGAAAAATCTCTGCAACAGAACTGCCCGCAGAACTGACCTCCGTCATGTTTACAAGTTGTATACGGTGCGGTGCACAATGACTCCTGCATGCGGCTGCTCTTCTCAACATTTAGCAGCATCACTGTGGGCTTTTCCAGAGTGTGGCCATCAAACACGGTTTTAATGGTAATTAAAATTTGAAACGGTAGTACTAACCGTCAGACATTTTACCGCGCTTTATCATTTTACCGGAAATCGTTACATATCTGCTGAGGACAAATCAAGTCTTTGTGTTACGTGTCTTCTACTTGCATAAACAGTTTCTTCTGACAAAAGACGCTCACCAAACTGACTTGTAACTGTCAAGTTTATTATTTGATTATTGTTTATAAAAATTGAGAAAACAGCTGCTGCCTGACATCTGGTTACAGTCATAAAAAATTATTATATAAAACTCATCAATCATGTGGCTAACAGTGCTATTTACTTTTGTATATTCAAGAAATTCATCAATATAAACCTCAATGTATTTCATAGATATCAAAAAACTCATCACAGGAGCTTTAAACCCGCAGATAAATGGACAGACTGAATGTCCACCAAAGAAAAGTATTCTTAGATTACAAGAAATATATATATACTTTTATTTGGGTCAATATCCATACTGATGCGTACCTTATTTATTTACAAATACAGATAATACTGTGCATCTCTGATTTTATTATTATGTATTTCAGTACATTTCATAGAGGTATAAAGGTATTTAGTACTTGTAGACAGGGAATAAATTTAACAAGTTTGACAGAAAAAGTCCACCTGCCAGTTAATTTTTTACCAGCCAAAACAATAAATCGCATTTTTGTTTGGGATAGAGGATTTGTGATTTTAGTAGACACAGTTTTTTTTTTTTTCACTTGTTTTGTCTGATACCAATAAATGAACACAAATCCTCTCCTGTAACAGAATCAACCCGTAAACTGTGAGTTTTTTTTTCAGACCAAGGAAGTCACTTTATTGGGCGAAATTGAATCAGCAGAAATGTTCATATCATGCATGCTTCATTTTTGTGTAACAGTCATACATGTTTCAGTGCATCTCGAGATATAAGGGCCTTATGTTAAACACAAATTTTGCATCAAAATGACTTTAAATGATTGAAGAAATATAAGGTGCACACAGAGCCACACTTGAAAATCAGTAAAAACAAGAACCGCACATCTTAGTTTAAGATAAGATATTCCTTTATTAGTCCCACAAGGGGGAATTTTAAATTTACAGCAGCGGTAAATACAAAATATAGATCAAAGAATAAAGAAACTTAGAAGATAAAAAAAATAAAAAAGATATATACATGAGTGTTATTTACAGCTGTTATGTACATGTTGATAAAAGTCACATTAGAGTCGTAATTGCATAAAACTCTTCTCAGTGGAGTAGTTAATGTCCCTGCAGTAAATAGTCGTGCCTCGTGTGCGTGCGTGCGTGTGTGTCTGTCTGTCTGTCTCAGTGTACAGTACTCTGCTGAGACAAGAGCCAGACTTTTGATTTGGCCTATAAAGGTCAGGTGATTGTTGATACTAGCTCTGATTGGTCAACAGACCATAACAAATATGACAGCCAACCATAGAAATAGCAGTATTCATTAAAATCAGTCTAGACAGGGCTCGACAGTGCGACTGTTTCACTCGCATTTGCGACTAAAATTTGATGTGAGCAAATTGTAAAATGTATTTAGGGGCACATGTGCACATAAAAAAATTAGCCACGGTAACAAATATTATTTTTTTTTTCATGTAAATACTGCGGTGAAGTTAGTTTTAGGTTGGGTATTTGACGGACATTCACTGAGGATCTACCGGTGTCTTCCTACTCTCCATAACCGGGAAACACAACAGCAGCGCAGAGAAATCTACTCGGCACCCTTGCTGTCAATGTTGGGTGTTGAATAAGGGACCATCAATAAATTACCAGTTGATGTTCTCAGAAAAGGCTGTTTTCCTTCAATAGCTTCCATGTCATGTGACCAACTGACCTAAAATTGATTTCAAGTAATAGTACTAAGGTCGACCAATAAGACACACTCTTTAGTTTCCCTAATTTGTTCCATCCATCCATCCATTTTCTACCGCTTATTTATCGCGGAGGGGCTGGAGCCTATCCCAGCATCTTCGGGCGGAGGCAGGGGACACCCTGGACAAGTATTGATTGTATCTCCAAAAGGCCACCAGTCTCTCAAAGCAGGGGATTTTAGAGTAAGTTGTGTTGTTGTACCTGTTGGACTAATATTAAAACACAACAATATTTAGCTGTCTATGACAGCATTTTCCACCACTCCTGTGCTCTGTCCACCATCATTACTTCCTTGGTTTTCATTTGTGCTGACTGCCTCTCACAATGCGTCACATCATTATTTTACACGGCTAGCGGTGCAAAGTAGATGGCATCGATAAGTGAACCATTATGTGTTCAGGTAGTTGATGTCAAATGTTCAAACTCTTTGGAACCAGTTCTGATTTGGTACCCCTGTCCCTCTCGCCACATGGAAAGTCTACCTGCATTTGGCACATGGCGGATGTTGATTTGAGACCCTGCATGTCTGTATTTTAAGACAGAGATAGACAAACAACTTCTGAGATCTAAGGGTTCAACTTCCTGTTTTTATTGGTGCAGTTTGATGTATTTGTGGAGAGTTATGTAACAGCTGTTTCTGGTTCAAAAAAACAAAAAACAAAATCATCTTCCTCTTTGAAAACAAAAACCCTCTCTTTGAAGTTGTCAGACTCAGGGTTATAGTCTAATCCTGATTAAGTGATAAAATGTTAGCTTTAATAAGAAATACAAAAAAGACATCTGGTGGTTAGAGAAACTTCACACACTGTAGAAGGACTTTTACCAAAGTTCTCATCCTGCTAACTTTACTGTGGAAAGTATAATTTATAGTAAATATTTCATGTGAAAATTGTGGAAACAGTACACCGACCCCCTCACATCACTTTTAGGCATTAAAAATGAAGGTTTTAAAACCATCAGTCATCTTGGTGATGGTCATGTTTGCTGAGATGGTCATGGAAAGGCATTAATGAACCATGAAATAGAGTTTCTTATAGATGTTAAACAGCTTCTCACATAAGCTTTAAGTTATTTTAATCAGGTAAAATCTGATGTCCCAGAGCTTGACACTAACTTTTTTCACATGTTCTCCTAAGTCTCCCAATGAGCGTGGTCCAGACCTGCTCTTGTTCCTGGAAAAGCGTCTTGAGATGACGACTGTTGTGAATTGGCGCTATATAAATAAAATTTGATTGATTGATTGATTAAGTTGAAAAAGTAAGGAGCACACAGAAAACTTAAGGGGCACAATGAAAATTGATCAAATAATGTGTGTCTCATTGGTCGACCTTCATACTATTATTTGAAATCAATTTTAAGTCAGTTGGTCACATGACATGGAAACTGTTGAGGGAAAACAGCCTTTTCTGAGAACATCAATCGGTAATTTATTGACTGTCCCTTATTCTACACCCGACGTTGACAGCAAAGGTGCTGAGTAGATTTAACCAATAGACTGTATAGACTTTGGACAACTTGGTTCCGCCTTCTGCCAGTATACTGATTTGAAGCCGAAAAGCTCTCAGTAATTCTGCTTTTTTTCTCCGCTTCCTGTAACCAACCTTGCGCAGTTGTGTTGTACGCATTCGGCAGGAGAGTTGATGTGATGATGCTCGGCTCAAACAGCGTATCCCCAGATGAGCTACGCAATCCTTGTACGCCAGTAGGCTGTATTAAGTGTCAATCATAGAAAACATGAACCCCCTAATAACTTTTAAGAATTGAGCTGTACAGAAAAAAGAGGACTTGAGCACAAACCAGTCTGATACTAAAGTTTGTCCACAGCTCCATAAGCTTTGCTGAAGGAGGCGGTATTTATGACCTATACTGCAGCCCGTCACCAGAGGGTGCTGTTCTCGCAGTGGCCTCACCCAGCGAGGAGGCATACGGTGTCCATTCTATATACAGTGTATGATTGAACTGTGCTGCTGTTGCGATTCCTGGTTATGGAGAGTGAGAAGACACCGGTAGATCCGCAGTGATTTTCCGTTTAATATCCAACCTAAAACTAACTTCTCCGCAGTATTTACATGGAAAAAACATTTGTTGCCTTGGACGATTTTTTTTATACGTGCCCCTATATATGTGCTATATAGGGGCACGTCCTATATATAATACATTTTACAATTCGCACACATGTATTTTTAGTCGCAAACGCGAGTGAAACAGTCGCACTGTCGAGCCCTGTGTAAAGAAATATTTCTGTCTACACAAGTCAAGATATTTTTGTTTGTTCTTCAGATGTTTTAAACCAAAGGTCAGTCAATTATTTTGAATAATTTCAGTTAACACAGTAACTGATGAATACTCACCTGCAGGATCTGAAGTGTATGTTTTCTTTTAGGGAAAAGACTTTTTGTGGCCGAAATCCAAAAACAGTTTTAAATGATATTAATAAAACCAACATATTGAATAAAACAAGCCATGCAGCTACACCCGTTGCCTAGCATCTTCAGCTAGCAAAAGAGCTAATTCTTTTTCACTAAAATAAATGCATAACCATCACAAAAGCTTTGTTTTTGAGGGATTGGATCTGTACTGTCCCTAAAAAAATACACCCACAGATCTTTTTGGATTTGAGAAGCGCCTGGATATCAGAAACATGCAAAGTTCGTCATCTGAAAGCTTCCACTGATTTTTGAGTATGTAGCAACAGTGTACCAAACTTTTTAGCAGTGATATTGTTGACCTAATTCGTCAAATACCTGAAGGCTGTCTTTATTAATAGCTAACCCCTAATTATAAAATGATCTAGTTTTTAAGGTGAATTTTGAGGAACTGGAAACCTGTCTTGAATTTGGCTCAGTATGGTTAAAAAAACAGCCCTAAACCAGTCGAAGGTTTAAAAACTATCCGAGATTTTGTCAAGATTTGGTTTGCCAAGCTTTGAGGCAGAGATAGAGGATCAGCTGTTGTTGTTGTCTGCATCACTTCCTGTTTACAGCCAGCTGCTGAAACCGTCAGGCTGTTTCCTGAGACAACCAAAGTGTGAAGTTACAGAAACATCAGTGATCCTCTGACAGGGAGTCAAACGTTTCCAGACCAACCTCTTAATGTGAAAGAATCGTGGCTCTGTTACGTGTTCCTTCTGGTCGCCTTAAGTCACAGACTGTGTCTGAACTGTGGAAACTCACTTCTCCCAACTCTATTCACAATCTCATTCTTTCGTTCACATCCTGTAGCTCATGACCTGAGACCTGAAACATTGGTCAGCTGGTAAACTGAAAGTTCTGCCTGAGGGTTCAGTTTCTTCTTTACTAGAACAGTTAGGTGCGGCACCTGCATGACAGCTCTATCATCAAGGACATATTCAGTCTTACAAGGAGACATCCATTGGTTTGACTTAAGTTGTTAAAATCTGACCAATCACTGCCCAAATGTGTTGGGTCGGATAGTGGACTTAGTGAGCTGTAGAAACTGTTGCACTAATGATGCTGTTGGGTAAAACGTGATCAACAAACCGCCACAGATCTGACCAGATAAAGTTATCACTCAGTACATTTACATGACAATCGAGAAAACGGAATTATCCCCTTACGCCGATTAAAACCGGACAACTGAAGTGCATGTAAACACCTTAGTCCAACTATAATCGGAGTTTGAGAACTCTGATTGTAGTCGGAGAACTCAGATTAAGACAAATAATGCGACTTGAATTTGATTTTCTCTACCATTTAACCAGCGTAGTCAGAGTATGATTGGACAATGCATGTGTGAGTGTGCCACGACCCTGTAACCCCGGAACAAAAACACCAGAGAAGAGGAGTAGTGTGCATCTCATCTGCAGAAAAAGTAGCATGTGCATCATGTACGACAAAAATAACGCTGTACGATGCTCCATCTTCTTGCTCCAAAATGCCCAGCAGCAGTTGTAGACACTTCTGACACCTGCTGTTGTTGTTGACGGTTGTATGGGGTTGGAAACTGCGCCGCCCAAAAGACCCGTATCGCCCCCTAGTTTTGGGGAGGAGGACACGCTCACGTCAATAATTTGAATTTTTCAGCTGCATGTACACGCGGAAAAGGAGAGAAGTCCAATTCAGAAAAAAAAAAAAAAAAAGAATTATGAGCTCAGTCCATTTAAGCTGTACATGTAAACGCACTGACTGATTTGACATTCACAGGCATCATATCCCGTTTTTCCTTTAGGGAGGAGGGCCAAGAGGGAGAGGAGGTACCTGTTGACATACATGCCCCTGCCAGAGAGAGAGACAGGTCTCACAGTAAGACCAAGAAGGGTCGCCGAGAGCGTCGCCATGCAGACCCTGGGGCAGAATCCACAGCCACATCCCAACCAACTGCCCTACTACCGCAACAACCGGAAAAGAAGCCACCATCACAGGTAAATGTAGTCATTTCCGACGACTAAAGTTCGTTCCCCTCTGTACTGGGTTGTATCTACCAAAGCAAAATGACTCCATGATGTTTTCTCCCTGCAGGTGTCAGAACCACAAGCTGGCCCCTCAGAAGAGGTGGGGTCAGAGTCTGCGGCCGGCAGTGAGTCAGCAGGTTCTCCCAGACAGCGGCGCTCCATCATCCGGGATCGTGGGCCGCTGTACGATGACCCATCACTACCTGAAGGCTGGACTCGCAAACTTAAACAGAGGAAGTCTGGACGCTCAGCGGGGAAGTTTGATGTTTACCTGATCAAGTAAGCGACAACCACTGCCAAGGCTATGCCAGGTTTTCCTGCCGCTGCTGCGCCTACAGTTAATAATTCTGTTTTATTGTTCAGCTCTGAGGGGAAGGCTTTTCGTTCCAAGGTGGAACTCATCGCCTACTTCCAAAAGGTTGGCGACACAACTACTGACCCTAATGATTTTGATTTCACTGTTACTGGACGTGGGAGCCCTTCCCGCCGTGAGAAACGTCCCCCAAAAAAACCAAAGGTGGTTAAACCATCAGGTCGAGGCCGTGGGCGGCCAAAAGGTAATTGGGTTCTTACTCAAAGTCTTGAATTGAAAAATGAAACTTCACATGCAATCAAGCTTAGGAATGTCTCATGTCACGTTTTTTAAGTTTTCTTGTGTTTCTTTGTGTTTGTGCAGGCAGCGGGAAGATGCGGCAGGCCACCGAGGGTGTGGCCATGAAACGTGTGGTCGAGAAAACACCAGGAAAACTGCTGGTCAAGATGCCCTTTGGCAAGGCAGAACCCTCCACTGCCACCACCTCCAAGGTAAAAAAAAGTGTGACATTCAGTCATTCTCTACAGTCTCAAGGCCAGTTCAGAGCAACGAGAACTATTAAAGGATTCCTGAACACAACAGGGAGAAGGTTCAAGGGAGAGAAGTGGTCTATTTCAATTAAACTTACCCCCAATTTTCACTGCATCTGGAACAGCAGCGATTTTCGCCGTCTGCCAATTCCTACTGGATCCGTTGGTGAGGCGAATTTCGTGGTGGATTTTGGACAGTGGGAATCGCGAGAACTCACAAGAACCTGCGGATTCGCGTGCAATCGCTCGATAACGAGTTGTCACTATAAAAACAGCCACAGAGGCTAACCATATAAGCAGTAGATTGTGTCTTTCCAGAGGAGGAAATCTACTTCTAGACTGCTAGAATGAGCATCTCCTCATCCATGGTGTCATCGGGGTGAAATGACGTCAAAAACCTTTAACTTGTTCGTCTCCGCCCGTTTGCATGGTGTGAAATATGATCCTCCTGAAACATGGAGTGTTTTATTTTGAAAAGAAGCCGGATGTTTTATTTTGTGTCTGTGCCCAACTTCCTTTCCAGCACGGGTTAATCTGTGCTGAATTTATCTGGCATGCTCTGGCGTCCGGAAAAAATAGAACTCTTGCGATCAGTTGCGGAGTCCAATGATCTGCAGCAGAACGGAAAGAAGCCGATGGATATTGACACATTAACTTGAATAGTTACGATCAGCTATGATCAGCGGATACAGCCTTTTCGTAGCCGTTCCAGATGCAGTGGAAATTGCATCTGGAACGGTTGAAGATCTCTTTCAACCAGTCCATCAAAAAAGTTAGCGCAACATCAGACAAAGAGATCATGACTTTCTTCAAGAACTTTGAAACAGCTGGGTCCAAATGATACCTGCCTAAATTTGTCGGGTTTGTTTGCTGCTGTTGGTGTCTTCTTCCCTGCTCTCTGTGTGAAGAGCAGTTATGGGCGAGCCAGCCAGAAGCCTGCTGGAAGGTAAAACTAAGGCCGGGTGAGGAAAGTTAATTGTTCATGCACAAGCCAGTGGAGCCGCATGGAACCCTGAGGACCTGAATTTGTGGTCAACATCAGAGGATTCTGAATAGTTGTCAGTCTTCTTGCAGTCAATTTATTCAGATGGGGACCACGAGTATCGGCCTCTGTGGCCTTGTATGCGTCTTTTGAGAAGTATGATTGTATACCCAAGTGATATAGTAGCGGTCAGTTCTCTTGCAAGCAGATTGTGTGGTTTGAAAGCTTTTTAAATATTCAAAAACAACTGTACTAATCGATGTGAAAATTTCCCCTGTAGGTTGCGTCACCTGCCATCGTGCCCAAGTCTCGTCCTGGCAGAAAGAGGAAATCAGAACAGGAACCTCCAGTGCCACCACAGACTGCTCCCAAGAAACGAGGCAGAAAACCAACCTCAGCCTCGACAGCATCATCGGTCGCCGCCGCATCCACCTCCTCAGCATCAGCCTCTGGTAGCTCAGCCGGAAGCTATGCTGCGGCCGCCATTTTGGCTGCAGAGGCCAAACGGAGAGCAGCCAAGGAGTCTTCCACCAAACCTGTTGTCCAGGAAACAGCCCTGCCAATCAAAAAACGCAAAACAAGAGAGACAGTGGAAGAGAGGGAGACAGTCCAGACTCCCACTGCTTCAACAGCTGAGACTGAAAGAATGGCTCCTGCAGAGGGGGAAGGAGAAAAAGGGGAGGGAGGTCCTACCTCAGAGACTATGCCTGCCCCCTCTGAGCAGAGTCAATCACAAACGCAGAGGCAGCCCTCTGCTTCAGATGAAGGCCAGTCACATGGACATAAGTCACATAAAGGGAGAAAGCACAAGGAGAAAGCCGGAGAGGGAGGGAGAGGAGAGGAAGAAGATGAAGATGTAGGTGATATGGGCGGAGAGGGAGGTGGGGGACGGAGTAGCAGCAGCAGCAGTAGCATTAGCTCATCAAAAAGACACAAAAGGAAGGACAGACCGCCTCACAAACACCACCACCATCACCACCACCACTACCATCATCGTCACCAACATTCCCCTGCTTCGACAGCGGATCAGCCTCTTCTTCCTCCAGCTTCTGGACCCCCAGACCCCCAGAGCCAGTCCAAACCTGAAGCTGAGCCCCAGACAGAGCCTCAGCTCAGCCCCCAGCACACACAGCAAACACCTCCTAGATCACAGTCAAAGTCTGCAACTCAGTCTTCGCCGGAACCTCGACGACATGCTCCCTCCCAACCACGCCACCTCACCCAACCAAGAACCCTTCAGCATCCCCAGAACCAGTCCTCTACTCAGCCTCAAGCCCAGTCTAGGTACCCAGCATCCCAGCCCTCTCCTACCAAGCATGACACGCTCCAGCCAAGGCCTCAACTACCCCTGTCTCAAACCCAGGTTCAGACCCAGGCCTCCCCTCAAACACAGTCAAAACCAGCCCACTCTTCAGCTCAGCCCCAAACGCAGATCCAGGCTCAGCATCCTCCATCTCAACCACACCCTTCTCAGTCCACATCAATACTGCATGTTCATCCACCCCAAACAAGGCAACCACATCTGCAAACGCAGTTCCCCACAGCACTCCAAACCCAAACCCAGCAAAGACATCAACCCCAACCTCAGCTCAGACCATCCCAACTGGAGACCCGACCGTCAACTCAGCCTCTGACCCAATCCAGGACCCCTTCCCAGCTTCAGACTCAAACCCAGTCTAGAATCTCTGCCCAGCTTCAACCACAACCCCAGTCCAGGACCCCTTCCCAAAGTCAGGCCCAACCCCAGTCCAGGACCACGGTTCAATTGCAGACTCAACCCCAGTCCAGGACCCCTGCTCAACTTCCGCCTCAACCCCAAGCAAGAACCCATCTTCAGACTCAACTTGCCAGGACCCAACTTCAGACTCAACTTCAGTCCAGGACCCAACATCAGACTCAACCTCAAGCCAGAGCCCAACAGCAGACCCAACTCCAGTCCAGGACCCCAGCCCAAATTCAGCCTCAACTTCAAGCCAGAGCCCAAATTCAGCCTCAACCCCAAGCCAGGACCCAACAGCAGACTCAATCTATTTCCAGGATCCCAGTCCATATTCAGCCTCAAATGCAGCCCAGAACTTCAACCCCAACTCAGCCTCAAGCCCAGTCCAGAACTCATGCCCAGTCTCAACCTCACCTGCAGTCCAGGCATCAGGTGCAGCCCCCGCAACAAACAAGGAACCTTCAACATCAACCCCAGACTCAGTACAGACCCCAACCCAGACAGTCATCCTCCCAGCCTAGACCATTGCAGCCCCAAACCCAGTCCCAACCCCAGTCCCAATCCCAAGCACAACCACAATTTCAGCAGATTCAAATTCAGCCACGCCCCCAACCCCTACAACCTCCTCAGCTTTCCAGGCCCAATGTCCAGCACATTTCATCCCACCGCCCAGCTTCCAGCCTAACCAGGACCAACCTGGTCCCTCTCCTGCAGAACCAGAGTGAGCAGCCCCAAGATCTGAGTACAACACGTTCTGGTCGAGGGAGCCTGCTGCCAAATCGAGAGGCTGCCGTAGAAGGCGTCAGGGCACAGGGTAGAGGGGAGCTGGTCGTAGCATCAGAAAGCAGAGAGGTTGTAGGGGTTGAAAGGGGCTCAAACAGCACCCCAAGGTCCATGCGTCCTGGATCTCCTGGAGTGACCGGGACTGGGGTCGGTCTGGTCCCTGGGGCTGAAAGTAGGGCTAGACTCCGTGCTGAGCCAGAGGCAGCAGGTGAGGGCAGAGAGCTCAGAGACATTGTCCCCCAGTCTGCCGTCCCCTGTCCAAGCCGAGAGGAAACCGTTGAGTCACGGACTGTGGTCAGCGAACGAGTGAGCTGATTGGTCAGGCTGGTGAACAGGCTGACTAATTGGCAGACTAAAGAACTGAGTCAGCACCGGGTGGAAGAGGATCAGACTGGTCTGTGTGTAGGTTTGGTGATTTTGCACTGTTTTCAGATAGAAGGGAAGGTTCAGGAAGCTGGTTGGACTGTTGCAGCTCTTTGTCTTATTCTATCTGAAGACTCTGTGAAGTCCTGTATCTGAGAACCAACGTAGAAATGAGGGACCGCTGGAGACAAGAGTGGACAGTGTCTTTTTCTAGGAAAACAAACAAAAAGGAAAACCGATAAACAAGTGTGTGTGTGTAAATATAATCAAAAGGCAGCTGTTGTGTCCCGCTAGTCTCCATAGGGAGGGGGGGAGTAGTTTGGAACTAAAAACCAACGCTTAACAACACATTACTCTGAACAAAACGTTGCTTCCGGAATATAACCTCCTTTTTTATTTGTATTTTGATAGTTTATTGTTCTGTCTCTGTTACAGCTTTAAACTCTGATATTATTGACTGACAGTCCCTTATTATCGTTGTGCTGCTGACTGACGGTCCCTTATTTAATGTCCTGCTCTTAACTGACAGTTTCTCACTAAAGCTGACAGTCCCTTACTGAAAGTTGTACTTTACTGAAAGCCTCAGAGGAGATGTGAGGCAGCGGTTTGCACCTTAAACTGGTTTCTTGGAAATCTCACAATTTGTTTTTTCCATTTTCCATTAAGTCCTTAATAGATTCAAAAGGGGGTCTTCAGTGTTTCCCACCCTCTTCCAAACTGCCCCCTAGAGGTAGCCAAGCAGATGTTTGGGTATGAATTCCTAATCGAGTCTGAACTGAGTTTTTAACCAACTCTTTGGAGTATTTGAACATCTGGAGTGGTTCCTGATTTCCCTTATCAGACACTGAACCTGTGAGTCTTGTTTGATAAGAAAACCCCAAGTGCTGCTCGATTGGTCTTCAAATGCAGAGAGAGACATGTTCTTCCATGTTAGAGATTCTTCCACACAGGCCTTCATTGAATCTGTTTCCGTAGTCTTTTTGTTTCCAAAGGAAGCGCTTTTAGTATCAACCAAACCCACTTCACTTTTATAGTAGCTTTATTTTAGTTTGTAGTCTAAATGAATGAGTGGGAAATGGAGTCATTTTTATTGTGTCTTCGTGTTGAATGTCTGGAACAGTTTGCACTCCTCCAGTTTGTACAATCAACCGCCTGCATGTCGCTCGGACGCCCTGTAGGCCTTCAAACGGGGCAGCACGTACGCAAAGGTTGGCCTCAACCTGGATTCACTGTCTGCCATGTCGGCAACACGAGGGAAAAGATGCTGAGCAGAACCCTGATGGAGGTGCGGTTCAGCTTCAGGTGGAGTCACGTGTTGGAGACAAAAACACAAAATGAGAATGAAACTTACTTAGAATCTGCAGAGTCTGATCTGACGGCAGGAAGGTGAAACAGAGTAGAGACAGACTTGAATGTGAGCGAAGCGTTCTCCGTTTAGGAAAATTAAAGTTTCTGGTGAACCTACGTCAGCATCTTAGACCATGCTGGTGAGTCGTTACTACCCTGAATCAGACCCCTGGGAGTTTTCAAGATTAGTGCCTTGACCCCCAATTTCCACCGCATCTGGAACTGCTAGAATGGCGGGATCTTGTGAGTTCTCGCGTTTCCTGCTGTCCATAATCCGCCACGAAATTCGCCTCACAAACGGATCCAGTAGGAGTTGGCGTACGGCGAAAATTGCCGCTGTTCCGGATCTGAGCCATTCCGGATGCGGTGGAAATCCCGGGTTAGAGATGGCAGCCATCACATCCTTATGTTTACATGTACATACAGGAAACCACCTGTAGTAAAACTGAGCTTAGTGAGTTCTATGGACATATTGTCATAAATAGAGAAAATGAGCACTAGAAACCCAAACAGTTCCTGCACCAACCTATAAATGTGTATGGAGCTCAATGGAGGCCGCCTCTTGTGGACACTTGAGGAATTGCAGTTTTTGGGACTGTATCTTAAACTTTGTTTTTGTCCTATTCCTGGCAAAATAAAAAATTAAAAAACATACACCTGAACAGGTAAACCCTGACAGTTCGGGTTAAATACTGCCAGTTGGTGTCTATGAGGGAACTAACCTCAAGGCTAAAACATACAGGATGTGTATTTGGAGCGTGGCAGCAGCGTCTCATATCTCGCAGCATATAGGTTTCCATTCTAATCAATGCAGCAAAGCATACAGGACGCATATCAGCTCCATCGCAGCATTGTATCGAGAGCAGCTCTGCTAAAGATATACGGTGAGTAGTTTTGCTGCTCTACGCTTCCAATGCGCTTCAATCCACACAGAGAAGATCGTTTTAAACAGGAAGTCAAGCACGAAAACCACGCATGTCATCTGGTATTTCAAAATAAAACACCAAATGTGAACCGTTTATTAGTTGGTGTAGATGAGAAATCCTTCCTGGTTCTGGATTTATCAGTAATAGAACAATCCGATGGTCAATTCCTGATCCATGTGGACCCCAACAGGACTTTGAACTGCTAACTCTGTCTGAAGATAACGGCACAGCATAAAGGAACATAGTTTCCTTTATTAAACACCAGTAAACCTGCAATAACACAAACTGTAAAATCATTTAAAGCTTTTTCACATTTAGTATGGGCTCAACGGTCACTGAATTATATCCAAATTATCAGGAAATCGACCACAGAAAGGAAAAACAACCTGTTGGGAGCACATTGTTTCCTCTATACTGAGCCCAGCTGACCGGGGGATGGGGGGCTGCACTACGCTGCTTCTACACTCCAAATACGCTCATCCTGTATGTGATAGACAGCGCTGCTCCATGGAACAAATATGGAACAATGCGCTCAATACAGACCCTGGAGGTTTTCGGCTTCAGTCAGCCGTCAGTTCTGAACCCGCAGACTCTGAATATGAAACGCTCTCAGTCAACAAACTTCGTGTTTCTGGACTCTTCGGCTCCGGCGCCTCAGCGTGTCGTTGGTTTAACTTGTTTTCTTTTATCCTTTTTTATCCTTTATCCTTAATAATCAAATACGTGAATGTGTCTATGCTGGATATAATAAATGTGCCTCGTTCTTTAAACTCCGCCCACCTGATGCAATGTCATTCAGGTGAAGAAGCCCGTCTCCACCTTAGGCTGAAACGCTCTCTCTGCGTACGTGGGGCTCCGCCTACCGCCCGGTCTGCTGAGAGCAGCTAATCAGTTAGCATGCTGCAGCGTGGTGCAGCTGCAGAAATCAAACGTCCCTCTGTGACTCCACAGACTCGCCCCGCACAAACACAGTAACCAGCCACCATATTGCATGTTCCAGAGTTTAGTGCCTATAATATTGTGCGTCTTGCCAGAAGCCACCATGTCAGCCAAGCCATGTTGTGTTTCTAGACTTAGTAGTGATGTGTGTGGTGACTTCATAGTTGCTAATATTGAGGATGAATATTCTGCTTTTACTCTGGTTGGAATCAGTGGAATCTCCAATACACTGTCGCTGTAGACTCGACTAGTTTTTACCTGTTTTCTTATTTTTATTTCTAACTAAAAGCGTTTGTTGTCCCCTGATCTGCCGTCTGCGTGTCTGACTGTCCTCACACACACACACTCACACACAACAGTACACTGAAACTGATTTATCAGAGAGTCAGGGGGGTTATGATCAGGCCTCACACACAGGTTCACCGGAATGAAAAGCTGTTACTAATGAGCAAACAATAACACACCGTAAGAAACTCGTTCATAGCTGCGTTCAGGTCCAATAAGGTTCCCTCAAATCTGAAGCATAAACTGTATGAACCTGGACTGAAACTAAACTGACTTTAGTATTTATACAAAACTGTTAATATTAAAAAAAAAAATAGTGTTAGTTTAGTTTGGCTGGAAGGATGGGCGTCTTTAAGTGTGTGTCTAAGTATCTTAGATTTTGCAACCAGCCCCAAGTGGACACTCGAGGAACTGCAGTTTCAGATGTTGCTCCTCAGGGACGTACAGGTGAGAGGAAGAGGAGGATTTTGGAACCGAGCAGGAAAACCATCACAGATGTACAGAGTCTGACCTTCAGTCGTATTTTTTCTGTTATCTATTCTGATGAGTAAAAAGAAATGCCTGAAATTGATCATTTGAGTTAAATTTTTAAAACAACACAAAACCTGCATACAAAAGTTAAGGTCAGTCTGTAAACGTGCTGGTTATCGATGCAGCATTTACTATAATAAAGTCAGCATGAAGTCTAAACATGCATATCAGGAGCTCACACTAAAGTAAGATTAATGTGGAGCCTCAGGTTTAGAGTTAAAGTGGTAAAAAATATATTTAGACTTTTACATGTTTTAAATAACTAAACCCACAAATGAAGACTGAAATTAAAGACTTATGTTTCAGGTGTTTAAATTTGCCCTTATCCCTTTAGCATGTGTTTTTATAATGCTTAAGTTTTTTATTTACACAGAAACAGTGAGGGCTCTATTTTCGTGCCTCACCAGCGACGCGGCGCATGCGCGGCGTAACGCCTGGTAGGAAGCCCCGCGCGCGGAAGCGGAAGCGCCGCGCTCCGAGTTTCGGATCGGCGCCCGTGTTGACCTATGTAACTTTAGATTTAACATTTAGATTTAACATATATATTTAAGATTTATATTTAGCATTTAGATTTAACATTTAACATTTAGTTTTAGTATTTAAATGTTGTTGTAAATGTGCAAAAAAATGACTGCCGAAAATTCACATCACGTTTTTAAATGCTGTTTGAAGCTAAATGTGACTAAATCTTGCTGTTGTTTTGCTAAATGTGACCAAATCTTGCTGTTGTTTTTATAATGGGCTGCTTTACAAACGGCACCCCATAACATGAGGCAGAAATTTATATCGAAAATAAATACATATATGTTTTTGTTATGTGTTAAAATAGTTATCCCCTATAATACAAATATGACATTAGATTACATTCAACTTTATTGTCATTGAACACAGTACAAGTACAGGAACAACGAAATGCAGTTAAGCATCTAACCAGAGGTGCAAGGTATGTACATATGGGCAATGGATATGCTAAAACTATATACACGGTGTTGGTTACTGCAAGTATGAATAGGCTATACAAAAAAAAAAAAATCTAATTATGTATATTATCTATATATACAGTATACTGATTAGTGCAGGTGTGAAAAAGAGAAAATGCTATTAAACAGTGGGTGCATTGAAGAATATAAACAATAAAAATTAGTATTACTAATATAACATACATTTAATGATTAAATGTTTAATATATAAATGATTTAATATAACTGTCTTTTGTGTGTAAGTCGATAGCTATTGCTCTACCTATCTGTTTAATGTTTATTTATGAAAATCGATGGTTAAAATTATTCTTGAGTATGCAGGAAGATAACTTAAACTCTGAGGTTTGTTACAAACCAAACTGTTTGAAAATCGGTTTAAAATTAATCAATCTATGGTAATTTAAATGCGACATGCACCGTAGACTGGAATATTAGGAGTGGACGAGATGCCTGTAGCAAGATGGCCGCCACGCGTGGAGGTCGGTCTCCATCGGTGAACAGTGTTCGTAAACCATCTAGCGATTAAATCTATATCTATGATTTGAACAACATTAACGTGACGTCATCAAACATATAATGACTTCAAGTCCCATGATGCACCGCTGCAGTTCCCGTATCTGTGAAATAGAATGATAAAATTGGAGCCTGATGCTGTAATAATTATTTAATATTTTTAATGACTTAATTTAATAAGATTATTTTTTTTAACTTGATTTCTAATTCTTAGTGTTAAATTAAAGTTTCTCTGTTTAATGTTCCTCTTCACTCACTTTTATTTTTCCACATTTTTAGATTAAATTTATTCTGTATTTTATTTTACTCTCAGGTGAGTTCCGGTCCAATTCTAGACTGACTTCGATAACAATGACCCGTGACCCCTGTCTGACCTCTGACCGGGTGAATATCCCGCCCCCTGATTGGCTGAGCTCACTAACCCGCACACACACACAGGTGAGCATGGCGGCCCAGGTGTCCGCGGTGCTAATGCTCCTGCTCGGACTCTGCTCCGGTTCCGATCCGGACTCTGAGCGCGGGAGGATGGAGCTGCGACGCGTGCGCAGCCTCGCCACTCAGCCCAGGTACGGAGAGTGCTGGGCGCGAGCTCTGGACCACCTAGACACGCGCTGCAGGGATCTGACATCAGAGAGTCAGAGGCGGATCGCGCTGGGCTTCACTTTGTGTCACCTGAGCAGGTGTGTGTTTGTTTGTTTGTTTGTTTGTTTGTTTGTTTGTGTTTGTGTGTGTGTGTGTGTGTGTGTGGGGGGGGGGGGGGGTGGACAAAGATCTGACAAACACGAAGTGAAAACGACATCGAAACAAAAACAATAAAAACAAAGACGTGGGAGTGCAGGGGCCTGGGGCCTGTTCTACGAAGCAAGTTCAACCTAGCTCAACTGAAGGCGGTAGCCAGCGGTCTCGCTAAACCATAGACATAATAAAAGATAGACCCCGCATCGGCCGCTACCACGAATGGGCGCTGTCGAGAAATGCGGCCGCCATCTTGGTCCGGTCATCCGCCTTACTCTGCACCGCTGTTTAACCGGCGGAATGAAGTCTGAGCGCATTAAATGAATCATAGTTCGCTCAATACTACGTAATTTTCTTTTCTGCAAACGCCATTCAAAGAGGCATGATAGAGGCCATTTTTTTTTTGGCGTTTTCAAATACTCAGAATGAATTAAATGATATTTTAGAACATGGCAGCAGTGGCTGTATTATAGTATAACAATTAATCAAGGATATATCTAGGTTTGGAGCTAGGTTCCTGCTATGTCTCAATAATTATTAATAACTGGCGGTTTTAATAGGCCAATTCAATATATATTGATTTGATTATATTTTATTTAGTTTAATTTTATTTATCCATTTGTAGACACACACAAATAATGTCATATAGAAGCACTATTTTAATAACTGGAAAATACACACAAAGAAATACACACAAATATATAGCCTACATATCAAAACAATTTAAACACAAGAACAGCATGACAGGACAGCATCTAAGCTACATATCAATTTGCTTGTTGGCTACATAGCACAGAGGAATCACTTGCTGTGAATTTCTCCCTCTAACAGCAATCTCCCACTTCTTCCTCAAGTTTTTGTCCTTAGGAAATCTTCAAAATGAAACAGGAGATCACCACAAAGAAATCTTTAATAAAACAAATAATAAAACAGACCTCACTTTCTTCCTTCTTCTTTCTATTTTATTTCTTAACGTTTCTTAGAACAAAAGTTTTTCAATCTAATGCAAATCTGTTGATAACAGAGCAAAGTTGCTATTATTGTGAATAAGCTAGCTGTTCGCAAATGCTGTTTCCTTTTTGGAGTTGACCGATAGTCTTCCTCTTTGGCCTACAAATGACTCTACAGTCAAGTGTAATGTTGAAAAAAGGTTTAATCATAACTGTGAAAAGTTATTCCTTGAGCCCTGTTCTCTGCTGTCCGCCTGTTGGCACAGGAATACGCTGCACAGTGCTCCGGTATCGCTGAATGAATGAATGAATGAATATGATCGACCGGAGCGTATGGGAGGCTTGACCTGACCAAGATGGCGGCCGCATTTCTCGCTGCGCAGCACCCCCAGCGGGGTCTACCCTTTATTATGTCTATGCGCTAAACGGTCTTACGACGCTGGTTATCAACCTTGTAAGTTGATCCAGCTTTCCTATGAGCGCGTGCACGCATGTAAGGCGGAGCCCGCCGCATCTGACCAATCGCGAACATGGACCAGTCTGGAGCGTCAGAGCCGGAAGGAGAGCGAAGGACCGCAGACTTTACAAACGAGGAGCAGGAGACGATCATGAGAAAGTATGAAGAATGCAAATCTATCATAAACCTCAAAAGCAACACCGTCGCTGCTGCAAAAGCACGGAGGGAATGCTGGCAGAAAATTAACACTGTTCAACATGCGCTTTTAACTAAGGTGACCAGACGTCCCCGATTTCCGGGGACAGTCCCCGAATTGGATGATCTGTCCCCCGGCTAAAGCTGTCCCCGAAAATGTCCCCGATTTAAGCGTTTCATGAATGAGAACAAAAATGTTGCATGTGGGCAAGAACAACGGTTATTACAGTAGGTAGGAGGCACAAGTGAGCAGTCCTGAACAACAGTATTTACGGGGTTATTACAAGGGGCGTGTGCTGCTACTAAATAGTACCAAGCTGTTGTCTGTGATCACACAGCCCCTGCCCATCATTCCGGAAAAGTAAGTGGGTCCGTGCAGTCCCTGAAAACTCTCGTGTGCCAGAGTGCTCGTCTGACAATGCGAGCACCGAGGTCTATAGGATCCTCCAAGAACGGACAAGCCATTGGTCAGTTGGCGGGGTTTTTATACTCCGTGAGTTCAATCTGGAACCTAACCTGCCCCGGAGCAGGTTAGCCGTTCAGCGTATGTTGCCATGGAGACTCGCCTCGCTAAGAAGTGAACCCGCGTCGTAGAACAGGAACAGGCCCCTGTTCTACGAAGCAGGATTACTGCTTAGCGAGGGAACTTCGAGGGTAAGTTCGGGGTTTCCTGTTCTTTTTCGGCGTAAAATTAATTTAGGGTCAAACACACCAGAGATGAATGTTGCCGACCGCTTGTTTTTCTAGTTATACCAACTTTAGTAATGACCGCAGATAACAATACAGAGAGCCATGCACTCAACCAAAATGCCACTCTATAGCCACAAATAATGCTCAGAACAGCACCTAACTTCATCAACAGGACATATAGGGTCCCAGCTTTTTAACTTTGACTTCTTTAGCAGAGAAACTAAACACAACTCACCTACTCTCTTCCAGCAGCCGCTTGTTTGTAGCGAGACCTCAGGCGAGTCCATTACAGACTACAGGGGGGTGCCGCTGCTCAAGGAACAACATTTATGGTAATTTCTTCATCATTTCCTTTAAGTAATAATCACCATATTGATCATTTTGCACTGCAGACGCAGTAGTTCTTCTGCCTTAGCGTCTCGGTTTGATTGTATTTCCATGAAGAAATTATCATAAATGTTCTTCCCTATCCTAATTTCTTATCCTCCTTCTTTATCTTCTTTCCCTATCCTCCTTTCTTATCCTCCATTTCTATCCTCCATTCTAATCATCCTTTCCTTTCCTCCTTCCCTTTCCTCCTACTCTATCCTCCTCCCCATCCTTCTTTCCTACCCTCCTTCCCTATCCTCCTTTCTTATCCTCCTTCCCTATTAGTCAAAGTTAAAAAGATGTTTGGTGGCTAGTACTATGGCTGGGACCCTATATAGTCCATGAGCCAAGACCCCAAAATTGACCCATCATAATAAATCAGGTGGGCAATTTCTACTTTGTTTTTTTGAGTTGCTCCACATCCCCAGTTTATGGTTTGGCATGATAACCCTTGCAGACTGGTAGCTTAGTGAAGGTTATCATGCATTTAATCTATGGAGTCCTGGAGCAGAAATACCTGAATTTCGTATGGTACTTGTTTGCTATTATAGGGCTTGTGGACTACTTGTTGACTGCTCTGCCCCCCTCAGTCGTTCTGATTTATTCCTAAGTCATTGGAGAACTGAAAAAAGTAGTTTGATTTGTTGTCCAGATGAAATATAAGACTTTGATAGCCTTCTTTTTAAAAAATATTCATAGGCGGAAATAGCATTTTTATTTTTCTCAATTGGGTAATATTTGCATCATTTTAGACACTGGATTTGAAATCTGACAAGTCTTACCTTTCAGCAGGTATCAAATTTATGCCTGTAGCCCTTATAGTTTTTGAAATATACATTTTTATCTGCATGTTGTAATATGCAGAATTTTGGCTAGATTTGATCAAGACTCCAGAATAATAATAAGAAGAAGAATAAGAACTTTATTGATCCCCAAAGGGAAATTCAATTGTCTGTTGTCTCACATAATATGTCTATAAAAGTTATCTATTATTTACATAAAAGTTATAAAGCCTGATGGCTGTTGGTACAAAAGATCTTCTAAATCTTTCTGTCCTGCAGTGAAGAGAGAGGAGCTGTCCACCACCATTGGCCCTTTGGTCCATCAAGGTGTTGTGAAGTGGTTGATCCATGTTCTTTACAATAGACTCCACTTTCCTCAGTGTAGATCTCTCCACCACATCCTCCACTGAGTCCAGCTTGAGTCCTACCACAGAGCCAGCCTTTTTCACCAGTTTGTTGAGAAGTCTTGCATCTTTGTGTTTGATGCTTCCTCCCCAGCAGACTGCAGCGTAGAACAGCACACTGTAGATCTACACCACAGACTGATAAAACATCTGCAGCGTCTTACTACAGATGTCTAATGATCGGAGTCTTCTCGGGCAAAAGAGGCGGCTCTGCCCCTTCCTGTAGATTAAGTCTATATTCTTAGAGCAGTCCAACTTATTATCCAGATGTACACCTAGGTATTTATATGATGTCACCACTTTGATGTCCACTCCACAGGTGTTCACTGGCTGAAGAGGGGGTTTGGCTCTATGACCATCTCCTTTGTCTTTGAGGTGTTGAGGAGGAGGCAGTTTTTGTGACTTCAGTCACTGAAGGCTCCTATTAGATCTCTGTATTCAGCTTCTTGTCCATTTCTGATACATGCCACAATAGCGGTGTCATCTGAGTATTTCTGGATGTGGCAGGACTCAGTGCTGTATTTGAGGTCTGATACGAGTCTGGTGGCTGCACTGCGAGGCGTGGCTAAACTGCTAATGCTACTCGTGCCGTCAGCAGTAGCAGGCTGTACAGAGTCTACTCACATTTTCATGCTTTCCGCATATTCAGTGGGGAGGTACTTCTTCAAATGATTAAACAGATTTGTTGTTTAGCTGATTTTTGAGGGCACCCATCGCCGACATACCTTGCTCATCGGCTTAATTACTCGACATAACTTTTGAGATACCCAAACCAGCACCACACAGCAGACGTTGAATAACTTCTCAACAATAACATCTTAGGAGAATAACTCAAAGTCACGACTGACAACTATCATGCTGCCCTCAGCTCAGCGTTTAGCTCCATGTTCGGTCATTCTGTTTACTTCTCCTGTTTACTTCTCCAGCATCTTACAGAAGTGAGCAGGAAAAGCTCGACTCTGATTGGCTGTTGTGACGCACATTTCCGCCATGTTTGATCGAGTAAATATGCTCTCAGCCGATCACCGTGATCATATAATCTCAAGATCACGATCATATAATCGCCCAGTCCTCGTTATGATTTCACTAAATTCTCTTGGAACATAATATGGCCGAAGAGCAACTGTCAACAGTTCAATATCTGGACAACACAAGTTCTCCCTGACAGTTATGTGTGAAGGGTTACACCATCTCTGGTTGAGAAATAAAGCCAGACCTCCTCCTTTCTTCTTGCCACTAGCTTGAGCATCTCTGTCTGACCTTATGAGAGTGAAGCCAGGTAGATCCACACTGGAGTCTGAGTTGTTTTGATTCAACCAGGTTTCAGTAAAACACAGGAAACTGCACTTACGGTATGCTCTCTCAGTCTTCACCAATATCTCCATCTTATCACTTTTGTTGGGCAGAGAGTTGACGTTTCCCATAATGATTAATGGAAGAAAGGGTTTATATCGCCACCTCCTAGTAGTGCAATGGATAGCACATTCTTTACCTTTTTTGTGTTCGTCACCTTCACTGGATTCAGTGGCCATGTTTTTCCTAGGCCATCCATCAAGTTTCTAAAACACTGAGATAAAACGTATTTTAAAGGGGTTGTGAGAATAATCTGCTAATTCAAATGTGCAGTATGCAGCTTGCCCCTTTTAAAAATGTGAATAAGCCTACAAAGTTCTATACATTCTAGTACAACCTGTGTGTGTGTGTGTGTGTGTGTGTGTGTGTGTGTGTGTGTGTGTGTGTGTGTGTGTGTGTGTGTGTGTGTGTGTGTGTGTCTGCAGCTTTAATTTGTTTATCTTTCAGATCAACAAGCTAGCTAGCTAGCTAGCTTGCTGGGTAGCATTTGCTAACACAACTATCATTCTGATCAGCATTATATTTATTGGCTTTCTCCCATATCATTTACGGTACATTATTGTGACAGCAGGTTCATTGTTTTTGTGGTTTCATTTCACCAAATTCAGTTCTATCTCCTCCTCTAATGAAACAATATCTCCCTCCCAATCGTTTGTCTCAGCAAACCTAGCTAGCGCTGTAGCAGCAGTCACATCCCCAGTGGCATCACTTCACCAGTAATAGTCATATCAAAATATAACACACCCCCAAATATTTTATTTTATCACCAGATGTGTTTGATTAATGTAGGTTGAATAATTCACATGGGAAACAGAAAATCTTTCTTACCTGAGTGATTGAGAGATGAGAGTAACAGCTTGGAAATGTCAGAAGCCAGAAAATCTTGTTGTGCATGTGAACATAAAAATGTGTGTATTTCCAAAATATAAGGGCTACAGGCATAAATTTAGGTACCTGCTGAAAGGTAAGACTTGTCAGATTTCAGATCCAGTGTCTAAAAATTATGCAAATATTACCCAATTGCTCTGCTGAGAAAAGATACACAAGAGAAAAATAAAAATGCTCTTTCCGCCTATGGATATTATTTAAAAAGAAGGCTATAAAAGTTTTCAATTTCATCTGGACAACAAATCAAACTATTTTTTTTAGTTCTCCACTGACTAAGGAATAAATCAGAATGATTTAGGGGGGCAGAGCAGTCAACAAGTAGTCCACAAGCCCCATAATAGTAAACAAGTACCATAAGAAATTCAGGTATTTCTGCCACAGGACTCCATAGATTAAATGCATGATAACCATAACTAAGCTACCAGTCTGCAAGGGTTATCATGCCAAACCATAAACTAGGGATGTGGAGCAACTCCAAAGAACAAACTAAAAATTGCCCACCCGATTTATTGCAATCAGTGGTCTGGCTCATGGACTAATATGTACTGTTGATGAAGTTAGGTGGTATTTTGAGCATTATTTGTGGCTATAAAGTGGTGTTTTGGCTGAGGTGTGTTTATGGCTCCTCAGACCACTGTGTATTGCTATCCTGAGGTCATTACTGAAGTTGGTATTACCAGAGAAGCAAGCGGTCAGCAACATTCGTCTCTGGAAGGGGTGTCTAACTTGGTGTCACGGTGTGTTTGACCCTAAATTAATTTTACGCCGGAATATTCCTTTTACTGTTCTGTCCAAAAACTTCTGTGTCTTTTTCCGAGTTATCTGTGTTTAGTTATAATATCCAAATATCGATCACAGACAATCCCTTAAATTTGAATCCTTGTTTGCATGACTTTTGAAAAAACTTTCATTTTTCCACATTATTGTCATATTTTGAGCTGCATTAGGGTTTAAAGGCCACGACATTAATGTGTCACAGTCAACACAGTGCTCTAACACATTACACTTTTGTTAAAGAAACATCACTCACAGGTAACTCACAGGTAACCCCGAACTACCCGGATAATTAAACATGTATGCTGAGGTACAGTGTGTTGTTATTAGGAACATTATCAGAAAAGTCTTGGACTGAATAAAGTGAAATATTCATGTTTTTAAAACTAGTGTCTGTCTTTCTCAGCTCAGGCAGGAGATTACCGTCATGTCCTGAGGGGTCAGAGGTCAGCAGGTGCACAGGTGCGATGGATGCTGTGGCCTTTAACACTTACACAGAGTTCTTCACTCACACACACTCCATGTGTCACTTCCTGCAGTCTGAAGCCTGGCAGAGCCGAGCTGAAAGCACCATGTACAGGTAATACCCACACCTGCACAGGTAACACACACACCTGCACAGGTAACACACACCTGAACAGGTAATACACACCTGAACAGGTAACACACACACCTGGACAGGTAATGCACACTTGGACAGGTAACGCACACACCTGGACAGGTAAAGCACACACCTGGATAGGTAACGCACACACACTTGGACAGATAACGCACACACACTTGGACAGGTAACGCACACACCTGGACAGAAAATGCACACCTGGACAGGTAACGCACACACCTGGACAGGTACAACACAAACCTGGAAACGTAACACACACCCCTAGACAGAATACGCACACATCTGGACAGGTTACACACACCTGGACAGGTAACACCATAGACTGTATAAAGAATAGACATAAGCTGTGTCTCATTTCACAGACCGCATCGGGATAAGCACTAAATATCCGTGAATGACATTGAGCTTTAGTTTATGATATGAATCCAGATGCCATAATAAGGCGTTGGTGTCTCTGCAGGTGTAGGCTACCGTTGGTGTCAGAGACGTGGTGCTCGTCGGAGCTCGACTCCCTCTGGATCACAAATGTTGATCATCATCAGTTTGATTGTTTCTTCAGAAACCACAAAAACTCTCTGAATGACCTGCTGATACATCCACAGATAACCCTGCAGATGACCAGCTACAGTCATTTCCCCCTCCACAAAAGCAGCTTTATGACTTTATTTACTTTATGACTTTATTCTCCTAAATTTACAACTTTAATCTCTAAATCTTAAAAGAAAAAACAACTCAATGTTGTCCTGATCCTCTGCTGTAGTTTTTTTCAGTTTTCTTATTTCTAATGTTTTTGATAGTTGTAACACAGCGGATCAGTTCGTCTCTAAATCTATAATGTTTGGTTTACAGATTTTAGTGAGTTCAGAGATCATGCTCTCATACAGCCTGAGCTGACTGTCTGCTGTTTTTAGATTTCTTTTATTTTCTTTGAGGACACGCTGCGTCTCCAAGCGAGTCCAGCCTCTCACCCGAAATGCACAGCTGTGCAGCGGCACGCAAAGAATTCTGGAATACCAACAGCACGAAAGCGTGCATAAATGCACGCTTGAAAAATGCGAAGCGCTTAGCATTTCTTAGCATTTCGTGCCAAATGGGACACCGTTCGCGCTGCGTGATGACATCATGCACGCTTCAAATGCGCCGTTCTCTGAAATGGGACACAGCCATAGTCTGCCTCCTCGCTGGGTGAAGCCACTCCGAGAACAGCACCCTCTGTTGATGGGCTGCAGTATAGGTCATAAATCCCGCCTCTGTCAGCAAAGCTTATGGGGCTGTGGACAAACTTTAGAAATTTATTACACAGAACATAATTTTTCTCCCGCCTGCTTGTGATGTTGACATGTAGTTACTGTCAGACTGGTTTGTACTCAAGTCCTCTTTTTTTCTGTGAAGCTCCGTTTTTAAAAGTTATTAGGGGGTTCATGTTTTCTATGATTGACACTTGATATAGCCTATGGGCGTTCAGGGATTGCGTAGCTCTCCTGGGGGATACACAGTTTGAGCCGAGCGTCATCACCAGCGACTCCCGGCCACTGCGCGCCCGAATGCGCGTATCGCTACTGCACAGCGCTGGTTTCAAGAAATGAAGAAAAATCCCTGAGATACTGAGATGTATTTGGCTTCAAATCCGTATACAGGCGGTAGGCGGAACCAAGTTGTCCATAGTATATACAGTCTATGGGTAACACACACACCTGGGGCCTGTTCTACGAAGCAGGATTACTGCTTAGCGAGGTAACTTAGAGGATAAGTTCGGGGTTTCCTGTTCTACGACGCGGGTTCACCTCTTAGCGAGGCGAGTCTCCATAGCAACATACGCTGAACGGCTAACCTGCTCCGGGGCAGGTTAAGTTCCAGATTGAACTCACCGAGTATAAAAACCCCGCCCACTGACCAATGAGCTCTCTCGAAAAACGGCTTGTCCGTTCTCGGAGGATCCTGTAGACCTCGGTGCTCGCATTGTCCGAGGAGGAGCACTCCGGCTCGCGAGAGTTTTCAGGGAGAGTTTTCTCCGGATGACCACCTTTATGAAAGGCTCATATGGCCGACATATTACACAAAACATGTAAACACGATAGGAATGAACAAATGAATGAATTCATCTTGGGAATGATGGGCAGGGGCTGCATGATCACAGACAACATCTCGGTACTATTTAGTAGCAGCACACGCCCCTTATAATAACCCCGTTAATACTGTTGTTCAGGACTGCTTACTTGTGCCTCCTACCTACTGTAATAACCGTTGTTCTAGCCCACATGCAACATTTTTGTTCTCATTCATGAAACGCTTAAATCGGGGACATTTTCGAGGACAACTTTAGCCGGGGATAGATCATCCAATTTGGGGACTGTCACCTTAGTTAAAAGCGCATGTTGAACAGTGCTATTTCAGGGTGATAATGACATCAAAGATTTATTTTCTGCCAGCATTCCCTCCGTGCTTTTGCAGTGGCAACGATGTTGCTTTTGAGGTTTATGATAGATTTGAATTCTTCATACTTTCTCATGATCGTCTCCTGTTTCTCGTTTGTAAAGTCTGCGGCCCTTCACTCTCCGTCCTGCTCTGACACTCCAGACTGATCCATGTTTGCGATTGGTCAGATGCGGCGGGCTCCGCCTTATATGTGTGCACGCGCTCATGGCAAAGCTGGATCCACTTATGAGGTTCATAACCAGCGTCGTAAAACCGTGTAGCGAGACCGCTGGCTACCGTGCTAAGTTGAGCAAGGTAGCTCCAAGGCTACCTCGCTAGGTTGAACTTGCTTCGTAGAACAGGCCCCTGGACAGCTGGAAAAATGTGAGTTACAGCAAAGACACCTGAACGAGACAACAATTAAAACTTCATCTGGTGGAGTCTGATCGAGTGAACAGGGGAAAGTAGGGCTTTAGATTTCTGTCCATCCATCTGTAATGACGCACACACCTGGTGAGGTAACATTCCCACTAGTTAAACACACAGATACAGGTAACACAAATGTACAGGTATCACAACTGTACAGGTGTTAACAGGTGTAACAATGAGTACAAATATAAAGTAAATGTAGTGCATCTGTTTCAGGTTAACGGAGAGCTCAGCAGGTGTCGCTGAGCAGCTCCTGACCACCAGGCAGATGGCTGAAGACCTGATTGACGCCCAGAGCGCTGCCTTACAGGCACAGCAGGAGCTCTTGAACAACGGCGAGGAGCTGAGAGTCACCCTGAGAGACTCCACACAGGGTAAAAAAAAATACTCACACAACTTCAGATGGAAGTCAAGGTGACAATTCAGCCATGTAAGGCACCTGACACAGGTACAAACTCAACCTGACAGATCTGACCCACAGTTAAAATCATCACATCCTGACAGCATCTGCCCAGGGAAAAAAACTCCAATCCTAACAGACTGTACTCCGGGTTAAAATAGTCACATCATGAGAGACTCAAAGTACTCGACTTACAGTATTTTCCACCTGTTCAGTCTGCCCCCTTGTGGACAAAATATCTACGTGCCTCTCATATCATTGTTGTATTTCGCCCAGATGTTACCTGACCCTCCTCGTGTCTCTCCTTGTGTTTCCTGTCTACCTGTTCAGGTTTGCAGGCAGTGTTCTCCGACCTCAGCAGTGTCTCCAGGGAGCAGCAGGTGGCGCTGTCTGAGCTCTTCAACAGAGTCTCCTTCCTGCAGAGTTTCCTGCTGATGGAGGCCCACAGTCTGAGCTCCTGCTGCTACAATGCTGCTGCTCTGTGCACCTCCTTCCTGCTCACCTCAACCCAGCGCTCCTCCAAGGCCAGGTAACTCCTCCCACCTCCACCCACAGCCAGGTAGTCTCCACTGACTCCATCTCCACCCAGGGAGTGTTACTTTGGTGTCTGTTTGTGATTGTAGGTTGGCGCTGTTGAGTTTGGTGTGTCTGAACTTCTACCTGGAGAGGAAGATCTACCAGTTTGTGATCAACTCTGATTATCCTGAACACACACACATGGTGAGCTAACATGCTAATGCTAATGTCAGACATTCTGAGTGATGACTGTCTCCTGGAGGAGATAGGAATGACCAATCCAAGCCCAGTAATTCTAGCCAATCAGAGGCTAAGGAGATAGAGACCTTGTCATACCATCCTATGAAAAAAAACCCTGCCTCCTGCAGAGGTTAGTTATTGGCATAAGTATTTGTAAAAAAACGACTTTATTCTTTTGTAAAATACTTTATTCTTTCATAAAGTAATGACTATTTTTCTAAAAAATAAAGACTATTCTGTCGTAAAGTAACGACTTAATTCTTCTGTAAAATAACGACTTTATTCTTTTGTAAAATCACAATTTTATTCTTCGTAAAGTAACAAGTTTATTCTTTTATAAAGTAAAGACTTTCTATCGTAAAGTAACGACTATCCTTTTTTAAAATAACAACTTTATTCTTTTGTGATCTAACATCTTTATTTTTTGTAAAATAACAACTTTATTCTTTTGTAAAATAAAAATATTATTCTTTCGTAAAGTAACGACTTTATTCTTTTTTAAAGTAACAACTTTATTCTTTTGTGATCTAACATCTTTATTTTTTGTAAAATAACAACTTTTGTAAAATAAAGATATTATTCTTTCGTAAAGTAACGACTTTATTCTTTTGTATAGTAACAACTTTATTCTTTTTTAAAGTAACAACTTGATTCTTTTGTAAAGTAACATCTTTACTCTTGTAAAAAACAACTTTATTTTTTGTAAAATAACGACTTTATTCTTTTGTAAAATAACAATTTTACTCTTTTGTGAGGTAAAAACTTTATTTTATAAAGTAACAATTTTATTCTTTCGTAAGTAACGTCTTTATACTTTTGTAAAGTAATAACTTTATTGCAAAATCATGACTATTCTTTTGTAAAACAGCTTTATTCTTTTTCAAAGTATCGACTTTATTGTTTGTCAAATAACAACCTTATTCTTTTGTAAAATTACGACGTTATTTTTTGTAAAGAAACAACATCATTCTTTTGTAAAGAAAAACTTTAGTATTTGTAAAGTAACCACTTAATTTATTCTAAAGTAATGACTTTTTTCTGTGGTAAAGTAACAACTTTATTCTTTCATAAAGTAACGTCTTTATTCTTTGTAAAGTAATGCCTTATTCCATCATAAAGTAACAAATTTACTCTTTTGTAAGGAAACCACTTTATCTTTTCGGTAAGTAACAACTATATTCCTTCTTTGAGTATTGACTTTATCCTTTTGTAAAGAAATGACTTTATTCTGTTGTACAGTAACGACTTTATTCTTTTGTGAATTAACCACTTTATCCATTCGTTTGGTAACGACTGTATTCTTTTGTAAAGTTATGACTTTATCCTTTTGTAAAGTAATGACTTCATTCTTTCGTAAAGTTACAAATTTGTCTTCCTGTAAAATAAAAACTTTTGACTCAGTCCTAAAAATATGAGATTCTGGTCACAAACATCTAGTTTTGAGACATGACGACATTTTTCTTTATCAAACAACCTTCATAAATTAATTTTTTCCTTTACTTGGCCCCTTACACTTTGTCTTATAATAAAATCACTTTTTCTGAAAAAAAAAGGAATTATCTAAATGCTTTTAAAAATCATTTTTACAGGTAGAGAATAAATCACTAAAAGTACCCGAACCGCCAACAGGGGGCACCAGAGTTAACTTAAACTATAAGTTACTAGAAAGAGCTTTAAAACACTGGGAAGGATGTACAGTTTGTGATTATTGACTTACTTTAGACACACACACACACACGTATGATTTTAGATGTTTTTAAAAAATTTGAACTAAAATATCAAAACATGAAAACAAACAGGAGAGGATGAATAAACAGATGATTAATGTGACAATGGACCCGTTATCTTTTTATATCTGAGATCTGAAGGAGGTAAAATTGTGTGTGTGTGTGTGTGTGTGTGTGTGTGTGTCTAGGAGCTGGTCAGTGGGTACGTGAGTGTGTTGCGTCTGGTCATGGTGTGTGTTGGAGTGTGTGTCCTGCTGTGTGTGTGTGTTAGGTACAGAGATCCGGTACAGCAGAGTCTGCAGGTTCTACAGCAGCTTAGAGAGACTCAGAGGAGCCTTCAGGAGGCGCTGCAGCACGCAGGTGAGTCTGCATGCTCTACGGTCTAGACCCCAGTGGGGGGCATGTCCTCCTACCTGAGGTTGGTAACCTCAGTGAAGGTTCCTCTGGTGTTCCTCCCTCCTCTTGATTTTAGTGTTCTGGATGCTTCCTGCTCAACTTGTGACTCGAGCGCCCTGAGAGTGGCAGCAAGTCACAGCAGCTCCTCACAGACTTACGTTTTTGCCTTCTTATTGTTGTTTTTTGGCACCTTATTTGTCTTTCTTTTTAGCAGTGTTGTGTCTTGCATATTCCAACCATGGATGTGCATTTCATGACTCTTGCGCTTTGTTTTCTTTTACTTTTCGGAGTTTTTAAGTCCGCGTCCGGTGACCCATTCAGCGGCCCCATTGTTTACAGCCGTGAACAGCTGTTGGCACTGCGCCAAGCCCGGCCACCTTCGTGGGAGAGACCGGACATCCCCGCTAAGCTCCGCAGGAGAAGAAGAGGATGCAGAGCTGGAGTTCAGCATCGGGCAAAGCGGAGACGTTACAAACCAACTGTCCCGTCCATCATCATGGGAAACGTGAGGTCTCTCCCCAACAAGATGGAAGAGCTCACAGCGCTGACTCGGCTGCAGTGGGAGTACCGGGACTGCAGCCTCATGATGTTCACGGAGTCATGGCTGAACAAACTCACTCCGGACCTGCTCGTAACTTTGGATGGATTTCATCTCGTCAGAGCGGACCGGAGCGTGAGGGAGAGTGGTAAGAAGAAAGGAGGCGGGATAGCGGTGTATGTGAATGAGAGATGGTGTAATGCTGGGCACGTCAGTGTTAAAGAGCAGCTCTGCTCTAAGGACATTGAGCTGCTGGCTGTGAGTTTGCGGCCATATTACCTGCCGAGGGAGTTTTCGCACGTCATCGCGTTAACTGTTTACAACCCCCCCTCGGCTGATGCTGCTGCAGCCTGTGAACTCCTCCATAATGAAGTGTCCAAGCTACAGACATCTCACCCTCAGTCTCTGATCATCATCTCTGGAGACTTTAATCATGCATCGCTCTCCTCCACTCTCCCTACCTTCAGCCAGTATGTAAACTGCCCAACAAGAGACAATAAAACTTTGGACTTACTGTATGCAAACACCAAGGATACATAAACCTCCTCCCCCCTCCCCCCACTGGGCCGCTCAGATCACAACCTGGTGAGACTGCAGCCCATTTACATACCTATGGTGAGGTGGTCTGAGGAGGCCACTGAGGCGCTGCAGGACTGTTTTGAGACCACAGACTGGGATGTACTGTGTGGCCCACATGGTGATGACATCGACACCATGACAGATTGTATCACGGACTATATAAACTTCTGTGTTGAGAACACCGTACCCACCAGGAAAGTACGGTGTTTCTCCAACAGCAAACCCTGGGTAACCCCTGAACTTAAAGTCCTCCTGAAGGAGAAGAGGAGGGTCTTTAAATTCAGGGACAAGGAGGAGCTGAGGAGGGTGCAGAAGGAGCTGAAGAAGAAGATCAGAGAGGGGAAGGCCAGCTACAAGACCAAGATGGAAAACCTTCTGCAACAGAACAACGCGAGGGAGGTCTGGAGGGGCCTGAAATTCATCTCAGGTCACAGCTGGGGCCACGAGAGGGGACCTGAAGCAGGAGACAGGGAGTGGGCCAACGAGCTGAATCTGTTCTTCAATAGATTTGACTCTGCTCCCACTCCTCCTCTGACTCATCAAACCAACAACCCATCTGCTGCTTCTTCTTCACACCACCTCAGTTCTATGGCACCGGCATCATCAACCCCCCTCCACTCATCCTCCACCACCCCCTCTAGCACCACCCCCAGCCTCTCCATAACAGCTGACCAGGTGAGAAGTGAGCTGAGGAAGATGAAGCCAAGGAAAGCCACGGGTCCTGACAGCATCAGCTCCAGACTCCTGAAGGACTGTGCAGACCAGCTCTGTGAGGTGCTACTGCACATCTTCAGCTTGAGCCTGAGTCTGGAGAGGGTCCCAACACTGTGGAAGACTTCCTGCGTGATTCCTGTCCCCAAGACAGCACACCCCAGGGAGCCCAACCACTTCAGACCTGTGGCCCTCACTTCTCACCTGATGAAGACTCTGGAGAGGATCGTGCTGAGGAACCTCCACCTCCTGGTGAGCTCTCATCTGGATCCTCTGCAGTTTGCGTACCAGCCGAACATCGGGGTGGACGACGCAGTCATCTACCTGCTGCAGAGGTCCATGGCTCACTTGGAGAACACCGGCAGCACTGTGAGGGTCATGTTTTTTGACTTCTCCAGAGCTTTCAACACCATCCAGCCTTCACTGCTCAGGGGGAAGCTCAAGAGGGCGGGAGTGGACTGTCACCTAGCTGCATGGACCGTGGACTACCTCACCGACAGACCACAGTTTGTGAGGCTTCAGAACTGTGTATCGGACATGGTGGTCTGCAGCACGGGGGCTCCACAGGGGACAGTGCTCTCCCCCTTCCTCTTCAGCCTGTACACCTCAGACTTCAGCTACAACTCTGGGAGCTGTCACCTCCAGAAGTTCTCTGATGACACAGCCATCGTCGGATGTGTATCATCAGGGAATGAGCGGGAATACAGGACTGTCATCACTGACTTTGTCAACTGGTGTGGCACAAACCACCTCCAGCTCAACTCCAGTAAGACAAAGGAGATGGTCGTGGATTTCCGCAGGAGGAGGACACCTCAGACTGTTCCAGTGAACATCCAGGGTCTGGACATTGAGATGGTGGAGTCCTACAGATTCCTGGGTGTCCACCTTAACAATAAACTGGACTGGTCAACAAACACAGACGTCCTGTACAAGGAGGGCCAGAGTCGTCTTCACCTGCTGAGGAGACTGAGGTCCTTTGGAGTGTGCAGGACTCCGCTCAGGACTTTCTATGACTCTGTGGTAGCATCTGCACTTTTCTATGCAGTGGTCTGCTGGGGGGCAGAAAGCACCAAGAGGGACAGGAAGAGACTGAACAGACTGGTCAGGAGGGCCGGTTCTGTCCTGGACTGCTCTTTGGACTCCCTGGAGGAGGTGGGTGAGAGGAGGATGTTAGCAAAGCTTGTATCCATCATGGACAATCCCTCTCACCCACTGCACCAGACTGTGGGGGCTTTAAGCAGCTCCTTCAGCAGCAGACTGAGACTTCCACCTTGCAAGACGGAGCGCTACCGCAGGTCATTCCTCCCCTCTGCAATAAGACTTTACAACGAACTGTAATAATAACTGGACTCACACCACCACTTTTTTCTAGCATTTAAATTGTGTATATTGTAGCTAGTTTTACTTTTCTTCTCCCTTTTTCCTTTTTCTGAAATTTTTTCTTAATTATTACATTTATTTAAGTTCTTAATATTAGGATCTTTATTTTTATAACTGCATTTTTGCACTCTTTGTCTGTGATGCTGCTGTGACAAAAAAATTTCCCCCATGGGGGATCAATAAAGGAATATTCTATTCTATTCTATTCTGCTTTGACATAAACACTTTTACAGAATTAAGATGCTAACCCCCAATTTTCGCTGCATCTGGAACGGCTCTGATCCGCAATGGTGGCAATTTCACCTTCTGCCGTTTCCTACCGGATCTGTTTCGTGGCGGATTATGGACTGCAAGAACCCGTGGATTCACGTTCAATCGTGTGATAACGAGTTGTCTCTCTAAAGACAGACACAAAGACATATAAGCAGTAGATTGTGTCCTTCCAGAGGTGGAAATCTACTACTAGACTTCTAGAATCAGCATCTCCTCATCCATGGTGTCTTCGGGGTGAAATGACGTCTAAAGACCTTTCACTTGTTCGTCTCCGCTCATTTGCATGGTGTGAAATACGATCTGCCTGAATTACGGAGTGTTTTATTTTGAAAAGAAGCCGGATGTTTTATTTTATGTCTGTGCCTGACTTCCTTTCCAGCACGGGTTAATCTGTGCTAAATTTATCCGGCATGCTCCAGCGTCTGGAAAACATAGAACTCTTGGGATCAGCTGTGGAGTCCGGCGATCTGCAGAGGAACGGAAAGAAGACGGTGGAAATTGACACGTTAACTTGAATGGTTACGATCAGCTACGATCGGAGGATACGACATTTTTGTGGCCGTTTCGGATACAGTAATTGGAGGTTATGCTGACTGTGTGTAAGAAGTGGGCGGGGACAAAGTGATGACACCACTCTATTTGTTTACCATAGTGTTGATGCTTTTATGCTGCGTTCGAGTTACCTCTGAAATCAGATGTCAGAGCTGAAAATGACGTCGCATCTATGAAAGTTATTTTAGCGCTTGCCTTATATTCGGACAAGGCAAGCACTAAAATGAATTTCGTAGATGTAGCCATCTTGTTTCTGCCTCCGATTTTGCTTTTGTCTGTCTTGGTAACTGAAACGCTGGGAACTCGGGTGTGACGTCATTTTTAGCTCGGGCATCCAACTTCCAAGGTAACTTGAACGCAGCATTAGTTTATCTGTTTCCTACTAAACAAGTGTTTAAGATCTAAAGTGACCATATATGGACCAAAAGGTGGAGCCTGAGAAGAGAAGGACTGAACTGTCCGTCCTTCCCTCTGTCTGTTTGTCTGTCCGTCCATCTGTCTGCAGAGTGTTTGGGGGTAAACCAGAAGAAGAGTCAGTCTGACGTGAAGACGAGACTTGAGGTAACCCGTGTTTCTGTTTTCATTCACATCCTGTGATGTCACATCATGTGACCAATCAAATTTCTTCTAGAGGAGAACGGAGAGCAGGAGACAAAGAGAGGATACACAGGGGAGGAAGAGGGAGATAAAAATAGAGGAGGAGGAGGAGGAGAGCACACTGGTGTGTTCAACCGCAGACGGCTCAGACCTGTCTCACCTCTCCTTCAGTGGTCAGTACCTGTTTGACTGGAAACTCTTCAATCTGTACCTGTCTCACCTGTCTCCTTGTCTCACCTGTCTCCTTGTCTCACCTGTCTCTCTGTCTCACCTGTCTCATCTCTGTGCTCAGGTTGGAGTGTGGACAGTCTCCTCACCAGCACAGTGAACAGCTCGTCCACAGATGTCATGCTGCGGTCAAACATTACCAAGAATGCCTCAGTGAGCTCTGAAAGGCACCCTCGTCGCTTCTCCTCTGCCTCTTCTCCTTTGGTGTACAGCGTTCTGGTGAGGGAAGAACAGGTGAGTGTGCTGACACTGTTCAGGTGAGGTGGACAGGATGGAGGGTGGAGCAGATTTTGTCTTGGATGTATGGTAGCCAAGAAGGTCAAATTCAGTAGAACAAAAGTTATTTCACATTATGGCACCTAAAGTCCTGGTTGACGATCAAACTGAGCCCTTGAGGCAGGTTTGAAAAAAGCGTTCCACCCCCCACACACAAACCTCTCCCTTCTGTGCCTCATGATAACTCCCCCCTGAACCTGTATCTCCCTCCCCACGACACACCCCTTCTAGCAGAGGATCCTACGCTAACTTCAAATAGGATTCACCATGTCGGATTGTTAGTGATTAGCAGCAGTAAACGCCAGCTCTGCTAGCTAGCTAGCAGCGTCGGCAGCTGCCTGGACAGCTATTGTGTTGACATTACAGAGACTAATAAGAGTTATTTATGTGACATGTGCCACGATAAAAGGAGATAAAAATGACCTGTTCAACAAAAACTCTGCTGTCTCTGCGTCTGTTTTCTCCACCGCTTCAAAGATGACCCGATGTTTATTCCAGTTAGATTCCTCGCTTGGTCACATTTCCTCTTCGTCTCTGCCCTTTCTTCTGTCAGCTTGCGTTTTCTTCCTACTTTTAGCGGTGGGGCGAGCAGAAGGTTTTTTTTCTTTCATCCTTCTGCATCACAGCTCCTGTAGCTAAGCTGCTACGCTACTTTTAGCCGTTAAGAACTCCGAGGAGGGCCCGGAGAGTGGGAGAGGACGAGTCGGAAACACGGGAGAGGGGTGTGTCAAATATAGCAATGGATTGGATGAAGAGGCGGAGCAAGAGATTGACCAATAGGAGCTGTTTGGGACATAAATTTAGAAGTGCTGGGTTCCTATCGATTATTCCTAATGGCTGTGAAACGTCATCAGCTGTCGGGTTAGGGTTAGGAGATTCAGAAGTGCGATTATGTTGTGTTCGATCTGCAGAGCTGACAGCCCGCGCTCGGCTTGAGCGTTTCCAGCTTTTCTAGCCAATCAAAGGCGAAGGAGGCGGGACTTTCCGCTACCATTCTACAAAAAAATATATATCATGTCTGGGACAGATGGCTCCGATTGGTCAATGTTTTTGCAGCCCTGCACCTGATAGGGTGAACAGATTTTTCCATTCTTTTTTCTCTTCACTTTATGGAGATCGCACTATAGGACCATGATCGCCATAGAAACGAGGTTCATAATAACTGCCAATCTCTACGATCGTCAACCATGACTTTAAATAAATCAAAACTATCTCCCTGAGAAATGAACCTTCTGGTGGATTTTTTGACTTTAGACTCAGACTCTCATTTGGTGATGTTCGACAGTTTGAGGGCCTGTGCACACTCAGTGAGTTTGTACTGATGGTGCCTACAACCTTTATCAGGATATTAGATTCAGGGTCAGTGTAGAGGAGCTCATGCAGCAGAGATGAGTCACTCCTTAGTCCAGACTTCTTCATGCAGCCTGATAAAAGTGAGTCACAGTAATCCGGCCCAGAGGTGACAAGCGCTGGGACCGGTTCTTCTGGGTTCCTCTCAGACTGGATTTTTCGGTGTTGGGACGGTGAACGAAGGCCGCTGTCAAAGTTTAGGAGGACTACTCTGAATGAAAAGTTCCTGACCCCTTCTCTCTGCTCTGTCCCCTGTCTGTATGTTCTCCATTATTAACACCTCTTCCTGATTGGTCAGCCTCGCTACAGTCTGAGGAGCAGAAGGTCAGAGACTCGCTGATGCTCAGACAGACTCCACACAGAGCTTTTATCCTTTTCACTGACATTTCTCAATAAAACCTGCTTTTAAATCTCAATGTGGCTTTTTTCTTTGTTAGACTGGAGACAATTTGTTGTTACGAGGCTTTGTTGTGGTTTTGGTGCCCCCTGGTGGGTAAAAGCATCTTTTGCCAAAGTTGTCCTGCGACTTTATTTTTTCTGAGGTGACCTGCAGACACAAAACAAAAGTCCTGACCCATCTCCAATCTGTGGAGAAGAATAAAAGTATATTTCATTTGATCACCTTGTTTAATCAGATGTCAGTACACACCTGAACCAGAGCAGTCTGAGAGCGAGGACTGAGTTAGAAAAAACCTGAATGAAAAATCTAGTTTTCAGTCGTTGGACTTAATTTGACAGGCTTCAGTTTCTTCTCTTAAGGTGTTGTAGTCAGGATCTGAAGAAGTTCCAGTTTTTAGGAGAAATCTTGAATGTAAACTCTACCCCTCCAAACCAGTTTTCCCCTCAGCTCCTCCCCTCCCCTCAAGCCCCGCCCACAAACAGATGCTCCTGCTCGCTTGTACCGTTCCAATTAAATTCAGATATAATGCAGATAAATACTTCAGATCATTACAAATGGGGCCCAGTCAAGGTGAAAGTCAAAAGCATTGGTGCTACTGTAGATGCCAACAGACTACCAGCAAACACAATGTTTGCAGGACTTCTACAACGAGGATAAAGTGACATAGTCCAGGACCCGAGGGAGGACAGTTTAGCGATGGCGCTACAACACGCTACAGCAGGTCTGTTTGACAAGAAACACTTCTGTTACAGACACTTGTCTTACTTTGTTAAAGCGGTTTACCTGTCCAGCAGAAAGGTTACAGGGTCACCAAGATCCCCAAGCGTCCCCCATGGTTTATGTTGACCCGGCTTTTTAGCTCTTGTCCGGTCTACCTCCGTTTTAAGCGCCCGTTATTCCTCCAGAGTCTCCGGTATTTACTTCGTTTTCTTGCTTGTGTCGGCAGTCGTGGCCAAAGGAGGATTCAGACAATTTTCCGAACTTTCTGGTCGGTTTCTACTGTCCGATATTGTAGCACGCTAACTTTGTTTGGGCTCCTGAACGACACGGGGGAGCAGCATCTGCCTCACAACCAATCAGGTTGTGAGGCATTGTGTCGTTCATGAACGTTTCGTCCAAAAAAACATAACTGCTGAGCAAACTACGTGAACTGATCACTCTGAGACCTGATTCGTTCCTTTCTCAGTTCAGTTGAGCTCAGCCGCGGGCCTGTCGTGCCGGTCCGAGGGGAACTGCCGCCTTTGACACTTTGGCAAACTACATACAGCAAGCCAGCGAGCGAGTGGGCGGGCGGAGTCTCGTGATTTGCTTTTTTGCTTTTCACATCACGACTACTGTTCGATATTGTAGCACGCTAACTTTGTTTGGGCTTGTGAATGACACGAGGGAGCAGTGTCTGCCTCAAAACCAATCAGGTCGGGGAGACGGAGAATGGCTTACCTGTCCAGCAGAAAGGTTACAGGGGCACGAAGATCCTGAAGCGTCCCCCATCGTTTATCTTGACCCGGCTTTTTAGCTCTTGTCTAGTCTACCTCTGTTTTAAGTGCCAGTTATTGTGCCAGAGTCATCAGGTATTTGTTTTCTTGCTTGTGTCGGCAGTCGTGGCCAAAGGAGGATTCAGACAATTTTCCGAACTTTCTGGTTGGTTTCTACTGTCCGATATTGTAGCACGCTAACTTTGTTTGGGCTCCTGAACGACACGGGGGAGCAGCATCTGCCTCACAACCAATCAGGTTAGAGGAGGTGGAGAACGGCTTTGTTTACAGTCAGAAAGAGCGGACCTCTTAAAAATGTTCAAATGTTGACTACACAGACAGAAGAGATATCGTAATATTGCCTAATGTCATCAATAACTAATAACTATTGACTGATATTAAAAGTTTTTTTGTTTATACACCATAAAAAAAGGTGCTTCTTTAACGGATTCCTGTCGACCCCACCTTTAAAAGAGCACCTTGGTTTTATCTGAAATCTGGTATTTGGGAAAAATCCAGGGTCTTAAAATCCTAAATCTGAGAGCTGTCACCCTCTGCTGGTTAAGACCGACCCCTCCAGGTCCAAACAGTGACAGAAAGTCGGTCAGAGCTGAGATGTGGAGCAGAAAGCGAGTCAGAAAGGGTGATGGAAAGAAAAGAGGAAAAATCAAAACACTGCTGGAATTTCTCTCCACAGTTTTCTTTTTGCTTCAAATTTCAGCCACTTAAAAAAAAAAAAGAGAGAGAAAATGAAAAACAGACCGCAGAGGAGGAGGAGGAGGGGGGCAGGATCAGATGTCTGGACAGGAGGAGGAGGAGGAGGAGAAGGAGGAGCTGTGGTGTCGGTCTGCAGCTCGGATCAGATTTTCACACAAAAGCTCAGAGCTGCTGAGGGAAAGAGAGACGACCGACCGAGGAGAGAGAGAGAAAGAAAGATAGAGAGAGAGAGAGAGAGAGAGAGAGAGAGAGAAGAGGGGGAATGAAAGAAGGAGAACATCTACAGAGAAGGAGAAACTGAAGGGGAGAAGGAGGAGGAGGCGAGCGTTGGAGCGCCGAGTCTGAGTGTTTGCAGCTGAGTCGGCACATTCTGGATTTCTGCTTCTTCAGGAGGAAAAGTTCGATCTGAGCCCAGATCAGTCTGAGAACTGGACCAGCAACTCCGGGCCTGAAGGATCTGACCCCGGTTCAGTCTGAGAACTGGACCAGGAACCTCGGGGCTGAAGGATCTGACCCCAGATCAGTCTGAGAGCGGTGGGTTTATCTCTGAATTATGTGAGCCGGACTCTGCTGACCGACCATGGATGGAGGGATGGAGTGAGGAGGTGAAGAGGAGACAATCTTCACCTCCTGTTTTAGAGACAGAGAGAGAGAGAGAGAGGGAGAGAGAGAGAGGGATGGGTGGAGGGGGGCAGGGAGGAGGGAGGACTCAGACCGAATCGGGACAAAGTCTGACCTGTTTATGAACTCCACAAACAGGAAGTGATCCCAAACTTTCACAATAAAAGTACATGAAGAGAAACATGAAGATGGAGTAAGACTGACCCAGTCCAACCTCTGACCTTTGACCTGCTGAGAGTGAGTGCGGGGTGTCATACCTGTCCAGGTGTCAGGATGCAGCTGAATCGACCTCGAAGCTCTGTGCTCGGCTTCAGCATCCCCCCTCCTCCCCCCTGCTCTCCCCCTCCATCCTCCTTTTCCAGTCACTTCAGCACCATGAGGTTCTCCTACCACCTGGGTGCCCCCCCGACACCGCCTCCACACCGCGGCGGCCCCCACAGGACAGGTAAGCGGCATATAACCTCTGTGTGTGTGTGTGTGTGTGTGTGTGTGTGTACGAGCAGATGCAGAGTCAGACCCCCTACCCCCCAGCATGTCGGGGCCTGTGTTCGTTAAAGAGAAAACACCTGAGCGCCTTTAACCTTTAACCCTGGACTGTCTCACCCTCAGTGTGGGAAACCGGGAAAGGTGGAGATGCCGAGAAAACTGTTAAAAAAAAAAAAGTTTAAAAAAAGTGAAAAAAAAAAAAAACAAACCATAGTGATCAGGAGGGATGTTAAAAAAACATGATTAAAAAAGTTTTTAAAAAGTTAATTTTTTTAATAGATTTCAAAGATACAGAGAAATCCCTGTACTGTAGTTTGAGTCACCGCATGGGTTTAATTTCACATGTCCGTGAAACGCCCTGAGGTCTGATGAATCAAAATCGAACACACTTTTGGAAAGGACAACTGGACTTAGTTGAAACATCTCAACTAAGTCCAGTTGGCCTTTCAATGTAGAACTGGAAATCATAGATGCTGCATCCTCAGTTTTAGAAAATACCTCCAGGTTAAGGAGCAACATCTGCGTCCCTCATATAATCCTAAACCACATTCTGACAACAGCATGGCTCTGTAGGAGAAGAGTCCTGCTGAGGAATATGAATGAATAAATGAGTGTGTGTGTGTGTGTGTGTGTGTGTGTGTGTGTGTGTGTGTGTGTGTGTGTAAGTAAGATGTGGTGTAGAGCTGTCATGTGAGAGCGAGACAAGAAACCACAGACAACATGGCAGAGAGCCTGACAGACACACACACACACACACACACAGACCTCCTATTGGAGCGTCTCTCCTCTGCTCTTTGTCATAATGTAAGATGGGAGAGGTTTTTATTTTGAAAGGTTGTGTGGTTTCCTCAGAGTTCACTGACACTGTCTGTAGATGAAGGAGTGTGTCTGTGCTGTTACCAGGAGATCCATCGACACACACACACACACACACACACACACACGCACACACACACACACACACATAGTTAGATATGAATGAAGAGCTGGTGGAGTTATAAATAGACGGTGGTCCTGAATGACCTCCAGCTGACACACACACACCACACACACACACTCACATATTTGTCTCCGAGTCTGCTCCTCCTCATCTCTCTGTCGGGGTTTCAGGAGATTCCCTGGTTTCTTTGGGGTTGTACGCTTTCCTCTGGTGTTTGTGCTTTTCTTTTCTTTTAAGAGTTTCTGATACAAACCCAGGACGCCTCAGGAAAATGTCTCCAAATACAAATCTTAACTGCTAAAACAGACAAACAAAACCTAGATGCTGTGAAACACTCCTGGACGACTTCAACAATCACCGTCACAGACAGAGAAACTTAAATACATGTCACAAATATGAACTAAATAAATAATGGTTTCTCGGTTGTTTCTGTTTCCTTTCATTCGTTTTTATCTGTTTTTTTTTAACCGTCTGTGTGGTTTTTTTTCGACTTGTCCCCCGGTGTCTTGGAGATTTTTACCGCTCTGCTCTTGAACCTGTTTCTTCAGAGACTTTCTCAGGCCTGTCACAGTTAGGGCTGGGCGATAAAACAATAACAATATATAAACAAAAATTAATTTCCCTTAATATCAATATTAAACATGGTCAGTATGCTTTTCGATAGTTGGCATTCTGTCATGTTTTGGTCGACTATATGAATAGCCAATGAAAAGGGGAGTTGCTCCAGGTTTGCTTCGCTCTGAACCAATCATGTGCTGAATTAGAACCAAGTAGCAAACAACTGTGTCGTAGCAGACAGCAGCTCCACCCAACCATAGCACTTAAACAGGTGAAGCCGACAGCACTGTTGGTGAGAAAAAGAGAAAATGAGTGCTACCCCCGACAGAAATGACGATGAAAGCTCAACAGATGATGACATCGTCGACAACACTGGCACGAAAACGTCGGTGGTGTGGAGGTATTTTGGTTTTTTGAGGTCGGACATGAAGCAGAGTAATGTGTACTGCAAATTATGTCGAGTACATGTTCTCACAAAGTCGGGGAATACCTCAAATCTTTTTCACCACCTGAAGCAGCGACACGCCGCAGAGCACGCGCAACGCTAAAAGTTACAAACCCCGAGCGGAGCGAGGAGCCCATGGCGCCTGTGCAGCTGAAACAGACGACCATTCAGTCGGCTTTCTGTAGAGCAACGCCCTACAAAAAAACGTAGAGGAGAAGATTATTGTATTGAAAAAGGACATGCGACCAATAAACACTGTTAAATTTCATTTTCTATATTATGATATATATCGATATCGATTGATGTGAAGAAAATATATCATGTTCCATCCTCCGGTGTTTTTTGGAGTGAGTTCCTGGTCTGAACGTTTTAGGGACGGACCGACTCTGGCCGTTTCAACACAGAAATCATGATGCACGTTGCTTCGACACAGCACCGTGTACAATCTTTATAAGGCAAAACACTAAAGTATTGTTGTCATTTTGCCATGTATTTCTTTATTTGATGTTATACAGTTTCATGGGTTTAACTTGCGGTAATTGTGCTTTGTTCTGCCGATGTAGCATTTAATCTGCCCAACAGAGGGCTGTGTCGCTTCGCTTCATACAGGTTTATGTACGTCTGTTGGTTTATATATATATGAATGTGTGTTACTTTATATGTCGTTTTCTAAGGGCAGGAGATGTTACATTTTGAAATGTTAATTTTTATTTGTCATTTCAGTATTCCAAAAGTGATTTATGGGAAGAAAGCTGGAAATAAAACAGAAGAAAAAGAAGGAAAGAACAGACAATCCTCAACAACACTTCTGAGTTTTCTCTATATTGTCTACTCTTAGCTATCTGTCAAGCTACATAAAGCCAACATGTAGTGAGGGCAGAATATATCATGATAAACTTTTTCCAATATCGCCCAGCCCTACATCACAGGTGTTGGTGGTCTTCCCGTCAGTATTTTTAGTCCCAGGATCATCTACTGTTGAAACTTCTCAATCTTTTTTGGAGTTTCTTGTCTTTTTGACTCTGGATTCCCCGCTGATGTTTTGCTTCGCTCTTGTTTTTCGAGTCTCCGCTCTTTCTTGAACATCCTAGCTGTGAGTCCAGCTCAGACGTCTGATGACGATTGGACCCCTCGTATCTAATTTCACTTCCTGTTTGCACCCCCACAAGAAAAAATAGACATGAATGAGTCTGTAAGCTCCGACATGAAACTGTTCAAATCCTCGACAACAGCTGAGCTCTGCATAAAGACACCTCAAGGACCCCCCCCCCCCCCACACACACACACACACTGAATTCATAGATGTCCCGGGGGATGGACGAGCGAGCCTGTCTCTCTTGTTGGGTCACTGGGTCGCTCGCTGTTGCTGCAGGGGGAGGGGAGACGCGTGCGCGCGTGCGTGTGTGCGTGCGTGCGTGTGTGTGTGAGAGAGAGAGAGAGAGAGAGAGGTCAGAGGTCGGCCTGTAGTTTTATCTCCTCCCCTGCCAGATGATAAAAGGGTGTGTTTGTTTTTCCTCTTCTTGAATAAGTGCTAAGAGGGTGCGTTTGTTTTCCAGCCTGTGAG